GAGCTGCTTTTGCTTCTGTGCCTGTATCAAGCGGGTCTGTCCATTCCCAGCATGTCCTGAGTCTCAGGAGAGGACCAGAATCCCTTCTGGAAGATTCTCAGCAGGTGCGAGGGGCAGGGACAATAACTGCCCGGTGGCCTGGGCGTCGCCCCCGGGGAGGTGGTCCTGGGAATCACGTGCCCATCCAGCTCATGTCCCTCTTCCTGCCCCGAGCGCTCCCCCTCACCAGGGTCTACGCAGGTTGGGGTTCTCTTAGAAGGCAGGTGCGCCCTGGCCCCGCCCCTCCGGCCCGGCCCCGCCCCCTCGGCCCCTGGCCCCGCCCCCCCACAGACCGTCCTCCTCCTTCCTGCCGCAGCCCACCGAGCTGGCGTCGGAGGGGAGGCCGCGGGCACGACCATCAACCACTCGCAGCAGCAGCTGCAGCGCCTGCAGGAGCTGCTGCGCCAGGGCAACGCCAGCGACGTGGTGCTGCGGGTGCAGGCAGCGGGCACCGATGAGGTGCGCGTCTTCCACGCCCACCGCCTGCTGCTCGGGCTGCAGAGCGAGCGCTTCCGGGAGCTTCTGCACAACCAGAGTGACGTGGTGCTGCAGGAGGCCAGGGACGTCGCCGCCGTCTTCGACAAGTTCATCAGGTGGGGAGGAGATGCCCCCCCCCCCCCACACACACACACGGGGCCCGGAGAGCCTTTGGCTATGGGTGGGGGCTCACCTTGGGGCCCTGGGAGCCTTGGGCTACAGGTGGGGTCCCACCCCGCAATGCTGGGGACTGTGCGGTGTCCCGGCTGGAATCCAGGCATCCTGCATGGTAAACTCCAGCTCTGCCATGAGACACTAGTCCGTGGTGTTAGTAATCAGCGATGCCAGCTGGTGTAACACCAGTGACCGAACACTGACATCAAAGCCCAGAGAGCTTTGAAAATCTTCAAATTCCTGAGCCCCACCCTGGACAGTCAGCTTCGAATCTGAAATTGGGCCTGGGCAGCGTTTTTGTTCGTTTCATTGTGTTTGAAGGTCCCATTTGGGGGTTGGTGTCTGGCCTGGGCTGGAATCACGGGTTTTGGAGGACACTGAAAAAAGGACCCCTCCCCCTCCCCACACACACACAGAGCTGTATGTCTCATCTCCTGCACCCTGTCAGGGCTTGTCAGCCTGAATGTGGTGGGTGGAGGAGGGGGTGGGGGGTCTGCTCACACTGTGCTCTGAGTTGCAACCACATAAGACAAAGAGGCTGCAGAATTCCAGCCATGACTTATGAGTTCCAGGAAAAGGGATAGCACAGAAGGGCCCAAAGGAGACTTCCCCACACCCAGAGTCAGCTCCCTTTGACCAGCCTTCCCCAGAGCCCACCCTTTGTCTTCCACCTTGAACTGTCATGCCTGTTAGCAGGAAGCTGGTTGCCGGAGAGATAGTACAGTAGGGAGGGCGCTTGCCTTGCACACGACCAATTTGGGTTCAATCCTCTACACCACAGAGGGTCCCCTGAGCACCACCAGAAGTATTTCCTGAGTGCAGAGCCAGGAGTAAGCCATGAGCATCACTTGGTGCGGCTCCCAAAACAAAAACAAAAAGTCTATTAGCAGGAAGCAGGGGTGTGAGGAAGCTTCTTCTCAGGGGTGTCTGGGGCCAAGATGCCAGAGAATAGGGAGACAGGGAAGAGGGGTGCAGGCGATCCCAGGTGGTCAGCACACTCCACTTCCCACCCCTCCCAAGTATGGGGGCTGGCTGGGTCTACACGGAGGAGGCAGACAGAAATGGGGAGATGCAGAGTAAGGCGGGGAAGAGCACTGGGGAGATGGGAGCACAAGAGGGCGAGTGGGAGCTGGTCCTCCTGGGCCCTGCATCCTCTCTAAAGCCCTGTGCTGCGCCCATGACTCCAGGCCCCAGGGGATCCGAGTCAGGTCCAGCAAATAGGTGGAAGGAAATGGGTGCTGCGGGATTGTGAGCCCCACAGGGGCAGGAACCACGTTTGCTGGGGGAGGTTCTTGTTTTTCTTTGGGGGCCACACCCAGCAACGCTCAAGGGCTTTCTCTTAGCTCTGCACGCAGGGATCATTCCTGCCAAGACTCAGGAGCCTAGGGGGTGCCAGTTGGCCACATGCGAGACAAGCACCCTACCTGTTGGACTCTCTTGAGCCTGGGTTTTAGTTTTTTTCGTTTTTTTTTCTTTTTGGGTCACACCCGGTGATGCACAGGGGTTACTCCTGGCTCTGCACTCAGGAATTACCCCTGGCGGGACCATACAGGGTACTGGAAATGGAACCCGGATTGGCTGCGTGCAAAGCAAATGCCCTACCCGCTGTGCTATCACTCCAGCCCCTTAGTTTTGTTTTTTGCAGAGAGATGGTTTTGGGTTTGGGGGCTGCATGGAGTGGTGCCCAGGGCTATTCGGTGCTCAAGGGACCCTACGCAGTGCCAGGGATCAAACCGGGGTTGGCCCCGGTGGCCACATGCCACACCGAGTTCAGTCCTCTATAATACCTCCTGTTTCCTTGCTGCCACCCGAATACCAGAACGACAAAGCAGACCTGAGGTTGGAGCTCTGTGTGTGTGTGTGTGTGTGTGTGTGTGTGTGTGTGTGTGTGTGTGTGTCTGTGTGCTCTGCTCCGAGGCGCCCCTGACCACGACCCCGCAGCGCTCGTGGACACAGACAGCAGCGGTGCTCAGGAGCGGCGGCCTCGCCCGCCCCGTCTGAGCCTGCCCCGCCCCGTGCTTCTCCCGCAGGTACCTGTACTGCGGGGAGCTGACGGTGCTGCTGGCGCAGGCCGTCCCCCTGCACCGGCTGGCCACCAAGTACCGCGTGGCCTCGCTGCAGCGGGGCGTGGCCGATTACATGCGCGCGCACCTGGCGGGCGGCGCAGGCCCGGCGGTGGGCTGGTACCACTACGCCGTGAGCACTGGCGACGAGGTCCTGCGCGACAGCTGCCTGCAGTTCCTGGCCTGGAACCTGTCGGCTGTGGTGGCGAGCGCCGAGTGGGGCGCCGTGAGCCCCGAGCTACTGGCGCAGCTGCTGCCGCGCTCCGACCTGGTGCTGCAGGATGAGCTGGAGCTGTTCCAGGCGCTGGAGGCGTGGCTGGGGCGCACGCGGCCGCCCGCCGCTGTGGCCGAGCGTGCGCTGCGCGCCATCCGCTACCCCATGATCCCGCCCGCGCAGCTGTTCCAGCTGCAGGCGCACTCGGCCGCGCTGGCGCGCCACGGCCCTGCCGTGGCCGACCTCCTGCTGCAGGCCTACCAGTTCCACGCCGCGTCGCCCCTGCACTACGCCAAGTTCTTCGACGTCAACGGCAGCGCCTTCCTGCCCCGCAACTACCTCGCGCCGGCCTGGGGCGCCCCGTGGGTCATCCACAACCCGGCCCGCGACGACCGCAGCACCAGCTTCCAGACGCAGCTGGGGCCCAGCGGCCACGACTCAGGCCGCCGCGTCACCTGGAACGTGCTCTTCTCCCCGCGCTGGCTGCCCGTCAGCCTGCGGCCCGTCTACGCGGACGCCGCGGGCACCGCACTGCCCGCCGCGCGCCCCGAGGACGGCCGGCCCCGGCTCGTGGTCACGCCGGCCAGCAGCGGGGGCGACGCGGCAGGCGTGAGCTTCCAGAAGACCGTGCTGGTCGGGGCGCGCCAGCACGGCCGCCTGCTGGTCCGCCACGCCTACAGCTTCCACCAGAGCAGCGAGGAGGCCGGAGACTTCCTGGCGCACGCGGACCTGCAGCGGCGCAACTCTGAGTACCTGGTGGAGAACGCCTTGCACCTGCACCTCATCGTCAAACCCGTCTACCACACCCTCATCGGGACCCCCAAGTAGTCAGGCGCGGGGCTCTGGATGGGAATTAGAGATCTGTCGGCGGGGAGCAGGGTGGAGCGTGGGCCGTGGAGGGTCCTGCGGTGGGCGGACGCTGAGCCGAGGCGCGCAGGCAGCGTGGTAGACCAGATGTCTGATTTGTGTTGCCTGCTAGACAACTGTTCTTGGCTGAATAAACCAGTGCTTAAGAGAAGCAGCACAAAGGTGGTCGAAGCCTGTGGTCTGGGGTCAGGAGGGTTCCATAGATTTGGGCTTCCCGCACTTTCCTTAGCCTTCCCCTCCACCCTGCCCCCAGGTACCCATTCTAAGAGCGGGGCGGAGTCGTGCGTCCAGTTGGTCAGTCTGAGAAGGATGATTCAAGAATGGGGCAGAACTTGTGTGTCTTGATTCTGAGAGGTTTAGCAAGGTCCTCTAGACTCCCGACCGCATGGAAGTTACAGGGGTTGCTGTTTATTGTGTTCTGGGCCTTCCCAAGTCTCTAGTCTCTCCTGGGGAAGGGTGACTGGGTGGGGAGCAGGGCAGGAATAGGCCTTGTCCACCCGCCTCTTCTTGGGAGGCCTCCGGGTCTGAAGGAAAACCTTGGGGCTGGTTTGAGGCCACCAGCAGAGAGACCCTGGGTGTTGGGGAGAAGGGAGTGGGCTGAATCTCATCCTCTTCGTCACCTCACCATCTGTATAGGATCTGTTTCCCAACATCTCCCTCCAGACCCAAGTGGATTTTTTTTTTTTTTTGCTTTTTGGGTCATACCTGGAGATGCACAGGGGTTACTCCTGGCTCTGCACTCAGAAATTACCCCTGGAGGTGCTCAGGGGACCCTATGGGATGCTGGGAATTGAACCCAGTAAGGCAAATGCCCTACCCTCTGTGCTATTGCTCCAGCCCCCCCAAGTGGAATTTTATTGTTAAAAAGTATTTGTGGGGAATTGTTGCCAACAGCAAGCCCAGATGCCCGCCTCCCCGTGACCCCCCTGCACCTAGCCTGAAGAGCTGCTGGTCCTCCCCTCCCCGGTAACTCAACTCCAGGGAACTCCCAGCCCTGTCCATGGGATGACTTGCAGCCCATCACATCTGAGGCCTGGCCTGACCCCTGCAGGGATTTGACAACAGGCCCCATTCCAGGGCTGGGGGTCAGGACATCTATCCTCATGGGGCAGGTGCCCCCCAGTTCTTGGCTCTCAAGAACCCCCTAGCCCCATTGTCTGCCACTTCCTGCTATTCAGTCTGGGGGACTAGAGGACCAAGTTCCAGGCAGGTTCGCTCAGTGACGCCGGAAACAACCATCCTTGACGTGGGTGCTCGTGCCGTGGGGCGCGTGGGATCCCCGGACAGTACGTCGGGGGGCGCCAGCTGCTGCACTGGCAGGAACGAGTGGCGAGGCCTCCCCGGGGCCTGCAGGAGGGGAGGGGCAGGAGCCGGGTTTCAGGGAGAACCTTCACCCAGCCCCTCCCTCCAACCCGCCAGCCACAAACTCAAGATGGAAGTCCCAGGAATATTCTGGAAGAATCCATCCCAGCCAGGAACATTCCAGCAGCAAGGGGCACTCCACGGGCCTCCGCCCTCAGCAGGCCAAGCCCGGCCCAGTCCCTACCAGTACTGACCTGCATTCTGGCCTGGAGGAAGTCTGACTTTGGCCAAGGGCAGCGTGGCCTTGCCCAGGTGCCGCAGAGCCGGGGTTGGGTGCCCGCACACTGGCATTCTGGGGTCGGAGCTGCTGTCGGTGGCACGGGGTCCCAGGGGGTGGGCCTTGGGACGGGAGATCTGCATCAGAGGAGAACAGAGGCAAGGTGGCTGCAGCACCAGGACCAGAAAATGGGATGCACCTAGCTCTGAGCCTGGCCGTGGACTCAACGGACGGAGGTGACCCAAGCAAGATCTGGAGGTCACCAGCCCTCAGACCCCCCACCTGCAGCCCAGGGGCACAGACTCCCGCTCCTGGCTCACCCCTTGCCTCATGACCTCAAAGGGCTGGGACCTTCGCTTCCTCTTTGCCTCCAGCGATGACTCCCGTTTCTTGCTGAGACTTTTCTTCTGGCCTCGAAGCCAGAGCCCCAGGCCGTCACCGCCCCCCAGCCCAGCCGCCCTTGGCGGGGCCTCACTGGTGCTGCTAGACAAGTTGTCCTCACTGGCCGCGTGCTGCAGTGTGGGGCTGGGTGGCCGCTTGCAGGCCAGCGGTGCCGGGGCCTGAGAGTCGTCAGCCTCACTCAGGGAGTGCAGGGACAGGCTGCTGCGCTCAGGCTTGGGGACCAGTAGCTGGCGGCCCTCAGGGTCCAGCGCCCTCGAGCGCCTCCTGGCGGCCTTCACCGAGATGCACTTGGTCCCGGTCAGGATGGCATTTTTCTCTGCAGGGGACAGATGACACCTCCAGGCCAGGCTTGAGGCCATGTATATTTCCCATCCTGCACCCGACCACCCCCCACCCATGCCTGAACTCAGAACCACGATGGAGCCAATGTCTGGGTTCCAATCCCAGCATCCCATGCTTGATATTTAAAAAACGAGGCATCTTTATTTTTTTGAGGGCAGATGTTTGAGCCACACCCAACAGAGCTCAGGGTTTACTCCTGCTTCTGTGCTCAGAGATTACTCTTGGCCGGGCTCAGGGGAACTTTACAGGGTGCCAGGGATTAAACCCGGATTGGTCATGTACAAGGCAAGAGTCTTACCCACTGTCCTATAGTTCTGCCCCCAAGATTTCCTTTTTGGAAGAGTGGGTTGGAGGCACGCCCAGGGATGCTCAGAGCTGACTCCTGACTCTACACTCAGGGATCATTCCTGAGGGGGCTCAGGGGACCATGTGGGATGCTGGGGGTCGAACCTGGGTCAGGTGTGCACAGACAAGCTCTCTACCCATGGTACTGTGTCTCCAGCCAAGATTTCTAAGCTTTGCTTCTTTCTTTTCTCTCTGTCTCTGTCTCTGTCTGTCTGTCTCTCTCTGCTTTTTTGTGCTATAGCACGGAGGGCTACTACCAGCTCAGTGCTTGGGGTCCCTACCTGCAGTTCTCGAGGAGGCCTGGATCAAGTCTGGGGCTCTTGCATGCTCTCCAGCCCCCTGAGCTGTCTCCCAACCCTTTATTTTATTTTGCTTTGCTTTTGTTACCCCCAGCCATGCTCAGGGCTGACTCCTGGCGGGGCTCAGGAACGGTGCCAGGGATCGAACTGTGGGGTCAGCCATGGGCAAGGCACGTGCCCTACAGGGATGGGAGAAGGTGGCAGGAGGGAATCCACAGAACATTTTGGTTTTTTTTTTTTTAATCCAGGCCGCCCCCATTGGAGCTGGGAGGCTCTTTTCAGTGCTATGCTCAGGATCCACTCCAGGTGGCGCTCTAGGGCTCCTGATGCTGAGCTGACTCAGCCTTTGATGCCCCTGCCCGCCACCCCTCCCCATCATGGTGAGGGTCACGGGTTTAGCCTCGGCTAGAATGTGGGAACATGTATCCCCAGGTACCTGTGATCCCTGTGCTAAAGGGACCCCAAGGGGGACCCCAATTCTCTGGGCATTGGAGCCTTGCTGAAGGGGACAGTGGAACCCAGCCTGGTACATTGAGCTGTGCAGGGTACGGGAAGGGGAGGGGAGGGGAGACGCCAGGCACCCCGGGCTGACAGGACACACCTTTGCGAGACAAGGGGACAGCTGACAGATTCTCACTGCCGTTGTCAGGGGAGGAGTTAATGCGGCTGCTGGGACTGGCCAGGCTGTCCTGAAGGGGGCCCTGTGGGGGGGGGGCAGAGAAAAGTTTTGTGCCAACAGGCTCAGCTGGCACTGGGGGGCATGCCTTCAGAAAGGGTCAGCCCCTGGAGCCCCCTCCCTGCCCGGGAGTCTGCCATGCCCTGAGCTCACCTCCTGGGTGACCAGGCTGCCCATCTGGATGGGGGGTGGGGTGGGCACCGAGGGGCCCTTCAGCTGCCAGGCTCGAGGACTGGCCTTGAACACGCGGTCAGCTTCGCTGAGGTGGGCAGCAGAGTGGGGGTGGGGGGCAGTGTTTGCTAGGCGGTTACCCCGCACCCCAGGGGCCCCTCTGCAGAGAAACCACCCCAGTCCCCCCCTCCCCCAGCTTCCACCAGCCGCCTCACCCCAGAATTCCCAGTGAGCTCCAGCTGGGGGCATCTCAGGGACAGGTCCAACCTGAGTGGGGTCTGGTCTCACCTTTCTGAGCTAAGGGGGGGCAGGAGGCCCTGCGGGGGGCGCTGGGTTTCTGAGCTTGGCATCTTGACACTCTCAGGGTCCGATTCCGGGGTAAGTGTGTTTCCTCCTGGGATAATTTTAGGCAAGAAGCTGTCCTGGGGAAGGAGGGAGGGCACAGTGAGAAGACATGGTCCTGGGCAAGAGGGACAAAGGCACCAGAGTGACCAGGGCTGGAAGGGGGTCTGGGAAGCCAGGAGGGCTTTAAGAGGGGGCTCTGATCCGGCCCACCTTCCTGCTGGCCTGGCCATCCCCAGAGGCTCAGGACCATGGGGCCTGGGGTTGGAGTCATAGTACGGGGGGAAGGCACCCCATATGGTCCCCTGAGCCCCACCAGGAGTGATCCCTGAGTACAGAGCCAGGAGTCAGCCCTGAGCCCTGTTGGGTGTGGCCTCAAACCCTCCTGCCCCCAAAAGATAAAAAGAAAGAAAAAAAGAAATTGTGAGGTTTGCTAGGACAAAATGGCCACCAGGACCAAATGACAACTGGCTGATAAGACAGCAACATTTCTGGAGTACCCTGTCCCCAGCTAGGAAGACAGGACTTACCGCCCACCTAGCGGCAGGAAGCTAGGCTGCATCCCCCCCCATCCCCCAGATAACAGGCCAGGCCAAGCACAGCTGGTCCACTGGTCTTTGTTCCTTTCTCCCGCCCAAGACTTAAAAGCCCCCTCTCTCGAGGTTCGAAGCCTCTCTCCAGGTTCTAAGTGTCCACCCGGGAGCGCACCCCAATAAACTTCTTCTATTTCCTTCACTTTTACTCGTCTCTGTTCGTGTTGGCTGAGGACACTGACCTATCAGAAATAGCGCCCCCTCCCCTGGGATCCAGGCCAGCCCAGCCCGTGGCCGCATCAGCGGGGCCCCCTGCGCTCCTGCGCCTGCCCGGGACCCACCTGCAGCGCCCCGGAGGCCACGCGGTCCATGATGGTGGCCCGCTCCAGGCTGCCCTCCTCCAGCTCGCGCAGGTACACCTCGTACAGCTGCTGCAGGCGCCGGGGCACGGCCAGGTTGTAGTCTGGGGGCGAGAGCGGGGGCAGGGGGGTCAGTGGCGGCCGCGGGCAGCCGCGCGCGTCCCTGGGGTCGGCTGCCCGCCGCGCGCCGGCCCTACCGTCGATGACCTGCCGCTGGCCCTGGATGATGTGGTCGCACAAGCTGCGGTGCCTCTCCAGGTGGCGCACAGCGTCGCGGCGGTGGCGGAGCGCGCCGTCGCGGAGGAGCGCGTGCGACTGCATCTCCGTGTTCTCCAGCTCCAGCTCGTGCACGCGGCACAGCAGGCTCAGCACCTCGCGCTGCTCCTCTGAGCCGATGCGCCGCGGCAGCGTCTCCTCCAGGCGGCGGCCGCGCGCGCGCAGCTCCCGGCAGCGCTGCTCCAGTGCCAGCTGCCACGCACAGACGGGCCGGACGCACCGAGGGCGCGGTCAGAGCGCAGCCCCAGCCGACGCCGGCCCGTGCGCTTGCAAATAGGGGCTTTTTGGTTTGTTTTTTTTGGTCTGTTGGTGGGTTTGGGTTCGGGGGCCATACCCGGCGGTGCTCAGGGCTTAGCCTGGCTATGCACTCAGGGATCACCCCTTCGAACTCTGGAACCGTATGGGGTACCAGGGTCGGCCGCCTACCAGGCAAGCTCCTGGTCCACTGCACTATCTTTCTGGCCCCTAACTAGGGTGTCTCCTGCTGGCTCTGTGCTCAGGGGTCACTCCTGACAGGGCTCTTGCAAGCCCAGGTAGGGGGTGTGCAAGGCATCCTACATGTTTGGATATATTGTTTTGGGGAGTATTTGGGGTTTTTTGTTTGTTTTTGAGCCGTACTCAGCAGTGCCCAGGGCTTACTCCTGGGTCTGTGCTCAGGGATGACTCCTATGGGCTCGGAGGGCCTGTGAGGTGCCAGACTCAGCCATTCATGCCCCATGCCCACTTTCTTGCCACTCCAACTACAGCTCACCTCTCTTCTGGTTGGCTGGATATTTTGGGTGTTTCAGGTTTTTTTTTGGGAGGGGGAGGGGAACACATCCGTTGGTGCTCAGGGCTTACTCCTGGCTCTGCACTCAGGAGTCACTCCTGGTAGTGCCTGGGGACCCTGCGGGATCGAACCCAGGTGGACCACGTGCGAGGCACTCGGGTCAGACTCTGGACCAGCCCTGCGCTTCGAACACTTAAGAGCTTCTTGGTTTGCGCAGGTACAGCCAGAGTCCCAGCGGACCGCCATCCTATTGGCTCCACGGCTCTTGATGGGGCGGGGCTAATTTCATCCTCTCCATCCTATTGGCTGTTCTGTGCCTAATCCGTTTTCCAGGCTTGTCTGCAGATGGGCAGCGGATTTACAGGTCCCCCAGGACATGTGTGTGTGTGGCCTGAGCCCCCCAACCCAGCTGCAGCCCCCAGCCCAGGCACCTTCTGTTTGCGCAGCTTCTTCTGTTCGCCCACCAGCGTGGCGATGCTCTCCCGGGCGGCGGCCACCTCGGGCGGCTCCAGGATGTCCGGCTGGTCATCTCCCGTGTCTGAGTCCTTTTCGCTGTCATCCTTGGTGAAGGATTCCTTCCGCTGCTCTTCCCGCCACTTCAGGGCCCTCCGGGACTTCTCATGCTCCCAGCTGTCCGGGTCCGGGGGCCCAGGGCGGCAAGGGTGGGTCAGGCCCAGGGGGCGGGGCGGGGGGAGGTGTCAGGCCCAGGGGGCGGGGCGGGGCAGGGGTAGGGGTGGCCCTCCTGCGGGGCTTACCCAGCGATGGTGAGCAGGTGGCGGGATGTGTCGATCTGCACCTCCATGGCGTGGTTCTCCAGCTCCAGCAGGCGCCTGCGCACGTCCATCTGCTCCTGGAACGCGCTGATGAGCTGCTCCCGCAGCTGCCCCATCTCTGCCTGCTCCCCCTGCCCGCTGTGCAGCTGGACTTCGGCTGCCCAGGAAAAAGGCAGGTGGGGGAGGCGAGAGGAGGAGAATGCATCACACCAGGAGGCGGAGGCCTTGGGTGAGGCCCTTCCTGCCCTTTCTTTCCCGACTTCTTGCGGAGGAGCCACCTCCTTTAGGAAGGCCTCCTAATTCCCACCCCTCCTCCCACCCTCTTGCAGCCAGAACCCAAAGGTGGTTCCAGTTCCCTTGGTTGAATGGGGCTTCCACCAACCCTGAGAATACCTTTGTGGTAGCTACAAAAAAGTGCCCTTGAGGCCGGGAAGACAGCTTAAAAAGCAAGTGTGCATACTTTGCACGCAAGAGGCCAAGGTTTGATCCCCGGAACAACCCTTGGGCAATGTGCAGGAGCGGCCGCTGAGTCCTGCCAGGCGTGGCCCCCAAACCAGAGCCACACACAGGTGCCTTTTACTATTGGGAAAACTGTGGCGGGCACCTGCCCCTCATGGTGATGGGAGCAAGGGGGCCCTAAGTGGACCTATCTGGGCCCTCATGTCCACCTGCCTCCCAGCCCCGCACCTTCAGCTCAGCCCTCGGGGAGGCTCGGAGCACCAGCCCCACGACAGGGCCTGTCCCCCCAGCCCGTGTCTCCCCCCGCTCATTACACCCCCCCCCCCCCGGCACAGACACACACCCTGAATGTGGCAGATGTCGGCCCGCTCCGGCCGGCCCCGCGCCTGGCCCCTCCGGCCCTGCTCGTCGATCCTGCGCTTGAGCCTCTGGACCTCCCCGCGCAGGTCAGCAATGATGCTGGTGTACTGTGCGATGTGGTAGGACACGTTCAGCAGGTTCTGCTTCACCTGGGGGGCGCATGGGAGTGGACAGGTCAGTCCTGACCGCCAGGAGGCTGCCTACTCTTGTACCCCAGCCTCCTGTCAGCAGCCCTCTCTTCCTCGCCGCCCCTCTATGCCTCTCCAGCTCCAGCGTGAAAATGCAGTTTCCCGGCATGAAAATGCAGTTTCCTGGCATGAAAATGCAGTTTCCCAGCATGAAAATGCAGTTTCCTGGCTCACCCAGTGCCCAGGGCTGCTGGTGGCCCGCAGGCCCTCCCCGGGTCCCCGGGGGGGCTGTGCCTTTGTCTGCTCCTTCCTGAACATGCTTGTCGAGCTGAGGAACCTCCACTACTCTGTCCCGACAGTCCACTGCCGTAAGTGCCATCTCCTTCCAACCCTTTGCAGCCACAAACTTGCCATCCCTTCTGGAATGTTCTGCCATCCAGCAGGACCAAAGAGTTCTATGGAATTGCAGCGTCCTTCCCCCCCAGCCCAGTGCTGGGTCTGCCTCAGCTTCCCCTGCCCTGCATCTGCCTGTTCTTAGTAATCTGAGCTCTGCCCAGCTGTCCCCACTGCCCAGAAATCTACTGGAGATGTGCTTGGCACCCTGACGTAGACAGAATCCTGGAGAATGTTCTCCAGTATTCTCTGACTGATAGCTCCACTCCCACCTGCCCCATACTCAGGGAAGTTGGCTTCTGAATAGGGGATGGGGGTTTAGATCTCGTTCCCAGAGCCCCAGCAGCACCCCCACTCCCCAGGCCAGCAGGGAAGTCACTCTTCTGCCATCGGCCTCGGTTTCCTTCCCTGGGACACAGTCAAAGCAGTGACTTGTGCCCCTGCCAAGGGTGAAGCCAAGAGGCAGTTCAGAGGCCCTCTCGGTCCCTCTCCCATGCTGGTCAGGGGCTTGGACAGGCACTCATAGAAGACGGAAGTGGGTAGGCTGGGGGTCACAGGCTGGAGCAGAAAGATGGAGACCCTCAGGGCAGTGGGAGGTCAGGGTACAGACCCTTGTGACCCCACCCCCACCCCGGGAAGGAGGCTCATGCCAAACCGGCTGGGTCTGGGAGCAGTTCAGGGTGCTGTCCCTGGCCAGGGCGTGTGGCCTGGGGGACAGAGCAGAGGGTGCCTCACCCGGGTCCTGATGTTCTTGGCCCGGCCCGCGTAGGTCAGTGTGTTCCGAGACTCCTCGAAGGCACTGCTGGCTGGGCTGATGTGGGCGATCATCACCGTGCGGCTGTTCCCGCCCAGGGAGTCCTGGACCGAGGGGCCAGGTCAACGAGGACTGTCCCCCACCTGCTCCCGAACCGAGCTCTGGTTCCCCTTGGGGGTGCTCTGGGGCTGCCCGCTCCCTCTCACGTTCGCACTCACAGACATACACACACACTGGTGGTTACACAAGCACACACACACTCCCCCCCACACACATACTCATTCAGATACGCACGAACATGCTCACGCTCACACTCACGCTTATGCACACACTCAGAAACACCCCCCCTACACACACACATGCTCCCACACACTCACTCTCATGGACTCACTCACACAGTCTCAAACTCACACACTCATGCGCCTACGCTCCTACATCCAAACACGCTCCCTCTCAGGCTCACACTGACACCCACACACACGCTCACACTCGCACACACATCACACACATACAAACACAACTCATGTTCACACACCCACTCCCATTCAAACACACTCCCTCATGCACTCAAACACACATGCTTGAACTCACACACACACACACTTGCACGTACACAGCCCACCTATGTGAACACACACAATGATAACGCACTAACACACACACGCACAGCCCACACTCACACGCCTGCACTCCCGTGGCCGTCCCTTGGATACTGTTCCCTGCTCTCTGCCCCCACCCCCGTTTCTTCTCCTCAGAGTGGAGGGTCTGGGCCACCTCCTGGCCTTTCCTCTCCCAAGCACCGGGCAGGCCCCTGGCTGGCGGGGGCTGACGGGGGTCCCTTCTCTCCTGAAGCACCCCATCTGATGCAGGTGTCGGGCCGTGTGCTGTGAGCGCCCCCGTGTGGTGTCTGGGACAGCTGGAGCCGCCCTAAGGTGTGGCCGCTTCTCTGACACTCAGGCTGAGCACGTCACCCTGCGTTTTGGGGGGCTACCGGCTGTGCCCTGGGTTTGGGGGCACCCCTGGGTCCTGGGAACAGGAGCCTCTCCAGCCTACCTTCAGCAGCCGTGTGAGCTTGCTGTCGCGGTAGTTGATGTACTTGTGGGCGGCCTTGTCGCTGAGCGCATTGATGCAGTTCCCCAGCGCCAGCAGCGAGCGGTTGATGTGGGCACCCTCCTTCATGCGCTGCCCGCGGTTCTGCGTCTGCCAGGGAGAAGCGGCAGGAAGGGTACTGTCCCCTGACCAGGCCGGCCCTCCCTTCCCCTGGGTGCTCAGTCATACACTCTGTGTGTGTGTGAGTGCATGAGTGAGTATATGTGTGTGTGTGACTGTATGGGCATGTGAGTGCGTGCATGTGTGTGAGTATATGAATGTGTGTATGAGTGTGAGTGTGCATGTCTATATGTATGAGTTTTTGAGTGTCTGAGTGTCTAAGTATGTATGAGTGAGTATATGAGTGCATGAGTATATTAGTGTGTGTATGAATGTATATATGAGTGTGAATATATGTGTGTGTGAGTATATGAGTATGTGTGTGTGAGTGTGTGAGTATATTAGTATGAGTGTGTATGTGTATGTGAGTATATCAGTGTGTGTGTGAGTATATGAGTGTGTGTGAGTGTGAGCCTGTCAGTATATGTGTGAGACCATGAAGGAATAAACTGTATTTATAGTCTGAGAGCGTATGTGTGACTGTGAGGAAGTGAGTGTGTAAGAATGTGGGGATGGGTGTGTGTGAGGGCGGACAGGTTGGCAATGTGAGTTGTGAGGAACTGTGTGTACAGCGCGTGGAGAATGTGTGGGAGCCCGTGTGTGAGAACACGTATATGGGTGGCCGTGAGTGGGGATGAGTGTGTGTGAGAGTGAGTGTGAGCGTGAGGGTGTGGTTGTGTCTGGGCCCTCATCAGCGGTGCCTGACCCCCCCTCGCAGCTCCCTGTTTGAACCTGCCCAGTCCCCCAGCCCTGGAGAAACCCTCACTCCTCCTCCCTCAGCCCTACCCTCCTCCCTCACTGCACTACTCCCCTCTCCTTCTCCCTCCCACACTCATCCCCCACCCCTCCTCCCCCAGCCCACTCTTCCCTTCCCCCTCCTCTCTCACTCCTCCTCCTTCAGCCCTCCCCCTCCTCCCTCACCCCTCCTCTCTCAGTCCTACCCTTCTCCCTCACCCACTCCTCCCTCTCCCCCCTCCCTTATCCCAAACCTTCCTTTCTCTCCTCCCACAGCCTTCCCCCTCCTCCCTCCTCCCCACTCTTCTCCCCTCCTCCCTCAGCCCTCCCCCTCCTCCCCTCCCCCTGCCCTCCTTCCTTCCCCCTTCCCCTCCTCCCTCCTCCCTCCTCCCTCCCCTCCTCCCCCACCCCACTCCTCCCCCCTCCTTCCTCAGCCCTCTCCCTCTTCCTTCAGCCCTCCCCCTCCTCCCTCTCCTCCCCCAGCCCTACCCCTCCTCTCCGACTCCCTCCTCCCTTATCCCTGCCCCCTCCTCCCTCGCCCCTCGCCTTCAGCCCCTCTCCCCTGGTCCCGCGGGGTGGGGTGCGCGCTGGCTCACCTGGGACGCGCGCTCGGAGCCCGCCAGGTCGATCATGAAGAGGCGGCCGAGCCGCACCTCCTGCAGGACGTCGCGGAGGCGGCTGCGCTGGCGCACGGCCACCTGCAGCACGGCGTGGGAGCGCGACGACGTGCGGTTGGCGGCCGTGGGCTCCTGCGTGCGCTGCCGGTTCCCCCGCAGCAGCAGCTGCATGATCTGGCGGGGCGGCAGGAGGGCGCTGGGGCACTCGGCACAGCGCTGGCGGCTGGGCGGGGTCCCGAGTTCCATCCCCGCCAGCAGGGCATGGGGGGGGTCACTCCTGCTGGGGACCACTGGGATCCGGAAGCCGCAACCCGGGTCAGCCACGGGCCAGGCAAGCGCCCAACGGCTCTGGCCCCACAGACAGTTTTCCCTGCTTGGGGCCCCGCCCAGCTGCACTCAGGACTCAACTCCTGGCTCTGTGCTCATTTTTCCTTCTTGGGGGCCTTGCCCAGCAGCGCTCAGGACTGACTCCTGGCTCTGTGCTCATTTTTTCTGCTTGGGGACCACGCTCAGCAGTGCTCAGGACCAACTCCTGCCTCTGTGCTCATTTTTCCCTGCTTGGGGGTCATGCCCGGCAGCACTCAGGACTCACTCCTCTGTGCTCATTTTCCCTTCCTGGGGGTCCCGCCCAGCAGCGCTCAGGACTCACTCCTGGCTCTGTGCTAATTTGTCCTGCTTGGGGGCCATGCCCAGCAGTGCTCAGGACTCACTCCTGGCTCTGTGCTTGGACCACTCCTGCTGCTGCCTAGGGAACCCTGCTGGTGCCAGGGATCAAAGTGGGGCTGGCCACGTGCAAGGCGAGCGTCTTACCCCCTGACCATCTCTGCAGTCCACCCAGAGCAGTATTTTAGAAGTGGGGAGGTGAGTTTGGTCAGTTTCCCCAAGTTGCGCGAGGGGGGCAAGCGCCCCCTGCAGGCCACAGTGAAGTACTGCACCTGTCTCCCAATCAAAATGGGCAGCGGCAGTACCCTGCCCCTCAGGCATCCTCCTGCGGCCCCAGACCCACCTCTTTGGCATTGATGGTGGAGACCTCGGTGATCCCCGCCACCTGGACCACCCCTTTGGAGTCCTCCCGCAGCTCCAGGAAGCCCAGCGCGGGGTTGAGCAGGTCTCGGATCATCTCGTTGTAGATCTGATAGAAGTGGACGGGGCATGCCAGGGGGCTCCGCCCAGGTACAGGGGCCCTCCCGGACCCTCTCCAGAGCCCGTCCTTGCAGGGGGCCAGGACGGAGCTCACCTCGGCCCGCCCTGCTCGTTGCCTAGAGCGTCTGGGAGTCCAGCCGAGTGGACACGTCCCCAGCAGTGCCTCGCCACCCGTCCGGAGGTGATAATCACCCGGGAGATTATCAGCTCCTCGCTACCTCTGCTGGCCTCTGCCTACTGCCCACAGCAACCTGGCCCAGCACCCAGGTGGGCTGCGGCTGGGCGGGCCGCAGGGCGCGCAGTGTGGCCGGCGGCCGGCAGGGGGCGCGGGGAGGCCCCCATCCACAGCTCCTTGGTGCAGGGATGCCTGCTTGGCCCCTGGGCCGTGCTACTGTGTGACCACGTTCCGGACGCCTGACCTCTCTCAGCCGGCAGTGCAGGGCTCACCTCCAGATAGGACATGGACACCTCGTACTCCATGTCATCGCTCGTGTCTTCAATGGCGCGGAAGAGGTCATTGAGGGTCCGTATGTAGATGCCCGGGTCGTGGTCGGTGCCCAGCATGGTATAGGTTTTCCCGCAGCCTGGGCAGGATGGGCTGGTGAGGGCTGGGGGCAAGGGCTCAGGGAGGTGGGCAGAGGGCGCCAGCCTGAGGCTGGGCCCTGGGGGTTGGAGACCCGTGGAGGAGGCGCTTAGCCCCACATCTGGTGGCACTCAGGGATGACTCCTGGCTCTGTGCTCAGGGTTGACTCATAGCTCTGTGCTCAGGGCAGACTCCTGGCTCTGTGCTCAGGACTGGCTTCTGGCTCTGTGCTCAGGGCTGGCTCCTGGCTCTGTGCTCAGGGTTGACTCATGGCTCTGTGCTCAGGGCTGACTCCTAGCTCTGTGCTCAGGGCTGGCTCCTGGCTCTGTGCTAATGGCTCACTCACGGTGGGGTTCAGGACCCTCTGGGGTGCTGGGGATCAAACCATTGTCCCCTGCATGCAAGGCAGTACTCGACCCCTGTACTGTCTCTCCAGCCCTCACCCTGCACTATCTCTCTAATTGTGGGGCCCTCGGTCTTGTCCCTGGTTTCTGTCCCTGCTGGGGGATCACACTAGTGATGGGGGAGGGGCTGCTCCTGGGGACTTGGGGGCGGCAGCGGCACACCCTTACCTGTGGGGCCGTAGGCAAAGACTGTGGCGTTGTAGCCGGAGATGACACCTTGGATGAGGCTCTTGGTGGTGGCCTCGTACACCATCTCCTGGGAGGTGCACAGGACAGGTCAGGACCGAGGCCCCTGGCAAGGCGGGCAGAGCCCCCGCGCCCCATCCCAGCTCCCAGGTGGCCACGGCATCTGTCCCTGGAGGGGGGAGGTGGGAACGGGAAGTGTCTCTGCTTTCGCCTGGGGTGCCAGCCTGAGGGAGCCCTCGGGACACTGGAGACACCCCTGCCCGCCTCTGGCTCGGGGCCGGGGCCCTGCGAACGCTTTTCAGCTGCTCCTGGAGCCCTGGCAGACGGGCAGCGGGGGTCCCCTGGCCCCTGGTGTCAGCTTTCCTGAACAGTCGCTCCTCTTGGCGCCAGATGGGCTGCAGACCCTCCATGTGCCATGACCCCCCCGCACCCCCGAGCGCTCGGGACACACATGAGGGATGAGGCGGGCGTCACCTGCGTGGCGGTGAAGTCGAAGGCCATGTCAAACAGGTAGGACTTCTCCCGTGAGCGGTGAGCGCGCAGGATATCATCCGGGTCCTCCATGGGGTCCATGAGAAGCACCATCTGGGGGGTGGGGGGGTACACAGGCCTTGTCAGGGTGGGACCTCAGCAGGTGCCGGGAGGTCAAGGGGCAAACCATCCAGCCAACACTTCCAACACTTCCCTAGGGACTCCACCAGCCCTGCGGGGACCCGTGTGGGCCCGGAGTCGGACTCCCAGCCCGGCTGGGACGCTTGGGCGGATCCAGTGGCAGAACCTGGAGCCCGTCCCAGGATGGCTGGTCTGGACACCCGGATTGTTCCCACTTTACAGATGGAGAAATCGGGCCCCAAAGGAGCGATGTGCCCAAGGCCACGTGCAGGCAGCCTGGAGAGCTGGGTGTAAGCCACGCCAACCCCAGCCACAGGCCACAGGGTCCCCGGGGTACCTGCAGGCCTGGATGCCAGCGTACCCTAGTGCTGGGAAAAGGCGGGCTGAGGTGGGACGGGACGTGCCCTGGGCTCTGCTCCCAGACTGAGGGGCCATCAGGGTTCCCCCACAAGGCCAGTCAGCCCGAGGCCCCTGGGTGCTGGGGCTCCGAGCTGGTTGCTGCCCCCGGGAGCCCCCTGACATCCTAAGTGCTGCTCTCCAGGCCTGGGGCTCACTCAGACAGACGGGGGTAAGGGGCCATGCTATGCCCTTCCCTGTGAGGCAGGAGGGGTCCCCAGGGTCTGCGGACACCCAGTAAAGGCTGGGGCAGAGGGTAGGGGGGCACTGGATGGAAGGTCGCCCTCCTCCAGTGTGGCAGGAAGCCCCTCTCGAGCACAGGCTGTTGGGGGTTTGCCAGGAGGCACCTGACCCAAGGCTGATCCCCAGCACCGCAGGGTCTTCAAGATTGATGAGCGACCCCGGTGGCCCCTCAGGACCTAGCACTGAGATGTGGCCCCCTATATCCCAGGGAAAGGCCCCTGGGTCCCTGAGGACTGTATGGGAGACTCCGCCTCCCTTTTATTTTTCTGCACAGGGGGAAGAGGGAGTTTGGGTCACACCCAGCTATACTCAGGGCTTACTCCTGGCTCTGCACTCAGGAATTACTCCTGGTGGTGTTCAGGGACCAGATGGAATGCCAGGGATCGAACCCGGGTCGGCTGCCTGCAAGGCAAATGCCCTCCCTGCTGTGCTATTGCTCCAGCCCCTGGTATTTGTTTTTATAGAAATATAAAATAGAAATCAAAACCCTGTTTGATGAAGATATGATTCTAATTCCCAGATGCAGACGTTGAAGACCAAAGTCATGCCCAGGGGTGTCCTGCCCAGCGCTCCTGCCCCCTGCCCCTGTCCTTCCTGGTGGGCAGGGGGCCAGGATGGTGGCAGCCCCCCTCCACCCCACCAGAGGGCTTGAGGAGAGAACAGGCACGGGCAGTCACCAGAATGCAGAGGGATCTGCTCGCCAAGGGTCCCCCTGAGTGCACCCACTGAGTCAGGACTGGAAGCCCAGGCCCAGAGACCTCTTAGCTGCATGCGGAAGTCTCGTCTGATCTCACCTGGTCCCATCTGATCCCATCTGATCCCTTCCAGTCAGAGAGGACCAGGGGAGTCAAAGGTGGGGGCAACTCCAAGTGGGCTCCCTGGCCGCTGACTCAGGTGCCCTCTCGGCCGAACCGAGGCCGCTGGGCCACTGTAGGCTAGTGTGGGGTGCATCCTTCTGACCCTGGGGTGCCCAGGAGTCTCCAGCCATCAATTCAGGCTGAGCCCTGGTCAACTTCAGAGCCCAGCGCAGAGAAAAGGAGAATCAGGTCGAGCAGTGCATCTTGGGGAGGATACTGGCCTGGCATGTGGCCAGCCCAGGTGCAATCCCCGAGCCCCACCAGCAATGAGCCCCGAGTGCAGAGCAGGACTGGGCCCTCAGCACCGCTGGGTGTGACGCCCAAAACACAAAGGATAAAGAAAATGAGCAGAGGCCCCGTGCCATGGTTGTGGTCTCCGGGGCCCAGGAAACAAACTCACGGAGTCCGTGGACCAGGCAGGGCCGCAGGCAGAGGAGGCAGGGAGGGTGCGGGGGCACCCATCACCCCCTGATCACCTCCCCATGACCTCTGGGCACAGCATTTCATTCCTTTGATATTCGGGTTCCTGAATCAGCTCATTGTGGTCCTTTAAGGACCCTCTTAAAGGAGGCTTTGTCTCCATCTGCCCGGCCCACCCCGCCCTGTCCACTGCACAGACAACACTGTCCTTGTGCCCCTCGGCCAGGTGAGGGGAGTGTGAGCCGCTGAGGATGGGGGGGGGGAGGAATGCTGGGGGGTACATGGCAGCAGCCCAGGGAACCCCGGCCTATTCAGAGCACACGCTGCACACCCTGGGTTAAGCAAAGCCTTGGGTAGAGAAAAACAAGCTCTGCTTCCCTCCTGCGACCTGTGACTCAGGTCTGCTTAGAAACAGGTGCCCGCTAGGTCGAGGGCACACCAAGGCTCCTGGCCCAGCATGCCCACTGTTCTAGGAGGGCTTCCTGGAAGAGGTGGTGCATCCCTGAGTTTGAAAGAGGGGAGGAGGGAGGAGGATAGCGCTTGAGATCCAGGCCATGAGGTGAGGGGCTGGGGCTTGGGACCACTCAAAATCACAGGGCCTGGGGGTGGGTGGGTTGGGGGCATTGGGAAATTTCCACTCCTGGGCTTCTCCCGTGGCTCATGGAGTGGTACGAATTGTCCAGTGTGTGCGAGGCCCTGAGTTCAATTCCTGGTACCCTCCCCCGCCAGCCTCCCGGGGACATGGGATGAGCAGTGACAGGGGGATCTTCACCAATCCAGGGAGAGGAAGAAGCAGGGCCCAGGCCCAGGGGGCAGACACCAGAGGAGGGGTCCGGCAGCCTGCAGGCCCGGGAGAGCCGGGAGCAGGGCGTCCTGGGAGGGACCAGCCCTTCTGCTGTCCAACTCCAGTCTGGAAACACCCCCCTTTTTTGGGGGGGATCACACCCAACAATGCACAGGGGTTACTCCTGGCTCTGCACTCAGAAATTATTCCTGGCGGTGCTCGGGGGACGATACGGGATGCTGGGAATCGAACCCAGGTCAGCTGCATGCAAGGCAAATGCCCTACCTGCTGTCTTATTGCTCCAGCCCCTCAAGAATCATTTTTAAGTCAATGAGTTTTCTCCATACACTCTTTCTTTCTTTCTTTCTTTCTTTCTTTCTTTCTTTCTTTCTTTCTTTTTCTTTTTGGGTTACAGCTGGCGATGCACAGGGTTCCTCCTGGCTCACGTACTCAGGAATTACTCCTGGCGGTGCTCAGGGGACCATACGGGATGCTGGGAATCGAATCCGGGTCGGCCGAGTGCAAGGCAAACGCCCTCCCCGCTGTGCTATCATTCCAGCCCCAGAAACGCCCTTTCTTTCTGCTGTCCCGGCACAATCCTCAGCACGGAGGGGACCATATGGCGCTGGGGACAGGGATCATTTGGGCCTCAATCAGCCTCCCTCAACCTCTCAGGACCCTTGGGGTACACTAGCAGCACCTCCTTCCTCACAAAGCCCCAATCCTGGCCCCGCTAGACGGGGGCGACGGGCATCCTGGTGGGGGAGCTTGGTCCCCGGGCCCCAGGCTGCCGCCTCAGCAGAGACCTCCCCCCAGCAGAGACCCCTCTCGGCCGCTTCAGCCTCCCCACAGCTGGGGTCCGTGCAGACTTTTGCCTCTGTCCAGCTTGGGGCCAGACAAGCTGCATCTGGGGCCCGGCTGGGAGCGTCTCTGCCAGGAGCCGACTCTGCACATCTCCTAGGTGAGAAATTCCCCGGACAAAGCAGGTCGCGCTTCCGCCTGCTGGGTCACTGCTGGGCCGCGGGACTTTGATCAGCTGCCGACGCCCAGACCAACCCCAAGTTTCTCAACCCTGGCGCCCTGGCCGCTGTGTCCAGTCCATTGTTACCAGCAACCCTGGCCCTCCCCACCAAGTCAGTGTCTCCTAGGGAGCAAAACCACCCCCCATCGAGAGCCTCGGAGTTATAGAGTTATGTTCATTCTTCCTGGATCCTCCCAGACTGACATCAAAGATCACTGGGGAAAGGGGTGCCAGGTTCCACGCGGCTGTGTGACCGTGGGGAAACCATATCACCTCTCTGGGTCTTGTATTTTTGGTTTCTTTTGGGAGTACACCCAGCAGGGCTCAGAACTTACTCCTGGGGGCCACAGCAATAATAGAACAGCAGGCAGGGCGCTTGTCTTGCTTGATTCCCAGCACCAGGTTCCCTGAGCCCACCAGGAGTGATCCCTGAGCACTGCCTGGTGTGGTGAGAAATTATCCTGGCAGGATACTCGGACCCCGGAAGGAGCTCGGATCTCATGTTTGCTGCAGTGGGGGATAAGCCTTGTAGACATCATGGATTTGACCCTCGAACAACTCAATGTTTGGGGGCACTGACCTCCGGGGCAATCAAAACTACAAATGTGTGTGCGTGTGTGTGTGTGTGTATGTGTGTGTGTGTATGTGTGTTTTGGCTTTTTGGGTCATACCCAAACACTCTGTCACTGTATCACTGTATCACTGTTATCCCGTTGTTAATCGATTTGCTCAAGCGGGTTCCAGTAATGTCTCCATTCGTCCTAGCCCTGAGATTTTAGCAGCCTCTCCTTACTTGTCCTTTCCAACAGTGCCGCATTGGAGGCTCAAAAGTAAAAATAGGACTGGGGCTGGAGTGATAGCACAGTGGGTAGGGCATTTGTCTTGCAAGCATCCCGACCTGGGTTTGATTCCCAGCATCCCATATGGTCCCCTGAGCACAGCCAGGAGTAATTCCTGAGTGCATGAACCAGGAGTAACCCCTGTGCATCTCTGGGTATGACCCAAAAAGCCAAAAACAAAAACCCCAAAAAAGTAAAAATAGGACTTACTCCTGGCTCTGGACTCAGGGATCACTCCTGGCAGGGCTCACAGGGGCTGCCAGGAGGTCGAGCCTCAAGGCAAACACCCTCCCTGCTGTATCATCGTTCCCGTCCTGGGCTCACATATTTTTTCCCAGTCGTAAACCTAAGAGGCCCCACAGGGTGGCAGCCCTGGGAGAGGAGATTATTCCCTACCTACTCAGGATGCCCCTGGGTGAATCTGAACCCAGAAAGGTGCCAGCCCAGCGAGGTCACTTCCTCTCCAGCCCGGGGTCAGCCCCTTCCATATCTGAGCAAACTCCAAACCTGAAGTCAGATGACTCTCACACCATAGGGCCGCTTGGGGGGGGGGTGGTTATTCATATGTTCCTAAGAAGGAGAATTCCTGGCAGGTCACGTTTTTAGCTGGAAATAGACTGTCCGGGACATAATGCTACCAGAAGGGGGTTTGAGACCCAGGAGCTTCAGTGTCTACCCCTGCTGAGCTCTTAAAGGCCCATGGGATACTTGGGACAGAGTCACACCTCACTGAGGTTCTGGCCAACTGCCCTCGGATCAGCCTGGGGCATGCCACGGGGGGACGGCGGTGCTCAGACCCCTTCATCACAGCTCCTGCCGCAGCAACTACTGAAATGCAGATTCCCAGGCGCTGCCCGATCCACAGCCCAACCAGACAACACACCTGCCTGACCCCCGCCCAGACGCCAAGGGCTGGAGCACTGGGTCTCAGCAGCATTTTTCACAAGTGCCAAAAACTGGGAAGCAACGACAATGCCCAGCCACAGGAATGGGCAAACAGCCCGTCGGACATCACACAGGCAGGATACTCAGCCCCAGAAGGAGCTCGGGTCTGACACCTGCTACAGTGGGGGATAAGCCCTGCAGACATCATGTACTTGACCCTTGAACAATGCAATGTTTGGGGGCACTGACTTCCTGGGCAATCAAAACTACAAGCGTGTGTGTGTGTGTGTGTGTGTGTGTGTGTGTATGTGTGTGTGTGTGTTTTGGCTGTTTGGGTCATACCCAGTGATACTCAAGGGTTACTCCGAGCTCTGCACTCGGAAATTACTCCTGGTGGTATTTGGAATTACGGGGAATGGACCCAGGATGGCCATGTGCAAGGCAAATGCCCTACCAGCTTTACTTTTGGGCCCCAAAGCTATAACTTTTGAGTGCAAGGTAACTCATATTTTGTTTTGCTTTTTTGGAGGTGCTGGGGACTGAATCCAGATCTACCATATGCATTTGACCTCTGAGTCACATCCCTGGAATCTCCGAGTCACAACCAGAAATATTTCTTTGGAAAGGGGTCACTCCCGGCAGTGCCTGGGGACCACAGGGTTGCAGGGATTCAACCTGGGGTTCCCACATGCAAAGCCTGCACTCCAGCCGTTGGAGCCATCTCCTTGACCCAAGTTTAACTTCCGACTCCCACAAATGTAGTCAACTGTTGTCCAGAGTCTCATGTAAAACATACACAGCCGGTTAACAGCTTCCATGGTGGAACTGTGATACCCTGGATCCTTATTATAAAGGAAGCAAGAGAGGAGTGTGCTAAGAGGGGCCAGAGCAATAGTACAGCAGGGGCGGGTGGGGGGGTGCTTGCCTTGCATGTGGCTGACCTGGTTTCAATCCCCAGCATCCCTGAGCACCACCAGGAGTGATCCCTGAGTGCAGAGATAGGAGTAACCCCTCCTGCTGGGTGTGGTCCCCTAAAACAAAAACTATAATAAGGAAAATAATTGTTTGGTCACTAAAAAGGCTCCATCCCGGGGCCTGAGCGATAGCACAGCGGGGAGGGCATTTGCCTTGCACATGACCAACCCAGGTTTGAGCCCCCCGGCATCCCATAGGGTCCCCCAAGCACCGCCAGGAGTAATTCCTGAGTGCAGAGTCAAGAGGAACCCCTGAGCATCGCAGGGTGTGACCCCCCAAAAAGGAAAGGCTCCATCTCGTTGTCTCCAGGATGAATAGGCTGAAGGGAGATAGGGAGAGAGGGAGGCAGGGAGGGAGGAATGGAGGGAGGGAGGGAGGGAGGGAGGGAGGGAGGGAGGAAGAGGAGGAGGAGGAGGAGGAGGAGGAGGAGGAGGAGGAGGAGAGGGGAGAAACACCTTGCAAAGGTGGGGGCAGCAGCCCCCGCTCTGCAAGCAGAAAAGGGGCCTGTCCCGAAGGACCCCACTTGGCAGGATTCTGCTTCTGGGAAACTCAAGGTGACTCCAGAGCTGGCAGGTGGTCAGCGGGGCGCGGCGAAGACCCCTGGGCTGCTGTGTAGAGGTGGAGAGGGCTCTATGCCCCTCACCCGGTCCTCCCGGTGGGCCTTTCTTTGGGGTGGGCTCCAGGAGCACCGGCCCAGCCATGGCCTCTGATTTCTGGCAGTGTCACCTTTGACCCCATTTCTCCCTCCCCACCACCCCCGCCTCCTGTTGGTGTCACGGGGACCCCCGTAACCCCCAGCACCTCCAGGCTACGGTTCAGAGTGAGTCTCAGCCAGAAAACAGTGACTGCAGGGAAGTGGTGGGCAGGCGGAAGCGGGTTCTGCCAGGGAGGGGAGCAGCCGTGCAGCCTGTCCTGAGGGGTCCCCAGGCCTCTTTCCTTCCCTACATCCAGCCTCCTCCTCCTCTTTCCCTCCACCCTCCCCACCCTCCCTGCCTCACCCCTGCGCTGGGCCTTGTTGTGTGTGTGTGTGTGTGTGTGTGTAGTGAGGGAGGGGACTTGTAGCAAATTACAGGATTATCAGATTATCGGGTGTTGTCACCCCTGTAGATAAACCGTCGGGGTGGGGGGAGGGCTGGGGGTTCGTGGAGGAAACGAAGAAGCTCTTTGTTCTGGAGCTTGTCCCCTGCCCCAGAACCCCTGAGCCCAGCAGGGCTGAGCATTCAGGGGCTCATCCACCACTGGACAGAGGAGAGAGGCAGGAGGGGGGCTGCCACCTTTCCCTCCAGGCACCCCCAAACCCCTCCTCCAGGTCAGCGCCTGGGGTGCGGAGGGGTTCGAGGGCAGCTCAGAGCCGCAGGGAGCCCCACTGTCCCCATTGAGATGTAAGAGTCTTTTTTTTTCTTTTTGGGTCACACCCAGCCGATGCTCAGGGGTTACTCCTGGCTCATGCACTCAGGAATCACTCACTCCTGGTGGTGCTCCGGGGACCATATGGGATGCTGGGAATCGAAACTGGGCTGGCTGCTTGCCAGGCAAACGCCCTACCCGCTGTACTATAGCTCCGGCCCCAGAGACACAAGAGTCTTGAGGACAAGTCCAGCCAACAGGGTGTGGGTGGCCGGGAAAGGGGTTTCTCCTCCAGAGCTAGCTCAGCTGCCCCGAGTATCCAGCTCTCAGGGACTGGGTCCCCCGGCCTAAGACCCTCTGGGGCGATGCCCTGGAGACCCCAAAGGCTCAATCCCTCTGGAGGACCCTGATCTCCCTCTGCTGGGCATTGCCCACCCGGAGCCCATGACAGGCTGTGACAGGCCGTGACAAACCAGGCTTCCCGCTGCCAGAGGCATCTCCTCTTTCCTGAGTCCATCTGGCCTGGCAGGGCCCACGGGAATTCCTTAGAGTCTTTCTGGGTGTCACATAGGAGCCCCCAACTCCTCAGACCCACCCAGCACATCCTGCTGCCCAGCCCGCAGGAGACGCTGGGAACAGCAGCCCCAGACACATGCCGCTGGTCACGCACAGAATCCTTCAGAGGTCTAACCACTGGGTAGTACAGAAGCCCCCGCCCCCCAAGTCCCCGCCTGCCCTTCCAAACAGACATCCTGTCGGGGTCTAGAGGGTGGCTAGCCTCCTGGCCCAGCCCCATCACACCCTGGCCCGCTCCCTTTCAAGAGGCAGTCCCACCCCAGGGCCTTTGCACATGCGGCCTCCCAGCCAACATTTCCTGCTCAGCCCTTCTCAGCTCTGGACTTGTGGTTTCTTTCCTTTTTATATTTGTTGTAGGGGCCACACCTGGTGAGGCTTGGCACCCAGGACCACACCAGATGCTATCTGGCCACGCCCAGGTCCTCTGGGAGCCGTGCCTTGCTGGGGATGAAACTCGGGCTTCACACATCCAAAGCAAGTGCTCTACACCTTGAGCTGCGTCCCCAGCCTCAGGCCTAGCTCAGCTCTGCTTGCTCCCAGGCCTGCATCGCAGCCTGTCGGCCCTGCTTGGCTCACAGTCCCCTTTGTTTGTGCTCCCATTCCCGTGGCTGAGAGGGCCTGGGACAGCTTCTGCTGTGGAAGGGGGCAGGGGCCTGTCCACTCATCATGCTGACCAGAGAGTGGACAGCAAGGCCAAGGGCAAACATGGGCCACACACTGAGACAGGCAGTCAGTGGGAATGGCTCTGAAGACAGCTGGCGTGAGGCGGGCGGCTCATGTCACGGACCCTGGCAGGTGTGGGACATTCTTAGGGGACGTCTGTGGAGGGAGAAGGTGACCAGGGTCCACCCACCCAGGCCTGGGAAATGGCTCTCCATGGATCAATCTGGGAGGCCTTCCTAGAAGAAGATCCCTGGCTCCCTTGCCGATGTCATCAAGGACTGGGCCAAGGATCTAGTGGCCAGAGGGCGGAGGCCCTGCAAACCACAGGGCCCTTTCTGCCCGGAGTCGGGGAGCAGGAAGCTGGCCCCTGCCCTGCGCGCCCAGGCTCTTCCTACCTGCTCGTCCACTTTGTGGGCAATGAGGGTGGCTCCTTCCTCCAGCTCCGCCATGCTGATGGGCCGGACCCGGAGCGCCACCTGGGAGGGAGGCAGAGCACCAGGATGAGCCGGCGAGGGCAGTGGATCCCTCCTGGGAGCAATCCCCTTCATTCATTCATTCCTTCATTCGTTCATTCACTCGTTCATTGCAGGGCTCCTGGCCGGGCTCAAAGGGGCCCCTCTGTGGAGCCGGAATCGTCCCCTTCACAAAGCATCTCACTGGGTCTGTCTCTGACCCAAGGACTCCTTTATCGGAGGCGGCACTCCGGTCCAGGAGAGCAGGTGTGGACCCCTGAGGCAGGGGGATCTCAGGGAGACACTCAGGGACGCACAGGGCTGAGTACCGCTGCATCTCGCCACCACTGAGCCCGGCTTCCCTGGGCTCTGAACAGTGCTCTGGGCACTGCCTGCCAAGGACTCGCTGTCCAGGAGCATGATGGGCAGCCCGCCAGGCAGGGCGCAGCCTGGCCACACAGGGCGGCGGGGGAAGGGGGATCCTGTCCCTCCAGGGAGAGATGGTGGTGGTCTTCCCCGAAAAGAACTATGTGGTAACTAGTTTTGTGGGTTTTTTTGGGGGGTCACACCCAGCGGTGCTCAGGGGTTACTCCTGGCTCTGCACTCAGGAATCACTTCTGCAGTGCTTGGGGGACCCTATGGGATGCTGGGGATTGAACCCCGGGTTGGCCACGTGCTAGGCCAGAGCCCTCCGTACTGTGATATCGCTCCCGTCCCAGCAGTGGTACCTTTGGAGGGAGTTTCCTCGGATGCTGTAGGGGAATTTGCTGCTGAGCTGGTTGAGTAGTGCTGATGACCCCCTGCAGAGGGCCCCCCACTTCCTGTCAGACCCCTGTCCCACCTCCTCAAACACCTGCGACCTTGAGGGACACCTAGCCTGCATGCCAAGAAAATCTGAGAGACCCCGCTGGATAGTGCCACCTGGGCACTGGCCTTCCACAGGGCCAGTCAGGTTCCATTCGGCTCCTGCACCCCAAAGGGTCCCCTGAGCCCCACCAGAAGTGATCCCTGAGTGCAGAACAGGGGGTGAGCCCCCAGCACTGCCAAAATAAAATAAACAGCCTGAGGCCAGAGCCCAGATTTCCTGGGGGGACTTGAGACATCTCGGGGGCTGCAGGCTTCCCATGACGTCCCTGCACACCTGCTGGGGACTAAGCCCACCCAGTCTCAGAAGTTCGGCAGCCGGGAGGGAGCTGCGGTGCGGGAGAACACCAAGTCCTCCCCATCACTTTGAGGGAGCACCACCCGTGATTAAAATTCAGTCTTTATCCTGATGCCCCCCCTTATCTCTTTTTAATCTTTCTCCTCCCAACCCCCAGCTCTGGTGCACAGGACTGACCTGTAAGCCCGCCGGCAGCCTCTCCCATCTCTGGGGTCAGCCCACCTGTGACCACACACACACACCCGAGTGCCCGGGGGTACCCTGGAAACGCTCACCTTCCTTCCGGGCCCCCAGATGGCCTCTGCATCCTCCTTGTGTGGAGGACCTCCTCAGACACCCATTTGCACAAAATTTAGGGTCGCGAGGCTCCACTGAGGGGTGGAGGGAGACGGGGTGGGGTCGAAGCGACACTAACTTTCCAGGTCTTGGGGCAAGTGGCCGCGACAGTCCCAGCCCCTGTCCCCGAGTGCCTTTGGGGGGTGGGGGGAGCCGGGCCCGTGCTCGGGGCGCAGCGGAGTGGGGCGGGGGCTTCTCACCATCAGCTGCTGGTCCTTGGGGTCCCCGCTGTCCTTCATGCTGGCGGCGGGCTCAGAGGCTCAGGCCGCGAGCGCAGGCATGGCCCAGCCTCGCCCCCACTGCCGGGCGCTGCCTGACAACCCGAAACCAACGACGCGCGGGCGGCCCAGGGCGCTGACCGGGGGCGGGGCCGGGGGAGGGTCCGCGGGCGCCGCCGCCGCCTCCGCGCCGCCCCCCGAGCCTGCGCCGCCCCGAGTCCGCCCGGCCCCCGCCGGTGCCCGCCCAGCGTCCGTTTGGCCACCCTGCAGCCCCCCCCGCGCCCCCCGCTCGCGCCCCCAGCTCGCGGCGACGTGCGCCCTGCGCTTCAGGCGCACCTGCGGCCCGGACCCCTCCAGTCCGTCTGTCTTGCCAGTCTGTCCGTGTCTCCAGGGCAGCGGTCACGTGTCTCTGACTCTGGGGGCCTGCGCCCACCCGCTGTTGCACGGGACAGGGAGCAGAAGGGTCCCTGGGCCCAGCGCAGCCCCCAACCCGCAGGGAGGGGAGCACCCTATGACTTTTAGGGTGTCGCAGATGGGCTACTTCCTAGGGCCCTGCGAGCAAACGGGCCTCTAGGCAAAGCCCAGCTGGGGGGTCCAGGGCGTCCCCTGGGGTTTGCTGGAGCCAGACCCCCTGGAGGGAGCGAGCGAAGGGACCAGCGATGCCCCATCCCGGAGTTGAGCGCAATGGAAAGGTTTCTCCTGGTCCCCCGGGAGGCAGGATTGGGTTCCCGCTTTGCTCCCAACGCGGAGATCCTGGGTTCCCCTCGGGGAACGCGGACCCCTCCCTTGGTCCATGTTCCCTCTTTCTCGTCTCCTGTCCCTTGGAAGCTTAGCCAGGCAGGGCCTGCGCCATCCGAAGCCAGGGGGAGGGGGCTTTGCCCAGGCGGGAGCTGGGGAGGAAGACCTCAGGTCCCCAGGGCCGGCGTAGACGGCCTGGCGCAGGGCCAGAGAGACAGCATGATGCCAGCTGTGCCCTGGGACCCGCTGCCCCAGCTGCTCCAGGAACCTGCGTTGTTTGTGGCGCTATTAATAACCAGGGCAGGAGGCAGATGAAAGGGAGAAGCCCAGCCACCAAGACGAAACCGGCCTTTTTTCTGCTCTCTCCCTGGGAACCCTGTGACTGGCTGGTGTGCAAATGGGTATTCCCCACAAGTATCCAGTAGTTCTGAGGTTGAAGTCCTTCTAGAAGGCCCTCCCAGCCTTTCTGAACCCACCAAGACATCCATTTGAACCCCATTAACTGCCCTATCCCTCATTTTTCTTTTCTTTTCTTTTTTTGGGGGTATGTGTGTCATACTTGGCGGTGCTCAGGGCTCACTCCTGGCTCTGCACTCAGGGATCACTCCGGGTGGGTTCAGGGGACACTATGGAGTGCTGGGTGCCAGGGCTCAAAGCTGGGTCAGCCGTATAATACTAGTGTCCCCCCACTGTGCTATTTCTCTGGCCCTGTTCTTTGCCCCATTTCCATGGGGTTTGTTTACTTCTGACATTTATTGTCAAATGCTTCTCTCTTTTTTTTTTTTTTTTTTTTTTGCTTTTTGGGTCACACCTGGGGATGCTCAGGAGTTACTCCTGGCTCATGCACTCAGGAATTACTCCTGGAGGTGCTTGGGGGACCATATGGGATGCTGGGAATCGAACCCGGGTCGGCCATGTTGGCTGCGTGCAAGGCAAACGCCCTACCTGCCGTGCTATCGCTCCAGCCCCTCTTTTTTTTTTTCTTTTTTGGGGCTGGAGCGATAGTACAGGGGTAGGGCGTTCGCCTTACACGCGGCCAACAAGGCCGACCCGAGTTCGATTCCTCCGCCCCTCTCGGAGAGCCCGGCAAGCTACCGAGAGTATTCGATATGCCAGACACAGTAACAACAAAGTCTCCAATGGAGACGTTACTGGGCCCGCTCGAGCAAATCGACGATCAACGGGAGGGCCTTTACCTTTTTACCTTTTTTGGGTCACACCCTGAAATGCACAGTGGTTACTCCTGGCTCTGCATTCAGGAATTACTCCTGGTGGTGCTCAGGGGACCATATGGGATTTGAACCCGGGTTGGCCGCATGCAAGGCAAACGCCCTACCCGCTGTGCTATCGCTCCGGCCCCTGTCGAATGCTTTTATTGCTACCCCTTTCTTCAATTTATTTTTTTACTAAAGATGAAGGCACCATAGACTAGAGCCTTCCCCAGGTGGGTGCTTGTCTTACACGCAGCCGACCCTGGTTCGATCCCCGGCATCCCATAGAGTCCCCCAAGCACCCCCAGGAGTGATCCCTGAGTGCAGAGCCGGGAGTAACCCCTGAGCATTGCAGGGTGTGGCCCCAAAACAAAACCAGTCAACCAACCACCACCAACAAAAATGTACTATGATTTATATAATCATGTAACTATGATTTCTATAGTTATTCATAGCTGAACGGTGGACAGCAGCGATAACACAGCGGGAGGGCATTTGCCTTGCATGTGGCCAACCCGGGTTCGATTCCTGTCCCTCTCGAAGAGCCCAGCTCACAACTGAGAGTATCCTGCCCGCACGGCAGAGCCTGGCAAGCTCCCCGTGGAGTATTCGATATGCCAAACACGGTAACAAGTCTCACAATGGAGACGTTACTGGTGCCTGCTCAAGCAAATCGATGAACAACAGGAGGACAGTGCTACAGTGCTATTCATAGCTGGGTTTCAGGAGTATGATGTTCCAGGCCCTGTCCCACCACCAGTGTCCACTTCCCCCTGCCAGCGTCCCGGGTTCCCTCCCAGTGCCCAGCCTGCCTCCCCATTTGGGCGCTTGTTATAGGAATCCAGTGCTCAGGCTCACAGCTACAGTGCTGGCACTGTAGGTTAATTTTGTTGTTGTTTTGGCTTTTTTGGGTCATACCCGGCAATGCTCAGGGCTTAACTGCACTCTGCACTCAAGTCCTGGCAGTGCTCGGGGGACTAAATGGGATGCTGGGGATCGAAACCGAGTTTGCGGTATGCCAGGCAAATACCCTCCTCACTGGACTATCACTCCGGCCCCCATATACATAAATTTTGAACTTGAGGTAGCAAAGGTGTGTTGCTAGCGGAGCCAGAGGGAGCTGGTAAAAGGGGGTGAATCAAAGCTACCAGAAACAGAAGGAAGATGTTTCTTCCTTCCTTGTCTTGGAGACTCACCCCATGGTGCTTGGGGCTTGCTCCTGGCTCTGGCCGCGCTCAGGGTACCCTGTGCTGCGCTGGGGGTCTAACTGGGGTCAGGGGCCGCAAGGCAAGCAACCCCTAACACATTTCCTCTGTCTCCCGTTTCTCTTCCTTGCTCCTGGCCAGACCCCAGGCCTCCATTCTGATATCTCTCCTGGAAACCTCAGGGCCTCTGGCCGGACGCCCTGTGGGAGAGCCCCCTGCCTCCCCGATTTCCAAAGCTCCAGCCACGAGTGGACTCAGGCACGTCCCTCCTGTCTCTTCTCCAGCTCGCTCCTGGGCTCCGGCTGTTTTTTTTTTTGGGAGCTGCTCCTGCCACGGCCGGTCAGATTTCCTTTTGGTTTTAGACCCACTCTCTGGCGGTACTCAGGGCTGACTCCTGGCTCTGTGCTCAGGGGTCACTCCTGGCTGTGCTCAGGGGACTCTGTGGGGTGCCGGGAAGGGACGCTGGGGCCCCCACGAGGCTTTGTTCCCCCTCGACTCCCCTCCCCCGCACCTGCAGCTCCCGGCCCCCATGCAGGGGCTGCACTGGGGGTGGGGGGGTTCCAAGCGGGGGTCCTGGAGCAAGAGCTCAGGTTCGTGACAGCCTGTGAATGTCATGGCTGGCTGAGGCATGGGCAGGAGCGTTCCCTCCCCGCAGAGGGCTGGGGACCGGTGCAGAGCAGGGTGGCAGCCTTGTCACTGGGCTTTGTAGCAGCTTCAGGGAGACAAATGAAGCCCGACGTGGGAGGAAGGAGCTTGGTGGGTGAACACAGCGCCCATTGAGGCTCTGCTCCCGGAGGCTGCTCGGGCTGGGGTTCAGATGCCGGAGAGATCAGGGATCAGAGGTCACGTGACTCCTCATGGGCCTGGACTCCTGGCGGGGGTGGGGGGCGGGGGGGGCTCTGCCTAAGCCTGAGCCCATTCTGCATCTCTGCCCCCAGGAGCCCCGACACCGGTAGCGAGGATGCAGAGAGTGGCGCCCCACGGTGCCCCCCACCCTGCAGCACCCAGGAGAGCTTGGGAAAGGATCTCGGGGGAGAGGTGGCCATCGCCACCCTCCTGCAGGGCCCATGCTCACCTCGATCTCCCTAGACTTGTACAAATGGTGCCAGCAGCCTCTTTCGTATGTGTATGTGTGTGTGTGTGAGCGTGTGAGTGTGAATGTGTGAACGTGTGTGTGGTGTATGTGTGCATGAGTATGTGTGTTTGTGTGTCTGTATGTGTGTACGAGTATGTGTATATGTGTGTGTGTGAGAAGTTGTGAGTGTGTATGTTGCTGCTGCCTGGAATCCCCCTTTCCCGACACTCTGGTAGAAGCACACACATGGTGCACATGTGAACACATAAAATCACATGTTCAAAAGAGGCATACACGTGCACACACACATACACGAGTGGCACAGATGCACACAGATGTACATGCATGCATGCATATGCACATGCGTATTATACATATACATGTGTGCGTGCAGGTGACACACACATGGATACATAGACACAGGTGTGCTGCGAAAATGTACATACACGTGCACATGTGCACACACAGGTGACACACATGGGGCAGAGATGCCTCACAGGTGACACGCATACACACAGATGCACACGCACACACGGGCACACATGAACACAGCCGTGACCCAGGCTCAGCTGTGCTGCGGGCACTCAGGATGGTCCTCCCCACAGCTGGGGGGAGTGTGCCTCATCCCCCACGGGCCCATCAGCCCCCCACTATTCCAGGAGCAGCGCGGCTGGGCTCTGCTCCCCCAGAGAGAGTGGGGTCTCCATTTCCGTTGAGGCCGGTGAGGGGGTAAAGGGGTCACTGTGGGGTTGGGCAGAGATGGGCCCTCTCCACGGGGCTCAGATCACTTTCCCTGAAATCCGGCAAAGACCCCCTCCTGACACTCTGAGAGCTCTGCACTCCAGCAACTCGCTAAGGGATGCCCCCAGCACCCGTGCCAACCTCTCCTGGGAGGCTCCTTTGGAATTCAGGTTCTAAGTGGGGCATCCACTGGTCAGTAGCTGGCACTGGGGCCCGGGTCATCTTTGTCCTGAGCGCCATCCATCTGTCCATCCCAGGCATCTGGCCTCAGCCCACTGGACACTAGCAGCATCACCAAGGCCATCATGAGCCCCCAGACAGACACAGGGACAGTCCCTGCCACCAGCTGAAACTGCTGCCCTCATGGCTCCTGGTGGTCACACAGCAGCGCAGGGGCTAGCCCTGGGGGTGCAAACCCACCAGTTCCCATGGGCTCTGCTCCCCGACACCCCAGATGTGAGCAGCCCCCTGCCTCCCTCCCTTCCTCCCTCCCTCCGTGTCCCCCTTGCCGCCCCTGTCCCCAGGGAATGAAGAGGGTGGTATGACTCCTCCTGGGGCAATTGCCAAGATCAAGGGCTCGGGAAGTGGAGCCCCGGAGATCTTATCGGGTGCTGGGACCGGGGTCCGCGTATTATATTTTGCCTGTGGTCAACAGAGGTGTGGCTGGCCCTGGCTCCCGCTCTGGTGAGATTCAGGAGTTTTTGTTTTCCTCTTTTTGGTTTTGGGGCCACATGCAGCAATGCTCAGGGCTTACTCTTGGTTTTGTTCTTGTTGCTTTATGTTTCTGGGCAACACCCAAGGATACTCAAGGGTCACTCCTGGCTCTGGTCTTGGAAACGGCTTCTGGCGGTGCTCGGGGACCATATGGGATGCGGGGGAATGGAATCAGGGTTGGTCACGTGCCAGGCAAACGCCCAGCCACTGTGCCATCACTCCACCCCTGCTGGCTTTGCTGTTATTCTGGGTTTGGGGGCAGCGCCCAACAAAGCTCAGAGGCTACTCCTGGCGCTATGCTCTGGAATTACTCCTGGTGAGCTCAGGGGACTCTATGAGGTACTGGGGGGTCGAACCCGGGTCTGCAACATCTCCAGGCGTGTGCCTTCACCAGCTGCTATCTCTGCAGCCCCCATCTTTTTTTTTTTTTGTTTTTGGGGGGATTTTTTTTTCTTTTTGGGTCATACCCGGCAATGCACAGGGATTACTCTGGCTCTGCACTCAGGAATTACTCCAGATGGTGCACAGGGGACCATATGGGATGCCGGGGGTTGAACCCCGGTCGGCTGTATGCAAGGCAAACGCCCTACTCACTGTTCTATGGTTCCAGCTTGAGTTTGTTGTTTTGTTGTTGTTTTTTTTCGTGTGTGTGTGTGTGTGTGTGTTTTGTTTTTGTAAAGAACGACAGGAGAAATCTTAGCAAAGAGAATGACAACCTGGCAAGGCAATTTGGTGTTTAATGTGCCATGTCTGCCCAGGGAGAAGCGTTGGCAGCAGCTTGGGGCCCACGCTACAGTGCCCGCCCCCCACGGAAACTCCCCGGAGACAATGGACAGAAGCGGGAGGTGCCTTGGCACCCTGCCCTGGGCCTGTGGGCACTCTGAGAGGGACGAAGGGAAAAGGGCGGAGGGGGGTCCTGGAGAAGTGGTCCAGGGCTGAGAGACCTGGGCAGCCCAAGGCGTGCCAGGGATGGGTAGGGCTGCCCCGCCCTCCCGCCATGGCCCACTCCGGTCTTGGCTCTGTCCAGTTGCATTTAGAGGGAGGGTCCCAGGGTCTGAGGTGGCTCTAAGAGCTGGACTTTAGGCTTCCTCCAGGTTTGGTCTCAGCCCCGCCTGGCTTCAGCACCAGGTGTAGCCCCCCAAAAAAACAAAAACAAAAAAATCGAACAGGAGGCCAGAGAGATAGCACAGTGGTTAGGGCACTGGCCTTCCACAGGCTGACCCGGGGTCCCGGCACCACGTCAAGTCAGAGCCCCTCCAGAAGCGACTCCTGAGCATGGAGCCAGGAGTCAGCCCTGAGCACCGCTGGGTGTGGCTCCCCAGAAAATAAACCCAAAAACCCAATAAACATACATAGACCGGGGAGAGGACTCAGCCCTCCACTGGGGAAGCCAGGTGGTGCCAGGGGCGGGGAGGGGGCTCCCGGGCACGGGGTGCCGGCCGCGGCCGCCGCCTGCCAGGCTAAGGCTCCTCGGCTTCGTTGGTCTCCCCCAGGGGGCTCACCCCCTCGCCCTCGGAGGCCCCCTCGCCATCGCTCTGCATGTCCTGCTCCTCCTCCACATGAGCCAGCGTCTACCAGGACAAAACACAGTCGTGTCGGCGGGGGGCACCTGCCCCAGGCCCCAGAGCTTAACAGGGCAAGGGGCCCGGAAGCCCCAGCAGAGCCTGGCTCGGGCTCTGAGACAGACCTAAAGATCAGCAGGCGGGTGGCAGCCAGGCGCCCAGGACCCCTACCCGCACCCCGCCCCTCCCATGTCCCCTGTCCCCCTGCACTCTGACCCCCACACCCCTGCTCCCTGGCTCCCCACCCATGCCCCAGGCCCCTCATGTCCCCCTAACACCCTGGACCTCCCATACCCCCTACATCCCCCCTGCTCCTCCTGGACCCCTCCCAAGTCCCCCCACACTCCCCAGCGCTCCCCCCATGCCCCAGATCCCCCATGTCTCCCCCACGCTCCTGACATCCCCCCATCCCTCACCCCTGCACCCCTGCGCCCCGGACCCCTACAGGCGTTTGCTTGTTCTTCAAGGCCTCCGCCTCCTTCTTCCTCAGCTCCGAGAAGATGATGTCGAAGAACTCCTCCTCCGCCTTGGCCACTAGCTCGTCCATGGTACCCGACAGCTCGGTGTCCCGCAGCTCCTCGTCCCGGCCCTCGGCGCGGCCCTTCTCCTTCAGCCGCATCTCCCGGTGCCGCGCCTCCAGGATCTTCTCACGTCTCGTCTCCCGCTCGAAGATCTAGTTGGGCCCGAGCGAGAGCACAGCGGGGAGGCACTCGCCTGGCACGCCGCCCACTCGGGGTGAATACCCGGCATCCCAGAGGGTCCCCGAGCCCTGCCAGGCATGGTCCACAAGCACAGAGCCAGGAGTCAGCCCTGAGCACAGAGCCAGGAGTCAGCCCTGAGCACCATCAGGTGTGGCCCCGAAACAACAACAAGATCTGGGCCGTGCTCCGGGATTCAGAGAGAGCCAGAGTAGGGGCCGGGGGGGCTCTGGGTGCAGTGTCCCCTCCAGCTCTGCTCCAAGCATCTCCCCAGAGAGGTGGGAGGTGGGAACAGGGATTCTCCCTGCCCACCCACCACCAGCAACTCCAAGTCTGCAGAGTGCAGAAAATTCTGGAACAGCAGCATGTGGCAGCCCCGGGCCGGCTCAAGGGTGGAATTCTGTCTCAGCCAGAGCCCAGAGGTTTTTCCTTGGAGTCTCCATTCTACACGTGCCCTTCCAGGCAGGTCAGCTGTGGGGGTGGGGGGCTGGGGGCAGCCCATCTTTCTTCTCCGCCTTGTTTTGGCGGATTCTATGAAACAGAAGCAGCTGGAACCAGCTGCACTGAGCGGGGTCCATGGATGGGTGGGACCCTGATCTCCTCCAGGAGAGATCCCTGAGCACAGAGCCAGGAGTGAGCTCTGAACATAGAACTGGGGGTGAACCCTGAGCACAGAGGCAGGAGCAATCCCTGAGCAGCGGAAACATGTGGGTTTGGGGTTGAAAGGCTGAGCCCCAGGGCAGGGCTGTGCCTTGGCTGCATGCCCGCGGCTTGGCAGGGAGGCCCCCAGCCCTGCACACTCCAGCACTCACGGAGGAAGCCATGTTCCGCTCGTTCTTCTGCATGGTGGAGAGTCCGGGGGACACCTCCAGCAGCGTGGTGGTCCCTAGTTGGGAGCCACAGGCGATGAAGGTCCCGTTGTCTTGCACCCGGAGGCAGTAAAGGGGCTCGTCGCTCACCTGCGGAGGGGCCGGTGTGACCCCTCCTGGACCGAGGGCCTGGCCCTGCCCCTGGCCCGCAGGACCCAGCACAAACCCTTAGCCTGGTTGTCAAGGTCCTTCCAGGGGTTCCCCCAGCCTTACTGCACCCCTGCCCACCCCACGTCCATCCTCCCCAAGCCCAGCAGTGGCACAGCACTGGCCGTAAGAAACGACAGCCTGAGTGCAGCTGAGTTACTGAGATACAACGATCATCGATCAATGGATCAATCGATCAGCTCAGCTGTCAGGAATCCTGTATGAGGGTGCTGAAGGAAGTGGTGGGGGGGCATGCATTGACTTTTCTTCCTGTTCTTTCTTGGGGGGGGGCCACACTCAATGGTGCTCAGGGATGACTCCTGGCTCTGTGCTCAGGGACCACTGCTGGTGGGGCTTAGGGGACTCTATGGGGTGCCGGGGATGGAACCCGGGTTGGCCATGTGCAAGGCAAACGCCCTCCCCGTTGTACAGGGCCCTGGGAGACCCCGATGCCTGGGGGCTGGGTGGCTGCAGGACCTTCAGGCTGAGCGCCGGGTCGCAATGCTTGAACACAAAGTCCCAAATGTCCAGGGTCCCATCCATCTTGGTGGTGAAGAACACGGCCGGCCTCACAGGGCTCCAGGTGCCATCCGTGAGGTAAGCCATGTGGTACCTGTCGGGGGTAGTCAGGGCCTCACAGGAGGTCTCACAGGAGGCAAACATTCTCCCTCCTTGCCCACCCATGACCCTCTAGAGCTCACTAGAAGCTCCAACAACCTTCCAGGTCTGGCCCCATCCACTCACTGGCCAGGGACCTCTCCACAGCTAATCCATATACCAGCCAGATGTTGGGAGCCCCCAGATGTGAGACTCGACAAAGGGAATTGCAGGAACCCCCCAGCAGAGTTAATGAGGTTATCGGGCTGGAGGGGACAGGGCAGTTGGAGGCGTTGCCTTGCATGCGGCCAACCTGAGTTCAATCCCTGGCACCCCAGAGCTGCCTCCCGGCCCTGCCAGGAGTGAGCCCCAAGCGCAGAGCCAGGAATAAGTTCTGAGCACCACCAGGTGTGGCCCCCAAACCAAACCAGACCAGAAACAGCACCCGGTCTGCCCTGGTTCGGGACATCTCAGCCCAGGAACTAAAGCCAAGGTGGTCCTGGCGAGCTCCATTCCCTCCTGGGGCTTCTCAGCATCACCTGCTCCTGGCCTGGCCTTCAGGCCTCTAAACACAGACTCACGGTGGTGACCGAGACCATCAGGGGCCTGGACAGTGTGAGGGCGAGGATCTCTGCATGCCCCAACCTGGCCTCGGTGGGGGGCGTCAGGGCAGGAGTGCGGCTCTGCAGGAGGGACAGCCACTCGGAGGGCCACCCGCCCCTCGCCCGCCCCCCACCCCCCTTACTTCGTCCACATGATGGATGACTCTCGGCTGTCTTCCGACCATATGCGAGCCGTCCAGTCGCCAACCGTCAGGAAGTTCTTGGGGTAGAAGGGGTTCCTCTGGAGCGCATAAATGGGGCCGTGGTGGCCCGAGAAGGTGCACACGATCTTCTCGCCCGCCGTCTTGGCCTTGCGGTTGCAGGAGATGACGATGCCCTGCTCTGTGCCCACCATGAACTTGGTGGGCTGTGGAGGGGACGAACACGGGCCGGGGCCTCCATCAAGCGGAAGCTCTGCGGAGCTTGGCGGGCAGGGCAAGGGGAGGCGCGAGGCAGAAGCCGGGCCGGGGCCCCAGGGAAGCCCATCTTGGGCTGCCCCCCCTTTTTCTTTCCTTTTTTTTTTCTTTTTGGGTTGTACCCAGTGACGTACAGGGGTTACTCCTGGCTCATGCACTCAGGAATCACTCCTAGCGGTAGCTCAGGGGACCATAGGGGATGCTGGGAATCGAACCTGGGTCGGCTGCGTGCAAGGCAAACGCCCTCCCCGCTGTGCTATCACTCCAGCCCTCCCCCTTTTCAGACCCCACTGTTTAGGAGAAGCCGCTCGAGGGCCGACGCTGCGGCTCCCCCCTGTCGCCCCTGTACCCTGAGAGTCTCTTCACTGGCCTGGGGGAATCCACAGCACCCAAGAGGCCACAAGGAAACCAGGCTCATGTGGGGTTCTCTATGCCTGGAGCTCAGGTATTGCCAGCAGCCAAGCTATGAGGCTCTGTAGGCCGTGGCTGGTCCTCTGTCCCCTGCGGCCTGTGTGATCCTTGACCTCTTGATACCCTGACGCTCCCCAGCTGGTAGGTGCTCTGTTCACATTTGTAGACTCTCTGCCCAGTGCTCACCCCATTCCCAAGTGTGGCCTCCCTCTGCCATACAAGGCTCTGTCCACTCTATGTCCTTCAGCTTGGCTTCCAGCCACACCAGTCCTGCCAGGGTCCTGGCAGGACCAAGCCCACAGGGGCCGTGCAGAACTGGGGGGCTGGGGAGGGGCTCCCTGAGCGGGAGAGGCGTTTTCCAGGTGCCTCTGCAGTCCCCGGGGGTGACAGACTCCCCGCAGACCCAGGCTGCCGTTTCCCCACTCAAGCGAGGCACTGATGAGGCTCCCATCCCCGAGAAAAATGAGGGACAGAGGGACTCAGGCCTTTCCTCCCCACACCCGCACACCCTCCCCGATTCCTGCCAGCCTGCGGGAGCCCATGTGACCTGGTGACCGTCCAAGGGGGAAACCAGGTCCAGCTGGCAAGATGCAATCCAGGGGCCAGCCAAGCCTGGCACCATGGACTGCACATTATTTTCTGCTTCCAGAAGCTTCCCTCGGACACTCACATCACGACTCAATTCGGAATTGCTCTTTTTCGACTCTGGTCTCTTTTCTGGGGGTAGGGGCTCCGGGACAGTAGCCGGCTCCGCTGGGGCGTTCCCCAAATCCCCCCTCTCTGGGTTCTCCTCCGGCTGGACCCTGAGTCTCCTGACATCACTTCCTCTCCTCCCCCTCCCCCTCTTGCCCCAAAACAAACCACCAGCCCAGGGACCTTCCCAAACAGAGGCCTGGGCTCCCGCTGCTGGCCCTGGCGGCCTCTTTCACAGAAGGGGCTTTTCTGGACCCTTGTCTTGTTTTTCCCCAGGAACCAGCGAGAAGGAGCAAAGGGGCCATGCCCAGGAGGCTGGGCTGCTCCCTACTGGAGAGGGGGCATGACCACCACGGGGGCTGGTCCACAGCGCCCCCTGGAGGACATCAGCGTCCTCTGCACTGGCCTTGGCCTGCCCCGGCTCTCTGGGCCACAGGCCACCCAGGGGAGGACACGGAAGGACACTCACCAGTGCTGACTCGAATTCCAGCGAGATGGCCCCCAGGGCGTTTTCCAGCATCTCCTTCCGGGTGATGTCCATGATCACCACCTCGGTGGGCTCACTCAGCTTCCGGATGTCCCACCACATGACCTGCAGGGACCGGCCACCTGGAGGCGCAGGCCCCGGAACGGGGGTGTTCTCCTGGCTTTGACCTGTCCACACCCCTCACTGTGCAGGGCCAGCCCTGGGCACAGAAGGCAGGGAGCGTGTATGTTGGGTTGGGGATGATGTTGTATGTGATTGGGGGTGGACGCTGTGTGTGGGTTGGGGGGATGGTCACTGTCGGGGTGATGGTCACTGTGTGGCGGTGGGGATGGTCACTACTGAGGAGGGGGGCTCGGACGACAGGAGAGCATTTGCCTTGAACACAGCCAGCCTGGGTTCGATTCCCGGCACCCCCTCTGGTCCCTGAGCACAGAGCCAGGAGTCAGCCCTGAGCCCCTCTGGGTGTGCTCCTCCATGCTCCCAAAAAGTGAAACGTAAAAGCAACGTTTGCGGGTAGGTGCAGTGGGGAACCCCTGCCCTGCCCCTGAAGCCTGGCCCCCTGCCCTGCCCCTGAGGCCCCGCCCCTGTTCCTGAGCCCCGCCCCTCACCCGAGGCCCCTCCCTCTCCGAGGCCCCGCCCCGGTCCCTGAGGCCCCGCCCCTTCCCGGGCTCCGCCCCAGCCCCGACCCTCCCGGTACCTGCCCGTCAGTGGACGCCGAGAAGCATTCGGTGCCTGTCTTGGACTGCAGCCAGATGGAGCCGTACACGGGGTCGCGGTGGCTGAACTCGATCGTGGACAGCTCTGCCACCAGGCTGCCCTTCCGCGTGTCCCAGCAGGCTGGGGGGCGAGATGGGTGGGCCGCTCAAGGGGGAACGGGGGACCCCACCCTGGTGCAAACGTGTTGGTGTGTTGGTGTTCAGCATCAAGGTTGGATTCGCCCAAACAGAGCTTCCCGCTGCTCCCCCCCCCCCACCCCCCCCCCCGGTTCCCTGATCCTCTAAAAAGCCTCCCGAGTAGACACTTGCTTCATTCCGCTGAACCTTGACCACCATACTAGCCCTGGGGAAGTCACTGGGCCAGGCACAGGTGTTGAGGGACAGGAAGGGGACCTGCAAGTTTGGCCCATCAGAGAACCTCTGTGGCAGTCGGGGAAGGCTTCCTGGAGGAAGAGCCAAGATGGAGCATGAGGAGCCTGGCAGAGGAAGAAAACCCTCCCCAACAGAGGATGAGCTTCACTGCTGCAGAAACTCAGCTTCGTTCATCATCTGCTCCTCTGTTGGCTGCCTCTCAGGGAAAGGAAACAGGAAACTTTACCTGGACCCCAAGTGCCCATGAGGACATCCCTATTTCTGCTCAGGGCTGACTCCTACCTCTGTGCTCAGAAATCACTCCTGGTGGGGTTCAGGGGGGCCATATGGAGTGTCAGGGATTAAAGCCAGGCAAGAGTCTTCCCCACTGTATGACAGCTCTGGCCCAAGTCCCAGGGACAAATCTTCCTCGCAGAGGTGACTTGGGTCCTCCCCTCCTCTCCCTCCACAGCTGCCACCGTGGGTTCAATCCCCGGCATCCCATAGTGTAGAACTACAAGTGAGCCCTGAGCACAGAGCCAAGAGTAAGCCCTGAGCACTGCTGGGTATGGTCCCAAACCCAAACAAAAACAGTAGGCTGAGGCCAGATAGTAGTACAGTGGGTAGGGCCCTTGCCTTGCAGGAGGTTTACCCAGATTCAGTGCCAAGCACCCCATTTTGTCCCCCAAAGAGTGCCAAGAGTACCCCTGAGCACTGTTGAGTGTGGCCCCAGAAGAAAATAAAAACAAAAGGCTAAGCAGATAGCTGACGGGCAGAGCTGGAGGAGGGCGTCCAGGGAGTCTTGGAAACTCTGAAATGCTCCTGAGAAAATCCCCAATGCAGGCACAGCTGTGAGCACGCCTCCCAGGTGCAAATCACCAAAAATGATCCCCTGAGGCCGGAACAATAGCCCAGCGGGGAGGGTATTTGCTTTGCACACGTGGCCGACTGAGTTTGATTCCCTGTATTTTATATGGCCCCAGCCCACCCCCACCGCCCCAGCACCGCCAGAAGTAATGCATGAGCCAAGAGCCAGGAGTAACCGGTGAGTGAGCACCGCCAGGTGTGACCCCAAAACAAAACAAAACCAAAATTCCCTGACCTCCGCCAGGGGGTGGTCCTGAGCACAGACTTAGAACAAATCTCTGCTCTCCTCTGGGTGCTATTGGGGAGAGGGGACTTTGAACTTTGGGTGGGGGGTGGTCCAGTCAGACAGACTGAGAAAGGCCGGATGGGTGGTTTATGGGACCTTTAACACGGAAAGTGGAAAGCTACTTCCCTGGGGGACCCTGATTTCTCCGAATGAGAGAAAAATCCCCCTGTGATAATCCACTTTAGAAAATCTTGCCCCCATCAGGCACTTTAGTTCCCTGCCCGCCTGTAAAAGTTCAGCCTGGATGGGGCTGGAGCAATAGCAGAGCAGGTAGGGCGTTTGCCTTGCGCGCGGCCAACCCGGTTCGATTCCCAGCATCCCATGTGGTCCCCTGAGCACTGCCAGGAGTAAGTCCTGAGTGCAAAGCCAGGAGTAACACCTGTGCGTTGCCGGGTGTGAACCCCCAAAAAAGCAAAAAAAAAGTTCAGCCAGGTTAAATTAGCATAGACGGGCAAATGTCTGTAAACAGATGCTTGCCCTTATTTTTCTGAGGAATGTTGGTTTTTTGTTTGTTTTTGTTTGGGGGCCACTCCTGGCCAGTGCTCAGGACTTTTTCCTGGTTCTGAGTTCAGGGATCACTCCTGGCAGGGCTCAGGGGACCATATGGGGTATTGGGGATTGAACCCAGTTCAGAGGCATGCAAGGCCAATGCCTCCCCTCGTACTATCACTCTGGCCGCAAGTAATGTTGGTTCAAGACAATACCTATATGGAGAGCTAGTACCGTGGGTTCAATCCTGCGCTTCTCCTATGGTCCCCCAAGCCCCATCAGGAGTAATTCCTGAGCACAAAGCCAGGAGTAACCCCTGACAACGTCGGGTGTGGCCCCCCCAAACAAAATTAAACAAACAAGAACAAAGACGGTCCACTGGGATTCTTTTTAAGAGGAAGACCAAAGCAACTCTCAGTTGGAAAATGTACAGGAACTGAAATGAAAATTCAAGAGCACAAACTCGGCAGGTAGCTGAGAGGGCAGAAGTGACTGAGCATGGTGACAGGCCACTGCAGATGATCCAGGCTGAGAAAGAAAAGCAAATGAAGGAGGGGAAGCAAAGTTTCAGAGAGCAGAGGGGTGCACCCCCCACAGAAGTCGTAGGATGAGAGGGGAAAGAGAGGGGCCCAGGGCGAACAGGTAACAGGAGCTTCCAGCTTTCTTTTATTTTTCTTTTTGGGTCACACCCAGCAATGCACAGGGGTTATTCCTGGCTCTGCACTCAGGAATTACCCCTGGCAGTGCTCAGGGGACTATATGGGATGCTGGGAATCGAACCCAGGTTGCCACATGCAAGGCAAACGCCCTACCCGCTGTGCTATCACTCCAGCCCCAAGCTTCCAGCTTTGAGGGAATAAAACCCTGAATCTGCACATGTAAGAACTCAGTACTTCCAGAGTAGGATGAGTTGAAAGACAGTCACATCAAAACATGCCTTGCTCCTAACAAAAGTGAGCGAGAGAGAGAGAGAGAGAGAGAGAGAGAGAGAGAGAGAGAGAGAGAGAGAATCAGAAAAGCCAGCAAGAGTGTGAAGGACCAGGAACAAAGTCAGAAGGGCCAGCCAGAGTGGAGGGGAGCACAGTGGGGAGGGTGTTTGCCTTGCATGCAGTCAACCTGGGTTTGATCCCCGGCATCCCATATGGTCCACCTGAGCAACACCAGTAGTAATTGTAATTCCTGAATGCAGAGCCAGGAGTAACCCCTGAGCAAGGGAAAAAGAAACAGTCAGAAATCAGGGGCCAGAGCAATGGTACAGCGGTGGGGAGGGCTTTTGCCTTGCATGTGGCTGACCCAGGTTCGATCCCCGGCATCCCATATGGTCCCCTGAGCACCACCAGAAGTAATCCCTGAGTGCAGAGCCAGGAGTAGCCCCTGAGCGTTTTTGGGTGTGACCCCCTTCCCCCCAAAAACATCATAAATGAAATAGGGGCTTCACCGTCACCTTTACGAACCCAAAGCGACTCCGACTCTCCGGGGTTGTCACAAACAAATGACTAACTGGAGAAGTTCAAAAAAGGCAAAGAGACTGGGAAGAAACAGAATGTGGCAGAACTGATCATTGAAAGTGTTTCCATTGGTGACTTTTGCAACAGCACTCAGGAAAAGCCCCAAAAGAGCAGAGAGCCTGGGGGCTCCCACAGAACACGGGAGAAATTCATGCTTATGCTGGAGCTGGAGAGATGCCAACCAGGGCGAAAGGCACTGGCCTTGCACACAGCCGACCCCGGTTCGATTCCTGGCACCCCAGATGGTCCCCTGAGCACAGAGCCGGGAGTAAGCCCTGAATGCAGCAAGAGTCCCAAAACAACAAACCAGAATTCGTGGCAGCTTCTTGCCAGCTTGTCCTGACACACCAGAGAGGGGCAACGCTTCCGCTTGCTCCGTACCAAGGGTGTGGCTCAATTTCTATATCAGCTTTGTCTGCTGAGTTGGAGTCCCCCTCCCTGCCCCCCTGCCATATCCTGGCCCCTTCACCCTTGGACCCCCAGGCTGGCTTAGATGACGCTGCAGGAAATGCAACTTGAGTTCACTCGGCTTTTTTTTTTTTTTTTTTTGCTTTTTGGGTCACACCCGACACTGCACAGGGGTTACTCCTGGTTCTGCACTCAGGAATTACTCCTGGCAGTGCTCAGGGGACCATATGGGATGCTGGGAATCGAACCCAGGTCGGCTGTGTGCAAAGCAAACGCCCTACCCGCTGTGTTATGGCTCCAGCCCCTCACTCGGCCTCTTGTCTCCTTCACTTTCTTTCTGCCAAACAGGTTTATTCAGGAAGCTAAAGGGAATGAAGAGAGAGTGCATGGTCTTTTCCCGAGCAGAAGGCCCCAAGCAGTGACGAGAATCATTTTCCCAGGATGAGGAAATTTGCCCTAAAGTCAGAATGTCCACAGTTCAGACAGAGGTGAGCCAAGGAGACCTCCTGAACTTTCTCTCTGCAGCTAATTTTGTTTTCTTTGTTTGTTTGTTTGGGGACCACACCCAGAGGTGCTCATGGCTTACTTACTCCTGGCTCTGTGCTCAAGGATCACTCCTCGTGAAGACGCCATGAGATGTCTGGGATTGAACTGGGGGTCTGCACGCCAGATCATCACCCTGCCCACCGTATTATCTCTCTGGCCCCTTTGTTTTGGTTTTTCTGTTTTGTTTGAAGCACATTCAGGACCACGGTGACTCTTGCCACTGGCCACACAGCGGAGGGCCAGGGGTGGGGGAGTGCCCAGGAGCTGGACTGTCGTGAGGGGTTCGGCTCCAGGGGTAGGGTCTGGATGTCCCCTCACCAATCTGCCCGTTGTAGCAGCCCCCCAGCAGCACGTGGGAATCTTTGGGGTTGTACTCCAAGGTGACCAGAGGGGAGGCCGGCTTCAGGGTCATCTCAGGCCTGTTGGGGTTGTCTGCAAAGCGGGAGAAACAGGCAGGGGGAGCAGTTTGCCCATGATCTAATTAGTCTCTCTGCATCCTACGCTTAGCTGTCACATACCGTCCATCAGCCGTCGACGTCCACCATCTGTCACTGCCTAGAACCTGAGCATCTTCGCCATCGTTTACCTGTCTGCCTCCTGTCCATCCGTCCGCCCATCTGTCCACTTGCCCACCCATTCGTCAACTACTAAACTACTACCCTCACTGATAATCATCTATCACCATGTGCAAACCCTCCATCCATCTGCTCATCTTTAATCTATCATCTAGCTGTCATCTACCCATTCATCCATCATCTCTCCATTTGTCGGCCTGTCCGTCAACCCATTCATCTATCCGTCCACCTGTCTTCCCGCCAGAACTGGAAAGAAAAGGACAAAGTCACACAGTCGCACCCTTCTGTAGGTGTAGGGTGGGGTGGCAGGGAGATTGTTCTGGAAGCTCTTTCTCCAGGCCGCCACTCCGGAGGCCCAATTGGCCGCCTTGCCCTGAGGGGGGGTCTCTGAGTGGCTGTTAGCTGTGTGATCAGACTAGGGTCTGGGGCGGGGGGCAGGAGGAGATGGGACATGTAGCCCCGCCCACCAACCCAGCCCGGCCCCACCCCTGCCCCGCCCCTTATCCTGAAGCCCCGCCCTTGGCCCTGCCTCTCACCCAGGTCCCAGATGTAGGACTCATTGCTCATGCCCTGGGGTGCCCGTTGGAAATTCAGGCAGGAATACGCCACCGCCAGCTTCCGGCTGCCATCAGGGTGCCAGGACAGGTGTGTGGCAGGCCGCTTGATTTCCTGGGGATCCCTTTAGGGGGCAGCCAGAGAACAGAAGACTGAATGCAGGGTTCCCCCAAAGTCTTATTTATCTTCCTTTCTTCTTTTTTTGCGGGGAAGAACCACACCAGTTGATGCTCAGGGCTTACTCCAGGGGCTCTGTGTTCAGGGATCACTCCTGGCAGTGCTCGGAGGACCATAGGGCATGCTGGGGATCAAACCTGGGTCAGCCGCATGCAAGGCAAACACCCTCTACACTGTACTAACCCTCCACCCGCTTCCTTTCTTCCCCTCCTTCCTTCCTTCCTGAGCACAGCCAGTGGTGATCAGTGGTTACTCCTGGCTCTGTGCTCAGGGGTGTTGCTCCTGCTGGTATCTGAGGGACCAAGCAGTGATAGGGGTCAAAGTTGGACCTCCTGCATGCAAAGCCTGTGCTCCAGCCTGTGCTGGCTGGGTACCTCATGCTCTGTCCCTTCCTGGCCCGGCTCCCTGTACTCCCCTGAACCCCCATCCCAGTCCCCAGCGACTGGGGAAGACAGCCAGAGCTGTCGCTTCTGGAAGTGCCTGCCCAGAGGGGGTGCCACCTGCCTCCCTGTGGAGGCACCTGAAGACATTGATGGTCTTAGCTGAAGGGGCCTCCTCCATCACCTCCGCCGGGTCCTCATCGTCAAAGTACTCCTGGTAGATGTCGATGGAGTTGTTCTGTTTGATACAGTGCTCCATGATCTGAGGGACACAGTGGGCGGGGCAGGGGGGCTTCCATCAGTCTGACCAGGGCTGAGACAGTGTGTGGGAAGGACAAGAAACCACGGGCGGAGGCGGAAGCGACAGTACAGCAGAGAGAGCGTTTACCGAGCACACGGCCAACCCTGGTTGGATCCCCGGCATCCCATAAGGTGTCCTAATGCCCCCATGGAAAGTGAGTGCCTGGGTGTATGTGGGTTGTGTGTTCCTGCTCTATACCCAAACCCAACCCCGCTTCACCTCCAGAACTGATGTTGGTCCCCACTGAAATCGTTGGCAAAAAAACCACTCCTTTTTTGCTTTTGGTTGGGGGCCACACCCTGCCATGCTCAGGGGTTACTCCTGGATCTGCACTCAGGAATCACTCCTGGCGGTGCTCAGGGGACTTTATGGGATGCCGAGGTTGGAATGTGGGTCAGCTGCGTTGTGCAAGACAAACGCCCTCCCTGCTGTGCTATCTCTCCAGCCTCCCACACCCCCAGCATCTCTGTGGTGACCCTGAGTTTGTCTCTGTCCCCTCATGTACCACTGGGCACTGGAAATATGTCAGTTTCTTCCCTGCAACTTCCGGTGGGCCTGGTCTGAAGGGGCTGGATGGCCCCTGTGTTCAAGTCTCGGTGGTGGCGGGGACTGTCCTCTGGGGTCCATGGCCCTCAGGGTCTCTTCCCACTTTCAGGTTTCTAAGGAAAACTGTCCAGCCCTGTTCCTCTCTGCATCCCCAGAGACACTCCTTTCGGACCTTCTTTTGTGTCCTCCCCGCCGCCCCCTGGGAGGCCCCTCATTGTGCCCAGCTGCCCTCACCGTGCCCACCTGCCCTCACCGTGCCCAGCTGCACGATGGCGTTGATGTAATTCTCATCCTTTTCCACCTTCTTCCGGAAGCGAATGGTCTGCTCCAACTCCTGGGGGTTCACATCTTTGGGCCATCCCCCCTCGACGTGATTGATCCCCCGCGTCTCCATCTCGAACCGATCGGTGTTGGCCTGAAGAGAGAGCCACATGGACGAGACAGCTGGTCTGGGCTGATCGCAGGTGCGGTCAGGGTTCGGTGGCGCCCTTCCCACGATGCGTTACTCTGAGCCTCCGGCAGGGGGCGCTGGTCACTGGAGAGTCACCGCGTGTCACCCGCTTTGGAGTGTCTGCCCGTGGAAATGCGGGCTGGACTGGCTGAGCCCGTGACAGGGGGGCTCACCTCTTGGCCATATGCTAAAGAAAGGGCTCGGGACAGCCCCCTCCCCCCGCAACCCCACAAGGTCGCAAGGTCAGGCAGGCCAAGGCTCTGGGAGGCCAACACAGACCCACTTCAAGGCCTTGCCTTCTTTTCATTTTCTTTCTTTTTGGTTTGTTTTTGGGGTCTTGGGCATGCCTGGAGGATCTCAGGGATCGCTCCTGGAGGGAATCCAGGAAACCCATAGGATGCTGAGGACCGAAATCGGGTCAGCTGCATGCCAGACACGCACTTTACCCATTGGACTATTACTCCGAGCAAAAAAAAAAAAAAAAATATATATATATATATATATATATATTACAGGGGCTGGAGTGAGAGTAGAGCAGATAGGACATTTGCTTTGCACGCGGCCGACCAGGTTTGATTCCCCACATCCCATACGGTGTCCCGAGCACCGCCAGGAGTAATTCCTGAGTGCAGAGCCAGGAGTAATCCCTGTGCCATCACCAGGTGTGACTCCAAAAAACAAAAAGAAAATTTATTTTGACCAAAACAAATTTTTTTTGGCCGCACCCAGCGATGCTCAGGGGTTACTCGTGGCTCTGCGCCCAGGGATCACTCCTAGCCTCCTGGTGGTGTGTGGGGAACCCTATGGGATGCCAGGGATCAAACTCAGGTTGACCTCATGCAAGGCAAATGCCCTCCCTGCTGTCCTGGCCCTATATATTTTTCAGTTGTGCTAAGTGGACAGAAAGTCTAAACCAAGAAAACAATTGACGGGTGGGAAGCCTTAGAGACGGCACAGCAGGGAAGATGCTTGCTCTGCATGCAGCTGACTGGGCTTTGTTCCCCTGGCACCCCCAAGGACCCATGGGGAGGGGGTCTGAGCAGGAGCCCCTAATCTCCCGGTATGGGCAGGGGTGCTGGGCAGGGCTGTGCTGGTCCTCTGCCTCTCCCAGGGTGGAGCTCAGGGGGACCCTGTGCTCACACGCTCTGCGTCTGCCTAGTCCACATGACCTGCGTCCAGGCCAGTAGGGGCCCCGGGTCCTATGATGTGCCCGGCCACCAGCCCAGCCGCACACCTCGTGTTCGGACATGCTGGTGGAGCACTGGATGCCTGTGTCGATGGGGTTTCGCTCCACGAACTGCTCGGCCAGCTCGGGGTTGGGCGGAATGTCGATGTTCAGTTCCGCCTGGCGGTCCGAGAAGTTGCATTGCTTCCCGAACTCGCTGCGCTTCTTCAGGTACACGTATACGATCTCCATGGCACCAAGCACTGCGGGCAGAGCTGAGGTGAGGCATCCTGTAACCCCTCCCCGCCCCACACACACACCTGGAGAGGGCTCCAGGGAGGCTTCAGATTAGCAGTTGGGTTAGGAGTATGAATGTCACTGTCACCGTCCTCCCATTGTTCATCGATTTGCTCGAGCGAGCCCAGTAACATTGTGAGACTTGTTACTGTGTTTGGCATATCGAGTACGTCACGGGTAGCTTGCTAGGCTTTGCTATGCAGGTGAGATACTCTCGGTAGCTTGCTGGGCTCTCCGAGAGGGGCAGAAGAATCGAACTCTGGTCGGCTGTGTTGGCTGCATGTAAGGCAAAAGCCCTACGCACTGTGCTATGGCTCTAGCCCAGGAGTATGAATATGGGTTTAAAAAAAAAATCAGGGCTGGAGCCATAATACAGTAGGGAGGGGTTTGCCTTGTACGTGGGTTCGATCCTGCACATCCCATAGGGTCCCCGAGCACTGCCAGGAGTGTTTCCTGAGTGCAGAGTCAGCAATCAGCCCTGTAATGGGGTGTGACACCCCATGCTCCAGAAAGAGATAGTACAGGAAATAAGTGGCCAACTTCCCATTCCATTAACAGCACTGTATGGTTCCCCGAGCATGGCTGGGGGTAATCCTGAGCACAGAGCCCAGAGTAGCTCCTGAGCACCATCAAGTATGACCGAAACTCCCCCCAAAGGCAGCAACTGACAAGGCATTTCAGGAAACAGGAAGTGAGCCCCCTGCCCCAGGACATGCACAGACTGTTCCCACACACCAGCGGGGTCACCAAGATGAATCACCAGGTCAGGGCTGAGCTGGGGTCATGTCACTCCCCACCCGGCGAGACAAGTCCCGCGGGGACCCCAGCAAAGCCTGAGCACTCCAGACTGCCTGCGGGGCACCCTTCAGAGGAGGCCGAACACCCCGCCGCCCTCTGGGTGCTTGTGGGGAGATCAGCACCCTGCCCAACCCCGTGGGAAGCTGGAGACCCAGGCGTCTCAAGGGAGCACGGGACCCCAGATGGTACATCTGACGGTGGGCGGTCAGACCCCAAAGGATCAAGGCCCCCCTCCCTGTCTGCGGGGGAGCGCTGGAATGGGGGAAGCAGAACCCACAGTGAACAAAGAGGGTTTCCGAGAGTGCTGGGGCCGAGCAGAGCCACGAGGAACCCCAGGGTAGTGTTAGGAGGCATTCTTGGGGGAACAGGGTAATCTGATTTTTTTTTCTTTTTGGGTCACACCCGGCGTTACTTCTGGCGCTGCACTCAGGAATTAATCCTGGCGGTGCTCAGAGGACCATGTGGGATGCTGGGAATCGAACCCGAGTTGGCTGTGTGCAAGACAAATGCCCTACCCACTGTGCTAATGCTCCAGCCCTGGTAACCCCTATCTCGAGACTAGCGGAGTCCCTGGCAGGGCAGATGGAGGCAGGGGGAGGGGAGGCTTGTGACCCTCCTACCTGTGTCTCTGTGAACCTTCTGGAATTTGGGGTCCTCATGGAGTCACCTTCAAAAAGAGGCATTCCCAGAACCAGAGCAATAGGACAGTGGGGAGGGCACTCGCATGGTATGTGGCCAGCTCAGGCTTGATCCCCAACATCCCATACGGGAGTCATCCCTGATCACACAGCCAGGAATCAGCCCTGAGCATTGCCGGGTAGCACTGTCACTGTCCTCCCACTCAATTTGCTTGAGTGGGCACCAGTAACGTCTCACAACAAATTGTGAGACTTGTGACTGTTTTTTTGCATATTGAATACTTCATGGGGAGCTTGCCAGGCTTTGCCGTGCAGGCGGAATACTCTTGGTAGCTTGCCGGGCTCTCTGAGACGGGCAAAGGAATCGAACTCGGGTCGGCCATGTTGGCCGCATGCAAGGCAAACGCCTTACCCACTGTGCTAGAGCATTGCCAGGTGTGGCCCGAAAACAAATCAAAGACGTATTCCTGGGACGAGAGTGACAGCACAGCGGGTAGGGCACTTGCCTTGTACACAGCTGACCTAGGTTCGATCCCTGGCATCCCATCTGATTCCCCAAGCCTGCCAGGAGTAACCCCTGAGCACAGAGCAAGGAATAAGCCCTGAGCACCTCCCTATGTGCCCCCCCCCCAAAATAAACAATGGATTGGAATGAGAATATAGCGGGGAGGGCGTTTGCCTGGCATGGGGCAGACCTGGTTTAATCCCTAGCATCCCATTGAGTCCCCAGAGCACCGTTATGAGTAATTAATTCCTGAGTGCAGAACCAGGAGTAACTACTGAGCATCGCCAGGGGTGGCCCCAAACCCATAAATAAATAAACTAACAAAAAGAAAAAAATGAGGTCCGTAGGAAGACCTGTCTGGGTGCCTCCATCTCCGTAGAAAGCGCCGGGGGCCAGTCGCCAGCCCATCCCAGGCTGACCTCCCTTGGGGCAGCGAACACAGCGTTCAGGGTGCTCTCCCGCTTCCCTGCTGGAGGCAGAGCACGGAGAATGTGCAGGCGCCTGTGAGTGGGGACGGGGCAGCATCGAGGGGCGGCCGGGAGCACGGCGAAGTGGCCACCCCCGGGCGCTCGCCCAGGAGGACGCCCCGTCCGGGAGCTGATGGACCCCCGTCGGGGGCGCGGCCCCCGCGGTCTCCGTGCTGCCGCCGGACCCCGAAGCCCGCTCTTACCTTGGCTGAGACGCGGGAAAGCGCCGAAGCCGGGCTCGGCGGCTCCAGGGCGGCTCCAACGGCGTCTGCTCGTCGCCTAGCAACCCCCGCCGGGCCGGGAACGGCGGGGGCGGGGCCGACCGCGGCACGTGACCCCGGAGCCCGTCGGGCCCGCGCCGGCTAGCCAGAGGCCCAGGGACACACGGTCAGGGAGTCCAAGGCCCCGATGGGTGAAGAGTTGGGGAAAGTCTTGTCCGAGGTGGGCCCGATCCTCGGCATCCCATAGGGGTCCCCTGAACACCACCAGGAGTGATTCCTGAGTGCAGAGCCAGGAGCAACCTCTGAGCATCGCGGGGTGTGACCCCCCCAAAAAAAACAAAAACAAAAAACAAAACAAAAAAAGGTACAGCTACTTGCTTGCCATCAGGAATAGCCTTTGGCCATTTTCTTGCCCCTGTTCATGTCCTGCGCATTGTCTGAACATCCTCAAGTCTGACAACGCTGCATTAAAACTCCTGGAAAAGTGGCCTGGAACCCAGCTGACCAGGAGGCCCCCCAGAAGGCAGCCCTGAGCACTGCCGGGTGTCCCCCTCCACCCCCCTCCCCCCGCCCCGGAAAAAAATGAAGTCTGGAGATTGGCGGCAAGGCGATCCTGTAACTTCCCTGGCGGTTGGCACTTTGCAAACTTGTGTCCATTGAAGCATGAGAGTCTCCTAAACACAAGGCAATGAATGAATCATTATTTAAACTAACGATGGCTACCGGGGGCTAGAAGACGGGTTACCGCCTGATGGTGGCCGCTTGGGCAGGTGACCTTCCTTTCCTAAGACCCAGTTCTCATCACAGCAGAAGTACTTAGAAGTACACTGGACCTCAGGGGGCTGCCCAGTCTGGTGCCCACGGCGGAGCAGCTGCCTAGAGCAAGGTCAACGTCCCCTCTACCTCAGGGCAGCAGGCCAGCCTGAGCTCAGGAGGAGGTGTCCAGCTAGGGATTTGGCCAGGGGCAGGGGAGGGAATGTGTGGGTTCAGAGTTTGTGGGTGGAACCCGAGATTGAGAAATGGCTGAGAGTTGAAGAGGGAAGGCGTGGGAGAACATTCCAGATTGGCGAGGGATGGGGGGGGGGGTCATGGGTGAGCCAGGGAGGGGTAGTTGTCTTGGAAGGAAGGCGTGTGTGTGGGTGTGGGGGGACAGTTTGACAGGGGTGGGAAGTGAGGGTCAGTCCTGGTTGGTGCGGAGGGGTCTCAGATGCCTGGAAACTTCCTAGGGATTTTGGGGGAACCAGTAAAATGGGAGGAAGTAGATGTACCCCCCCCAACATCTCAGGCAATGTGTCCTGATCTTTTGGGGAGAGCAGATATAAAAGGTTTCATGCGGGGGCCACGCTGCCCAACCTCCAAAAGATACTCGCATCTGAATGGGGGAGCCCTGGGGTGGGCACTAAAGGGATGAAGGAGAGGGACAAGGGGGGGGGAGGAGACAGTTGCTCCCGACAACGCCCCCCCCCCCCCCCCCCGCAGAGGCGAATTGGATGCAGATAAGGGCTCCAGAAGGGCCAACACACTGGGTGGTTCTGCAATCAGAGACCCCCTTCACCCTCCGCCCCCTGCTCGGTCCCTGCATGCACACGGCTCAGCAGGGGGCCATGGGAAGGCTGGAAGCAGCATTTTCCCACACTTCTCACGCTCTCCTCGCCCCACCCCCGTGCAGACCTGCAAGCTGCCAATGCCAAGGGCACAATGGTGGCGTCACCCCTTGGCAGGACCCCCCTCAGCCGCCCTGGAGCCTGCATGAAGTCATAGAATTAGGAGCACGCACAGCCAGTCCAGCGGGAGTGAGGGGTGGCGGGTGGGGGGGAGTGGGAAATAGTAACAAAAGATTGTTGTTTTCTTGGCAGAGCTGACAACTGGAATTGCTTTCTTTTGTTTTAGTTTTTGGCTCACACCTAGCAGTGCTCAGGGGTTACTCCTGGCTCTGCATTCAGGAATTACTTCTGGTGGTGCTTGGGGGGAGCCCTAGTGGGTCTCAGGATGGAACCTGGGTCTGCCACGTGCACCGCAAACGCTATTCCCTCTGGACTATCTCATCTTGCTCCAGCCTTGACAGTTGAAATTCTGTATCCACAGCGGCTCCCTGACCTGGAGCCTCTTCCAGCCTCCCGACATAAAATTGCTATGCTGCCCGTCACACTTCCCCCTTCCCCCATTTATTTATCTTTTTTTCTCTTTTGGGTCACACCTGGTGATGCACAGGGGTTACTCCTAGATCTGCACTCAGGAATTACTCCTGGTGGTGCTCCGGGGACCATATGGGACACTGGGGATTGAACCTGGGTCAGCCGCATGCAAGGCAAACGTCCTACCCACTGTACTATAACTCCAGCCCCTATTTATCATTATTTTGGTTCTTGGGCCACACCCGGCAGTGCTCAGGAGTCCTTCCTTTTTTTTTCTTTTTGGGTCACACCTGGTGATGCACAGGGGTTACTTCTGGCTCTGCACTCAGGAATTACTCCTGGCGGTGCTCAGGGGACCATATGAAATGCTGGGAACCGAACCCGGGTCGGCCGTGTGCAAGGCAAGCGCCTTACTTGCTGTGCTATCGCTCCAGCCCCTCAGGAGTCATTTTTGATGGGGCTTGGGGGACCATATGGGATGTGGGGGATGGAACCAGGGTCAGCCATGTGTAAGGCTTAGCTGCTGTACTATCACTCTGGCCCACTTTCCCTTCATTTAAAAAAAAAAAAAGCAGGTAGGCATTTGCCTTACACGTGCCAACCCGGGTTCAATCCCCAGCACCTCATATGGTCCCCTGAGCATCACCAGGAGTGATCCCTGAGTGCAGAGCCAGGACTAACTCCTGAGCACTGCCTGATGTGACCCAAAAAGCAAAAAAAAAAAAAAAAAGCAAAAAAAAGTGGCAAACTATACCTAACAAACATAAAGTTGGCCACCTTGACATTTTTTTAAGTGGGCAGTTGGGGGAAATGAAGACATTCATGGTCTTGCACAACCATCAGAGTCATCAACTCCAAATCACTTTCCTCTTGCAAAACTGAAACTCTTCCCACCCATGTGCCGCTCCCCTCCCCCGCACCCCCTTTTCTGTGTGCCTGTGTTCGGCTACTGAAGACCACGTGTCCACAAACTGGCCTGGTACTTGTCAGCGGTCGGCTGATGTGCTGAGCACGACACCATTAGGTCCCCCCACATGGCAGCCCATCATGCATGTTCTTCCTTTGTGAGACCGAAGAATGTTCCCGAGTACATATGGAGAGACTCAATCAGTTCACTGATCGTCCCACTGCTGAGTGGTCTAAGTTGCCTTTAGTCTTTTGGGGGGTTGTGGGTTCGGGGATCCCTCCAGGAGATGCTTCCAGGAACTGTGCGAAAGTTCGTGCCTGTGTGGGGAGTGTTGCTCTCTCTCCAGCCCTCCCTCGCCTCCACCTTTGCCTGGGAATAATGCTGGCGTACACATACTTCTCCAAGACGCTGCTTTAGAGCCGGAGGGCCTTTGCACGTGGCCCTGGCTCTGCTCTCTGGGCACTGCATAGCTCCAAGCTGGGAGTGACTACCCCCCATCCCCCTTAACAGACAGCCAAGGTCACAGCCCCCAAGTAAACAAAAAGGTCCTGCTTTCAACCCTTGGGGAAACAGAATTGCTAGTTTGTTCTATTAAGCTGCATTTATTAACTTTTAAATGACTACGGCGGAAGGAAGGCCTGTCTTTAGTCTGAAGATGGCGTGTAGGAGGCCAGAGAGATGGACAGGGGGTGGGTTTCTTGTTGCACACCGCTGACCTGGGTTCAATTCCTAGGACCTCCCCAGGCCTGCCAGGAGTGAGCCCAGAGCCCCAGAGGCAGGAGCACTGAGCCAGGAGTAAAGCCTGAGCACCTCCAGGTGTGAGAAGATAAAAATAAAAAAGATGGCGGGGCTGAAGGGGAGGAGGGCACTAGAGACCCCGCCAGAGGCCTGCTAAGTCCCTCCCTGGCTGCCAGTCTCCACTGACAGAGCCCAGCTGGGGGCCCCTGCCCCACTCCCCCCCACAACTCTCAGAGGCAGAGCTGGGCAGGGACGAGGCAAAGGGTTTATTCCTGCACCTGGGGTGCGATGTGCTTGACAGGCGTTAGGATCGCACCAGTAGCCCAGGACTTGGTGTTAGGAAGCAAAACCTGCCCTGAGTGCAGCGGGCCACGAGACGTGTAGATGTGCTTGTGCGGCCTGGAGGGGTCAGCGTCCCCACCTATGGGGAGTTGGAGTGTGGGCTCCGTGCCCGAGTCGGCGGGAGGCTGAAAGCACCAAAGACCCCAACCCTGGGGGGGCGGGTCTCCTCACCACCTCCCGCTGCCCAGGAACTTGCCAGTGGGCGAGAGGTGCAGTGTGTTCCGGGGAGCCTGGGAGTGATGGCGTGCCCACACCTCCGAGGGCACACCTGCCCAGAGACACGAGATGGGGCTGGTCAATGAAAGTGGCCATGGCCCAGGGGTCTCTCAGTTGTTCTTTTTTTTTTGCTTTTTGAGTGATACCCGGCGATGTACAGGGGTAACTCCTGGCTCTGCACTCAGGAATTACTCCTGGCAGTGCTTGGGGGACCATATGGGATGCTGGGAATCGAACCCGGGTCAGCTGCATGCAAGGCAAATTTCCTCCCCGCTGTGCTATCGCTCCAGCCCCAGTCTCTCAGTTCTTCCTTCTCGATCTGTCCTTGCTGTGGGGCCTCTCCCCAGGAACTGGGGGTTTGCCCCTCTGGTCTCTGGCTTACTCGACTCGGTTAAGGGTCTGTTCTTACCAGCCCAAGACAGAAAGCCAAGCTGGGTGTGAAAACCAGATGGAGCGAGAGGGCCAATTCTTTGGATAATTAAAATATTGAAAAACACTGCGAAAAGGGAAAAAACAGCTGGAGTTAAATTGGTGACCAAAGTGTCTATGGATACCTGAGTCTTGGGTGGCCGCAGCACATGCCCAGCTGCAGGGCTGGGGCAAGAGTGGCTGCAACTGCGGGTTGCCGGTGGCCCATGTTCCTGCCGAGGGTGGCATTGCCAAGTCAGATGGTGGCGGAGCCCTCGGTTGCCCCCGCTGTTCTCAGGATGATCCGCCGGCCCTGGGAGACTCACTGGACAGGTCAGCTTCCATCTCCACACGCGCATCTCCGCTGAGCCCCCTCGTCCACCCACAGGGGTCTGAGCGGCACCCCGCTCCCTGCCATGCCTCCCAGAATGGGGGGGGGCACAAAGGCGTGAGCTGCCCTGATGTCCAGCTTCCAGGGGGAAACAGCTTGGTGCCCGGTGGGGGGAACCTGTGGGCCAGGTGGGCAGGAGAGACTTGCATCTGTGGGGCTGATTCTCCCCAAGCCCCAGACGGTCCCCCCGTGTCTTCAGCCCTGGCAGTCTGCATGAGGCCCCGATGCTCTCGGCTTCTTCCTGACGTGTCGTGGCCGAAGCCGCACGTGGTGGAAGGGCGGATGGCGAGGCACGACGCCCCAACGGGCGCTAGGCTGGAAAATCGCTCCCGAAGTGTCGCAGGTGCTGCTCCTCGGCCACAGACAGGTAGGCAGGTCGCATGCTGGGAGAGTACTGCGGGCAGAGGAGGGGACGGTCAGAGTGGGAGCCAGGCTGGGCATTGTGGTGGGGGAAGACTCAGTCCCTGGCTGCACGGGGGCCTGGGTGACAGGGGGTCCGAGCAGCCTGGAGGTCCGGGTGCAGACGCCCATGCCCCTGCCACCATGCTCCCTCTGCCACAGTGCCACGGCTACAGCAGTTAACGCTGGGACAGTGCCCAGATGCGCATGGCACAGAGGATGCACTGATTGGGGGGTGGGCTGAGCCCTCCCCCTCGACACAGGCCAGACACCCAGATTCCCAACACGCACTGTGACTCAGGGGGTCCGCCACTGTTCCAAGCCTGTCTCCCCTCATGCCAAAGGGCCTGGGAGGAGTCAAGAAATCCGCTTTTGGGCCGGAGTGATAGGACAGCCCTTGTGGGGGGAGGGGGTGGTGGTATTTGGCTTGCATGCGGCTGACCCGGGTTCAATCCCTGGCATCCCATAGGGTCCCTTAAGCACCACCAGGAGTAATTCCTGAGTGCAGAGCACAGAGTAACCTCAGAGCATCGTCAGGTGTGACCCAAAAAGCAAAATAAATAAATAAAGCAGGTTGAGTCTCTCCACAGGCGACCTCAAGTTTGGTCACGCAAGACAAACAGCCAAACAGCTACGGGGTAGTTCAAGGCCAGGCCCGATCAGCGACCAGGATCGGGAAAGACCCCACACCAGCTGGGAATTTCTCCTCTGCTTCAGCAGCCCAGGGAGCGGGTTGGAGCCTTCACACGGGTCCCTCTGGGGGGCGCTATTGCCGGCCCATCCCCAGTGTTGGCCTGAGGGAGCCAGAATCCAATCTCCAGGCAGGAGTGGGGCCCAGAGGCTACCAGCCGGGGTCGGGAGCTATTGGGTGAGGCTTTCTCATGAGGATCGGGGGACAGTTCTGACTCCCAGGAACAATCCCCCGACCCCAAGAAGATCCAGCTGGGTGGGCGAAGTACCCTGGGGAGGGTAGGGGGTGCTGGGGTGTGTCCAGACCAGCAGCTTTGGTCCATGCACACCTGCTGCCAGTGCGAGATGGACAATCAAATTCCACAGCCCACTAGGCACAGGACAAGTCCCCCCAGGGCTGCATACACTCCCCTGGGCAGGCCCCCCCCCCCCCCCCGGCCTGAAGTTGAAGGTCACACAGGAGGGCTGGAGATGCTCAGAACATCCCAGGCGCCTTCCCTGGGCACTAGGGGGGGTGGCCCTTTCGTGGCCTGAAGTTCCGGTGCCTTCCCACTGGCTCAGGGTCACTCAGGGCCATACAGAGTCTGGGACACGGTGCGGGAGGGGGAGGGAGATTCCTTGAAGGCGAGTGGGGGGGGGGTGGGGGGGGAGTGGAGGGGCAGCCGGGGGAGTTGCTATTTCCGATGCTGTGTGTGTGTGGGGGGGGGGGGCAGGGCAGGGGGCACGCTTCGGCGGAACAGCTGTGGTCCCGACAGAGCCACGGGGAGAGACCACACACGTCGAATGTGGGCGTTAGAGCCGGCGTGCAGGGGGTGGGCTCACTGTCCATGCTGGGTCTTGATGGACAGGGTGGACAGCTGTCCCTAGGGCGAGACACAGGGATGGCAAAGCCATTGGGGTGTCTGGCAGATGCCCTGCTCCGGACGGAAGGTGAGTCTGCGCCTCCTCTCGTCTTCCTTCTCTCCGGCAGGGCTGCATCTTCCGCACAGACGGGCATCCGGAAGCCATTTCCGCTGGGAAATGCATGCCCAGAGCGATTCTCTCCTCCTTCACGGCCAAACCCTCCACATTCCGTCACGCTCAGATGAATCCTGACATCGGTCAGCCTTCCCGGGACCCCTGGCAGCTGGGCTGCCTTCTCTCTGTCCCCAGTGGGCAAGGCCCAGCTCCGACTGGTGCTGGTTCTCACGGGACAGCAGGTGGGCGTCTTGGCCACCACTCAGAGTGGCAGGGTTGTGGCGGGGACAGCGGAGGTCAGCTTCTTCCCTGAGACACTCTGGACATTTGGGGCTGACGCCTGTGTCGAAAAGTAGCCTTCGTACTACAGAATGTTTCTCAGCACCCCTCGCCTCCACCCACTGGATTCCAGGGGGACCCAACCCCCCAGACACCAGGAATGCCCCGGGAAGTGGCCACATATCCCAGGTGGCAAAATCACATCAGGTGAGACCCCCCCCCACCCCATTGCACCCAAGGGCTGGCTCCAACATCCCCTTTCTGCGGGAGCTCCTCAGGTACTGAGGGGCAGCAGGAAGGCTCCTGTCCCGCCTCCGAAGTCCCAAGTGGCACTTACTAACTGTCCGGAGTCTTCTTCCCCACAGACAAGGTGAAGGGGCGTGGGGTCCGGGCACACAATAGACACGCAAGGGCCCATGGGTGCAAACGATGCCCAGGTCTGAATCCCATGTCCTGAGCTCTCCACGGCTTGTCACTCACCAGCTGGACAGTCCCATGGAAGCAGAGGGACCCAGCCACGAACTTGCCTGCCCACTCCCACCACAGACCCCCACTTCCTGCTGCAGCTACCCCCCGGGGAGAAAGTGGGGCGCACCGAGCATGAGAACAAAAGCTAGGGGGGTGGGAAGGAAGAGCTAGCTGCTCACTCTCACAGTGCTCCCGGTTGCACATAGCCAGACCCACTCTCGCGGGGGGCTCACAGCCGCTTGGAGGTCAGTGGGCTGTGCACCTTTCTGCAGCTGGGGAAACCTAGGCACGCAGCGGAAATGCTCGTCCAAGGCCACACAGGTTGTTCTAAGCCGGGATTTGAACCCAAGCACTGGGCACTAGAGTCTGCACCTCGACTGTTCCCGTAGCTTGGTCCTGTCTGATCTCTGGGGGGCTCTGGGCTTCTCCAGCTGAGATAGATTCCTCTCCTCTGGCCTGCTCAGCCTCCTGGGGGGGGCACCAACCCTCTCTGCACCAGACTGCTTGGAGAACAACCCCGGTGTTCCCCCAGACCTCACATAATGGGGAACAAAGTTGTCCAGGAGAAAAAGGGGGAGGGGTCTGAGCTCCTGCATCCCCTTGGTGTGTTGCTAGAAGCAGGGTCGTGGCCGGGTCCTCTGTCTGGAGATGATATGAATTGAGCCCAATAAAGGCCACACAAGAGTTTGCCCCCAAAAGCCCAGGAATGGAGCCCCCGGGAAACTCACCCATCCTCTTCACAGTGGGGAACCAACACTGACACCAGCCCCACATCCCCAGGCAGATCTGGGAGAGTGTGGGGGGTACCCAGGCTGAGGACAGGCCAGAGCTGGGCGTGTCTACTGCTACTGGGGTTGGGGGGGGCTTTGCTACAGGTCTGGCGGGGGTGGGGAGGGTCAGGCCTGATGGTGTTCAGGAGCTACTCCCGGCTCAGTGCTCAGACATCATTCCTGGCGGAGCTCAGGGGACCCCCCCCCTCCCGTCATGCTATGGGATTCAACTTGGGGCGGTCGCGCGCAAGACAGGCGCCTTGAGCCCTGTGTTATCTCCCGGCCCCCTTGGCCAAGGATTCTGCACACGCCTGCCAAGTGCTCACAGATGGACTTGACGCGTATCCGATCAGTAAAAAAAAAAAAATAAAGCGGTTTCATTTTTCTCCTGGGGAGACAGGGCAGTCCCGGGAAGGCGGGTCCATCTGGGATTATTTCCCAGACCAGGAGTACAGCCAGGACTTGGCCCTGGAGGTCCAGGTTACCGTGGGAGGGGGTGAGCCCCGTCGGATGAGCGGAACGTTCTCGTAGCGAGGGTTCCCTCCGAAGAGCGCCGCCTGGTTCCTGCGGGGGAGAGGGGGGCTCAGGTGGGGGCGGGTGGGCAGGAAGGGGGGCAGGTACTGCCGTGGGGTGGGAGCTAGTGACCACTGGGCAGGCTCGAGGCATAAGCCCCTCCCAAATTCACTTGGGGTCCCTGCCCTCCTCCAAGCAGGCTCTGGAGGCAGGGGTGGGCTTGGGGACCAGCGTCTTCCTCCGCCCAGCCCTGGAATCCCCCAGACCTGCTGCCCAGGGCTGGGGACCAGGCCTGGGGGTGGGGGTCCCGCCGTACATGTATTCAGACACGGGCGCGTTGGAGATGGTCTGCGTAGGGGGATGCAGGCTGGTCTGGCTGCCTAGGCCGCTGCTGTAACTGCAGAAGCTGTGAAGAGGCCTCCGAGGCGGGCTGTGGGCAGCCATGTGCCGGGCCTGGGGGTTGAAGGGATCGTCCTCGTCGATGTCATCATAGTCACGGTCCCTGGAGAGACCAAGTCACAAAGGGATACATGGCTTGAGGCAGGCCTGTGGGGGCCTGGCCGTCCTCCCCATCTTTCCTCTGAGCTCCTCCAGGGCAGATGAATCTCCAGGGGCGAAAATCTGGGCCTCAGCTCCACCTCAACACAGATCTCTCTGCCTGTGTCCAGCTTTGTGGCCACCTACTCCAGGCAGCCCTCCATGCTGACTACATGCACACCATCCTGCTCGGCTACCGTGGCTCCTTCCCAATGCTCCCAGGGTCATCCCTTCCCACCTCTCCCATGCAGGAAGGACACGCGAGTCTTGCATTTGTGGGCATAACAGCTCTCACCTCCTGTCCCGGAACTCCAGACCCTCCTGTGGGGTGGTATTTTTGAACTCTCAGGGAAGCCTTCGCAGAAAGACGGCGTGAGGCCCTCTGACCCCTCTTTCCCGCGCTGGTCTCGGAGCAGACCCTGGCGCTTGCCCCACCCTGCACCCCACAGACCACAGACGCATCCCCTCCCTGCTAGGCAGCCCACCTGGAAGCGAAGCTGGCCCAGGCCCGGGGCCCTGTGCAGGTCATGGCGGAGAAGGCCAGGGCGGCCAGCAGGGAGAAGAGGCCAAGACACAGCAGACCCTCGATGCCGTCGTAGCACACACCCACCAGCGCGTCCTGGTAGTCCTGGGGGGAGGGGAGGCACAGGGCTGTGGCGGGGGACGAGGGGCACGGCGACCCCTCCCCAGACACAGTCAAGGGGGGCCAGAGTAATAGCACAGTGGGCAGGCTGACCCAGGTTAAATCCCTGGCATCCCATAGGGTCCCCCGAGCACCGCCAGGAGTAATTCCTGAGTGCAGAGCTAGGAGTAACCCCTGAGTATCGCCGGCTGTGACCCAAAAAGCACTGCACTGCACTCCCACTGTTCATCGATTTGCTTGAGCGGGCACCAGTAACGTCTCCATTGTGAGACTTGTTGTTACTGTCTTTGGCATATTAAATACGCTACGGGGAACTTGGCAGGCTCTGCCGTGAGGGCGGGATACTCTCAGTAGCTTGCTGGGCTCTCTGAGAGGGACGGAGGAATCGAACCCGGGTCAGCTGCGTGCAAGGCAAACGCCCTACCTGCTGTGCTACCATTACAGCCCAAAAAGAAAAAAAAAAGAATCTGGGGATCCTTTAGGGCAGCCACTAGTGAGAGGAGGGTAGAGTGGGGGTGAGTGAGGCCCAGGAGAAGTTGGGCAGAGGGCGTGCTGAGCCTACGCGCAGAGGGGTGGAGGGTGCAAAGGACCAATCCAGGGTTTTTGCTGTTACTTTACTTTTTGCCCCATGGTGCTCAGGGCTGACTGCTGGCTCTGCACTAGGGAATCACTCCTGGCAGTGCTCAGGGACCATGAGGGATGCTGGGAATCAAACCCGGGTCAGGTGAATGCAAGGCAAACGCCCTCCCCACTGTACTATGGCTCCAGTCCCAGTCAGATCCAGTTCTATAAGGGTCATGGGTCGTAGGCAGGAAGGGGACAGAGGAAGTGGGGGAGCAGGGAGGAAGTTCGAGTCTCCACGGGGACAGCTGTGGGGTGAGAAAGGGGCATGGCTCAGGCTGCATCTGGCACTCGGACCCGAGCAACAGCACAGTGAGCAGGACTCTTGCACATGGTGACCCAGGTTTGATCCCTGGCTCAGCATATGGTTCCCCGTACCCTTCAGAAATGATCCCTGAGCACTGAGCCAGGAGTAAGCCCTGAGCATGGCCGGGTAGAATCCAAAACAAAACCAAAACCAAACCAACAAACAGAAACAAACCACAAAAACAAAAACAGGAAAACAAAACTCACTGCCTGGTCTTGCCAGGTCAGAAAACAGACACCTAGGCACAGACCACCTAGGCACACCTGCGCGTTTCCTGCCTGCGTGCTGTTTACTTTCTATCACCCATCCACCTACCCGCTGCTAGTCATCCATCTGTCTGCCTGTCCATCCACCCACACACACACACGGGCCCCTTGAAATAACTGACATGGCCTGTCCAGAGGGGGTTGAGTGCTGGGTGACACCGGCTCCAAAGACCCAGAACAGGAGCTCAGGGCCTGCCACCATCATCACGGCGACTCCCCCAAAGCCCAGGTATGTGGGCACAGGCCCCCCTGCCCACGGGCTTACTCCTGGGGAGGGGCTTCAGGGAAACTCCTGGAGGGAGTAAGGGGGCAGGCAGGAGCACATGCAGTCAGGTAGACCAGATGGCCGGGAATCTAGGTTACAGGACGTGGCCTGCTCATGGGAGCCGGGTCCCCTGTGCCCAACAGCAACTTCATCTGACCCTCCTGCGTCCCCTACCCCTGCCCCCCACCTCCTGGCACCTTCCCCAGAGCCTTCTGCCTCAGCCTCTAGAACCACAAGAGAAGATCCCTCTCCCATTTCCTGTGGTCTAGCCACCACTGTCCAGCCCAGGTCATGACCCTCCTGCTTCCCACAGGAAAATGAGCTCCCCTGCCCCCCTCAGAGCCCTCAGCACCTTGTAGAGTCCGCGGCAGTCCAGCAGGGCGGTCAGCTGGTGGAGGCTAGCCTCAGTGGAGTTCAGCAGGAACTGGATGGCCAGCAGGTCGTCCTGAAGCAGGAAGGGGAGACAGAGAGGCAGAGAATGGGGGGTGGGCACGGATGGAACCCCAACAGCAGCTCAGCTCCCGCAGCGAGACCTCGAGAGCCAAAGGGAGGGGCTCAACTCCTCTGGGGAGAAGGAAGGAAAGTTCTGGAACTTTCCGGGCTCTGTGGCAGGGCCTTCCGGCGGGGGCACCCTTGGCTTGGCACCTACCTCTGCTGTGGGGAAGAAGGGGAGGGCGAACTTGAGCAGGCCGGCCACCTGGTTCTGCATGGTGGTCAGTGAGCGCTGGAAGATGGTCAGTGCCTGTGCAGGACGGGCGTGGCCCAGTCAGTGGGGATGTCCAGGAGCCACCGGCCTGTGCCCCTCAGAGAACTGATGCCAAGCGCAGAACACGGGGTGCATCCCAGCCTCTGCACAAGGCACGTGGGTCTATGCTGACCCAGAGCCTCTAAGTGCGTGGCCCCTTTGGGAGGACCACCTGTCCCTGCTTCCCACCCCCGGCCCCAGGGGTCAGGCTGGCCCAGGCACTGTACCTGCTGGAAGGGGCTGCTGGAGCTGGGGCTGCAGTACAGGTAGTAGCGGGTCACCTCTGCAAGGCAAGGACCAGGCTCAGTCAGGCAGGGCTGGGAAGCCGCGCAGAGGCCCGGTGGGAGGCAGGGACGGGGTTACCTGTACTGAGGTGTCCTTCGGTGATGTTCAAGATGAAGGTGTCGGGAGCCACGCACAAGTCACTGGTGGCCTGAGCCAGGGAGAGGGGTGCAGGTGAGTTGGAATATCGGGGGTTCAGCACCGGGTGTCCACGGCTGCCCTACCGCGGAGAGTGGGCTCTGCGTGGCGCTAACCATTGTGCAGCCCCACCTCTCTGGAGGGATCTGGGGCAGGGCCTAGACAGGCTTGGGGGCAGGTGTGTGTGCGTGTCACGCCGACATGCACACCAGAGAATCATGCCCACGCACACACATCTACACCCTCCCTGCACGCACATTCACAGCTGCACCCTCATGCACACGCACACACACCTGCACCCCCACACATCTGCATTCACACCTGCACCCATACCCGTATGAGCCCCTACCCCACACCCCCCCCCACACACACATACACTTGTACCCACACCCACATTGCACCTGCACCCACGTGCATGCACACAGACCTGCACCCACACCCCTCCACATACACATCTGCACCTACACACTCTCACTCTCCGGCCCGACCACAACCTGCCCCAGGGGCTGCTTCCCCCCCCCCCGCCCCCCCAGGGACCCACCCATCAGAGCCGGGTGGGTCACGGGAGAGGAGGGAAGGAGTCTGGGTCTGAGCAGGTATGAGGAAGTCTGTGTGTGAGAGGGGGAATCTCTGTCTCTGGTTAACCCCAATAAGTCTGAGACCCAATGCTGACTGCCCTCATCGCCCCCCCCACCTTCTGCCCCGGGCCAGGGATGGGGAGCAAGGGGGTGGCCAGGGGCCTGTGTGTGGAGGGGGGAAGCTGCCTGCCAGACCAGGTGGTGCTGGTGTAGCCCTCGGCAGCTGCTGAGAGCAGAAGAGATAGTCCGAAGGGACCTGGGACTCTCATATCCCGGCCATGAGTGGGCAGCATCCCAGGCTGCTGCCCAGGGGACCCCTGGCCTCCGGGGACTCGCCCACGTATGCCCGGCCAGGCAGGTGGGTACGGACTCTTTGGTACAGAGCTGGAGGAGCCGGGCTGGGGGTTTCCAGAAACCCACCCAGAGGCCACTGTCAGAAAAGGGCACTGCAAGCCGGGTCAGGGGGCACCCCAGAAGCCCCCCCCGCCCAGCCGCCCACCCCCCAGGGGCTCCCTCTGTGTGTCAGAAACCTCCCCTCCACTATCCCTCCCCTGGACACTTGCCCTGACTTTTTTTTTTTTTTTTGCTCTTTGGGTCACACCTGGCAATGCTCAGGGGTTACTCCTGGCTCTGCACTCAGGAATTATTCCTGGCGGTGCTCGGGGGACCCTATGGGATGCTGGGGATCATCAAACCTGGGTTGGCCGTGTGCAAGGGAAACGCCCTCCCTCCCCACTGTGTTATCGCTCCTGACCCGTCACTCTGCCTTGGCCCTAAGGATCCCTGGGCAGAGGGAGGCATCCAACCTGGCTGGGGTCACGGAGCCCCAGGGCATGACTCTACCCCTACCCCCAAACTCTCAGAAGAGTCTCCGTGGTAAAGCTCTCGCCCTAGGAACCCCTTTCTGGGGGCAGGGAGGGTCCGAGGGTAGAGCAGCCAGGCACAAAAGCGCCCCCCTCCCCCTCCCCACAGCCCCATCAAAGGCCCATTCACGGGCGCCCCCACACCCACACCCGGTCAGCCCCTGTGATGGACCATCCATGTTTCCTGCAGCTCCCGGGGGCATGAGGGGCTCTGAGGGGCTGTGTGGGCTGCCCCCGCCTTTGCCCTTGCCCCCACCCCTGCCCCCTCAAGCGGCAGTGGGTCATACGGGGTGTCGGCAGCCCCCGGCCAGCAGCCATGCCTCCAGCTTCCAGGCATCTGGGCGTGTTCCGAGTGTGCCCCATCCTACTCCACCCTGGGTCAGGGACCAGCCAGCCCCCACTGCAGCAGACCCACTTCCTTTATCCCCAGCTCCATGCGAGGTGCCTCAAGGTCTGGAGCTCAGGCCTCGTGTGTGATGGCCGGCACCACATGACCTTCCCAGCACCATGGGGAGTGGCCCTGGGTGCTGCCCCCCCTGCACCCTTGGGTTTCCCCACCACAGAAATGGTTCCTGCACATGGGGTGGGAGGAGTGGTACAGCACATAGGGCACCTGCCTTGCAGCCCGCCAACCAGGGTGCCACCCCCAGTTCCAAATGGGGTCCCCCGAGCATAGCCGGGAGTGGCCCCTGAGCCAGCACCGGAAGGAAGCCCTGAGCAGCACCAGGTGTGGCCCCCAAAACAAAACCACAAAAATAAGCCTCAAAAAGCTGAGCTCCCAGGTAGATCGGGAAGGACAGACGTGAGCCACGGCGTTCGTGTATGGGTCTCAATCTGCTGGGGGCTCCCCGACCCACTCCCCTCCCCGTATGCTGTGCACCCCCATCATACAGATTCACAAGCACTGGCCAGAAGCCACCCCTAATTCTTCCCTCTTTTTTTTTCTTTTTGGGTCACACCCGGCGATGCTCAGGGGTTACTCCTGCCTCTGCACGCAGGAATTACTCCTGGCAGTGCTCGGGGGACCCTGTGGGATGCTGGGGATCGAACCTGGGTCGGCTGCATGCAAGGCCAACACCCTCCCCACTGTGCTATGGCTCCAGCCCCCATAATTCTTCCCTTGGTGGCCGCAGCTACATGATGAGAAAACCACACACTACTGAGCGCCTCACGGCCACTGAGAATGAATGAATGAATGAATGAATGAATGACTGAACAGGTGCCCAACCTATGCTCACACCTCAGGGTGAGTCTGAGGAAGAATCAGGTGCTCTCCTAGGGCACCCCATTTCTGAGCAGTCAGAGCTCCCCCAGGCCTGTCCCTCCAAGCAGGGGCTGGGCATGGCCAGCAGACAGGGGAGGTGACCCCTAAATGCCAAGGGGTTCTCCCAACCCCTCCCATTGGGAGATCCAGGGCGGATTCCAGCCCTCCTGGGGGCTCCAGACGCACGGACGCAGCGACAGACAGATGTTCCTGTCCTGGACCTCACGCCCCGACTCACCACTGCTGCCGCGGTGTCCACAGCCAGCGATGTCCAGCAGAGGAGCAGGGTCAGCACCCCACAACCCAGCATCCTGGGGGACAGCAGCCGAGGTGGGGTCAGGTCACCCCCTGCAACTGTGACCCTGATCGCCCCCCTCCACAGACCCAAACTCTTGCAGTGGCCCTGAGAGAAATGGGGAATCCAGTGGGCCTGGGGTTCAGGATGGGCTTGGGGGGGGTTGGGATGGGTCTGGGGGTTCAAAATGGGCCAGGGGTTCAGGATGGGCCTCGGGGGTTGGGATGGGTCTGGGGGTTTGGAATGGGCCTGGAGGTTCAGGATGTGACCCTCAAGCGGCTGTTCCCGGCACCAAGAGGTGGGGGGAAAGCTTGGGCCTTGCTGGGGTCTGGGTGTCTGCACCTGGCTGGGAACTAGGTTGGGGGTGGAGGGTAACCTCAGGTTGTCCCCGTCCCCCACCTCCCAAGGTACCCTGTGACTCCCCCCACCCCAGCCCCCGCGCACAACCCTGTCGGGCAGGGGGGCTACTCACGAGGCCAGGAGCCACTTGGAGCGCTTGGCCAGGCCCAGGCAGGCGAGGAGGCAGATGGCCAAGTCCAGCATGAAGAGCAGAAGGTAGGAGAGCCACCTGGGGGGCAGGCGGAGCTGAGCCGCAGACGCCCCACATGTGCCCACCCACCCCGCCCGGATGGGGAGCCATGAAGCAGGTACAGGGAATCACCCCAACTTCAGCATGGGCAGGGGAGCTGCCCCTTAGGCCAGAGTCCAGTGCTCTGAAGGTCCCTTCTCAGCTCCCTCTTCCTCCTCCCCTCCTTCCCCTCTTTTCTTCCTCCTTTCTTCCTTCCTGCCTTCCTTCCACTCTTTCCTTTCTTCCTCCTTCCGTCCTTCCTTCCTTCTTCCTCCCTCCCTCCCTTCCTTGCTTCCTTCCTTCCCCTCTTTCCTCCCTTCCATCCTTCCTTCATTCCTCTCCTTCCTTCCTTCCTCCCTCCCTCCCTTCCGTCCTTCCTTCTTTCTCCCTCCCTTCTCTCCCTCCCTTTTTCCTTCCTTTCTTCCTTCCCTCCTCCCTTGGGTCAAACTGGGGTCACTGCGAGCAAGACAAGCAGCCTTCCCACGGTGCAATCTCTCTGGCTCATGGGCAAATGCGTATCTAATTGGAATTCGCTTGGCTTAATTTAAAACGTTTTCTTTCTTTTATTGGGGAGGCCACACCTGGTGGTGCTCAGGGGGCCAGTCAGGGTTGGTGCCTGGGATGCAAATCAGGGTCACAGCCCCTGGGCCCCTCTCAAGGCCAGTGTCCACCCCCTGTACATGAGCTCTGGGCCCCTGGACCGATTTGCTACTGCTGTTGTTGTTGTTACTGGTTTTGTTTTGGGGCCACATCCGGTGATGCTCAGGGCTTCCTCCTGGCTCTGGGCTCAGGGGCACCATATGGGGTCCTGGGAATCGAACCAAGGTGGCTGCTGCAAGGCCAGCGCCCTCCCCACTGGACTATCGCTCCAGCCCTGGATTAAATATCAAGAGTCAGAGGCTGCCCATACTGGGTCGGCCAGATGCTTCCTGCAGTGGCCACGGTGGGGGGGGGGGGGGGTGCTTGCCTTGCTGGCACGGGTTCAATCCCTGGTACCTGAGCACGGCCAGGATTGATTCCTGAGCTCAGAGCCAGGAGCAACCCCTGAGCACCTCGCGGTGTGACCCCCCCACAAACAAAATAATAAAATTATTCCTGCACCCTGAGTTGGGTCAGGGCCCTGGTTCCCACAGCCTGCTGTCCCTTCTAGAACTTTCTCAGATCTTGTGAGTCATTATTAGCCACAGGTCTGGGCCATTCCTGACACTCTATTTTTTTTTTTTTTGCTTCTGTTTGAGCCACACCTACTGGTACTGGAAGCTTGTATGTGGCGTCAGGAGGGTCATCCCGAAGATGGTTCTACCGGGCAAGGGCTTCCCCACCTGCCCTGGGCTAGCTATATTTTCTATTTTTTTTTTGCTTTTTGGGGTCACACCCGATAATACTCAGGGGTCACTCCTGGTTTTGCACTCAGGAATTACTCCTCACCGTGCTTGGGGGACCCTATGGGATGCTGTGAATTGAACCCGGGTTGGCCGCATGCAAGGCAAACACCTTCCCCGTTGTGCTATTGCTCCAGGCCCTAGCTATATTTTCTTTGCAGTGTCAGGAATCGAACCCAGGGTCTCACACTTGCACACTTGCACGGCAGCTGGGCCCCTCCCGGGCCCCCTGGAACCCCCTGCCTCACTGCCAAAGGCTCCCCAAAGTCTCTTATTTCATCTTCTCTCCCTCTCAGCTAGCCGAGCCCCCTCCCCCGCTGAGTCTCCGCCTGCCTCGCGGGGAGTTCCTGGAAGCGGCTGAGCCGGCGGATGCGCTTCCCCCTGGAGGAGCCAGGGGCCGAGCAGAGGCCTCATCTCTAACCAAGAACTTGGCGCTGGCCCTGCGGTTCCTCCCACCTGCGCCGCCCCCACACGCCTCGGGGAAAACTCTCTGCTTTCTCAAGCCCTGCTTTTCAGTCGGCCTTGGAACAACCGGCTCATTTGCTCAGCGGAGCCTGAGCTCTAGAATCATCCAATCATCTACACTCATCTGTCCAGCGCGCCCCAGGCTGGAAGATGCACCCGGGTACCTACTCTGGCTGCAGGGATGACCCGGGAGGTACCAGGAGATGCTGGGAGGGACCAGGAGATGCTCACAGTGGGGGAGAGAGCAGAGTCTTACCAGGACCCCGGGGCGGGCCGCTGGGCCAAGGTGGAGCTCACTTAGCTACTAAAATAAATGCTCCCCCCACCCAGCTGGAATAAATCCACCTTAAAAAAAAAAGACTCGCTGTTCCCAGCATCTCATAGGGTCCCCTGAGCACCACCAGGAGTAATTCCTGAGTGCACAGCCAGGAGTAACCCCTGCGAATGGCCGGATGTGACCCTAAAAGCTTTAAAAAAAAAAAAGCAAGGCTCAGGACTGGAGCGATAGCACAGCGGGAAGGGCATCTGCCTTGCACACAGCTGACCCGGGTTTGATCCCCAGCATCCCATATGGTCCCCCAAGCACTGCCAGGCGTGATTCCTGAGTGCAGAGCCAGGAGGAACGCCTGAGCATCGCTGGGTGTGACCCAAAAAGCAAAACAAACAAACAAACACAAACAACAACAACAATAACAAAACAAAAAACCAAGACTCTGGGGTTGGAGCAATAGTACAGCAGGCAGGGTGTTTGCCTTGCAAGTGGCAGACCTGAGTTTGATCCCCAGTATCCTGTACGGTCCCCCAAGCACTGCCAGGAGTAATTACTGAGTGCAGAGCCAGGAGTAAACCCCTGAGCACTGCTGGGTGTGACTCAAAAAGTCAAAAAACAAACAAACAAACAAGCAAAAAAACAAAACTCTTAGGTCTGAGAGATGCCACAGCAGGGAAGGCACTGGCCTTGCTCACAGCCAAGCCGGGTTTAATTCACGACATCCCATAGGGTCCCCGGAGCCCTGCTGGGTGTGATTCCTGAGTGCAGACCACACTCAAGTTGAGTTGAGTGCGGTCCCCAAACAAAAAAATAAAACAACAGCAAATGAAAAACAAGCCTCTTTGGGGTTGGAGCGATAGTACAATGGGTAAGACTTTTGCCATGCATGTGGCCCACCTGGGTTCAATCCTGGGCACCCCACAGGGCCCCCTGAGCCCCACCAGGAGTCAGAGCCAGAGCACAGAGCCAGGGATCAGCCCTGAGCACTGCCGGGTGTGGCCCCAGAACAAAAAAATAAACAAAGCCAAGCCTCTAACGATCAGAGGGCATAGGTACGACCAGGTTCGATTCCCAGCATCCCATATGGTCCCCCAAGCACTGCCAGGAGTAATTCCTGAGTGCATGAGCCAGGAGTAACCCCTGAGCATTGCCAGGTGTGACTCAAAAAGAAAAAAAAACCCAAAAAAACCATGAGTGGGACTGGGGGGGTGGGGATGGAGGGGACCCTCCCTGCTGCACCCCTGTCACCCGGGGACCCTGGGGCTTGCAGTGCTTCTGTCTTGTCTCTCTGCAGGGGTCTGTCCCATACCCCCAGCCCTCGCCTCCCACCCCAAGTGTCCAGGCTCTCTCTGCACTGCTGCTTCCTACCCTGCCCCACCCCGGCGGGCACCTGTAATACTCCACGCGGTCAGTCTGGTGGGCCACATCGGTCAGCGCGTCGGTGGCCTCCCTCCACACGGGGATGACGGCCAGCTGGGCCTCGATGCCAGTGGCCATCTGCCGCAGGAACCTCAGCGTCTGCAGGTAGTCCCCGCGGCTGGCCAGGATCTCACTGAGCCGCGCCAGGTGCCGCTCCAGGTCCCCACGCAGTCCCCTTGTGACGCCGAAAACCTGTAAGGGCCGGGGGAGGCTCTAACCGGGCACCGGTCACCTTTGCCCTGGAGGCCTCTCCGCAGAGGTCCTCCGGGATCCACATGGCTCATGCCCCTGGACCTGGGGCAGTGGGCTCCAGCCTGGCTGGGGACCCAGCCCATGACATCAGGGGGCCTGGGAGGTGGATGGCGAGGGGCATGAGGGTGTGTGATGTATTGTTCCCCAGAAACATGTGGTCCCCAGGCACTATTGAGAGTGACCCTGAGGCTGGCTGGGAGCAGGGATGCAGGGTGGGGGAGGGGAAGGAGAAAGGAGGGAGGGAGAGAGAGAAAGAAAGAGGGTGCAGAGAGAAGTAGAAAGAGAGAAAGGGAGAGAGAATGAGAGAGGGAGAGAGAGGGAGGGGGATAAAAGGAGAGAGAGGAAGAGAGAGAGAGAGAGAAAGGAAGGGAGAGAGAAAGGGAGAGAGGAAGAAGGGGAGAGAGACCCAGTGAGGGTAACAGCAAGATAAGTCATTTTCCTTTCTTTTGGGTCACACCCAGAAATCAGGGCTAGTCCTGGCTCTGCACTCAGGACTCACACCTGGCAGTGCCTGGGGCACCCTATGGGATGCCGGGGATCGAATCTGGGTGCAAGGCAAACGCCCTCCCCGCTGGACTACTGCTCCGGCCCCAGATAAGTCATTTTTCTCCCTTGAAGATTATTATTATTATCTTTTTAATTTTAGGGCCACTCCTGGCTGTGCTTACTCCTGGCTGGGCTGGGGGGACCCGACATAATGACGGGGAGTGACCCTGTGTGGCTGCGTGCACGGCCAGCGCCTTACCCTCATCCTGTCTCCAATGCTATACTTCCTCCTTGGAGATTCTTACAAAACTTTTTTTTTTGAGGAGGGGGCACTTCTGGTGGTGCTTATGGTTGACTTCTGGCTCTGTGCTCAGGGATCACTCCTGCTGGGGCTCGGGGGACCCTATGTGGTGCCGGGGACCAAAGTCAGGTTGGCCATACAAAGAGCCAGCACGCTGCCCACTGCACTTTCTCTGTGGCCCCCAGGTTCTTGTCACGGCTCATAGAAGCAGGGGACTTTGGGCATGGGGCGGAGCCTGACCCCTGACTCAGTGGCAGCATTCCCATAGTGACCCCTGAAGCTACAACCCAGAGGGTGCAGCTCCTCGCCCCCACCCGAGTCCCCGCAGCAGCTGTGGAGCCAGCGACTTCAGACACTTTGGAGGAAGCGTTTGTTCTGGTGAGGAATGAAAGGGGCCAGCAGGAGCCCGGCCCTGTGTGTCCACTGTCGCCTCTCCCAGTCCCTTACAAGAGAGAATGGGCTTGTTGTGGGCCAGCCAGCGCTCAGCGCGTCCTGAACTGGGGACACGGAACAATGGGTCCTTGGAATAAAAATGCACACAGACCCACCGGGTCCTGCCCGGCACAGAGCGGGTATGCATGTGTGCTGGGAAGAGGAAGAGGAAGAGGAAGGCGGTTGCCTACTGATGCTCGGGTATCCATCCAGCTTGGTCTGCTCTCCGGGCACAGTGGGGTGGGGGGCCACAGGCCTGGGATCCTGGAGCCCGGGACAGCGAGTTTCTTTTTCTTTTTTTTTTTTTAAGTCATTTTTGGGCCCCACCTGGTGATGCTCAGGGCTTATTCCTGGCTCTGCACTCAGGAATTGCTCCTGGTGGTGCTCAGGGAACCAAAGATGGGGTATGGGGCTCGAACCTGGGTCTGCCACATGCAAGGCAGGCGCCCTAGCCACTGTACTATTGCTCTGGCCCGAGAACAATTTTCTATGATGGGTGACAGTCTCTGGGGATTGCAGTGATAGTATGGCAGGGAGGGTGCTCGCCTTGCCTTGCATCTTACCTGGGTTCAGTCCCTGGCACCACCCACAGTCCCAGAACCCTGCCAGGAATGAGCCCTGAGCAGTGCCAGATGTGGCCCCAAACAAACAAAGTCTTTTTTTCTTTTTGTATGTGGGGGTGGGATCTGGGCCACACCAAGCAGTGCTCAGGGGCTACTCCTAGCTCTGCGTTCAGGGCTCATTCCTGCAGTGTGTGAGGGACCCAAGGAAGTGGAGAGAATCAAACTGGGGTCAGCCGCAGGCAAGGCCAACCCTTTGCCCCTGTCTTAACCTTCACAGAAACCAAACTCCTACTTCTTAGGGGCCAGAGAGATAGTGCAGTGGGCAGGGTGCTTGCCTTGCATGTGGCTGACTTGGGTTCGATTCCCGGCATCCCATATGGTCCCCTGAGCCCACCACCAGGAGTGTTCCCTGAGCACAGAGTCAGGAGTCGGCCCTGAGCATCACTGACTGTGATCCCAGAGTCCCTCGAAACCAACAACCAAACTCCCACTTCTTTCTCATTTCACCCCCGCCCTTCCCTGGGGGCTCTTAGCTCATCTGTCCCAGTGCTAACGACTGGCCTTTTCATATGCTCTTGGAAGGAGTCTCCCCACATGCCCAGAGTTAGGGTCTATGCAGCCCGGAGCCCTGAAGAGGTCCCCCTCAGGGGGAACATGAGCTTTGCATGTGGGCACCCCCAGGAAGAAGGAATCTGTGGCTGGAGCTATAGCATAGTAGGGAGGGCATTTGCCTTGCACGCGGCTGACCTGGGTTCGATTCCCAGCATCCCATAGGGTCCCCTGAGCACCGCCAGGAGTAATTTCTGAGTGCAGAGCCAGGAGTAACCCCTGTGCATTGCCGGGTTACCCCCAAAAAAAAGCAAAAAAAAAAAAAAAGGAATCTGCTGTCCCGGCCCCCCAAACAGTGCCCATGTCATACTGGGGCGGGGGGGGGGGTTGGGGGGGGAGGTGTTGATGCATCCACCGTCCGCAGCTGACGCGGTGCCCCGCTGCAGGGGCATCTGTGCCGTCTGTCCTGCGCCAGGAGTCGCTGGCTCCGGGGCACAGAATGGCCTTCTTTGTTCTGCTCGGCCTTATGTACCCAGTGTCTCGGCTGGCTCTGCTCTGGGGTTTGTTCCTGGTCCCCAGAAGCTGGCTCCGGACTAAGTGATACCATAAACAAAAGTGGTTTTTTTTTCCCGGTGGGGGTGGGGGTCAGGAGAATTTCCTAGGGACTTGGCCAGGTGGGGCTTTCCACGTGGCAGAACAGGTCAGAATAAACCTGGTAACTCGGATCACCCCTCCAGAACACCGCTGGGAAGGGGCTGGAGCCACAGAACAGCAGGCAGGGAGCTGACTTTGCGTGAGGCTGGCTAGGGTTGGTTCCCCAGCACCGCCGAGCCCGACCAGGATCACAGATGCAGAGCCAGGAAGGAATAAGCTCTGAGCACCGCTGGGTGTGCCCCCATGCCCCTCCCCCCCACCAAAAAGAAAAAGAAAGGAGCGGCCGGAGCGATAGTACAGAGGGTACAGAGGGGAGGGCCTTTGCCTTGGATGGAGCTGACCTGGGTTCGACCCCTGACATCCCATAGGGTCCCCCAAGCACTGCCAGGAGTAATTCCTGAGTGCAGAGTCAGAAGGAACCCCTGAGCATTGCTGGGTGTGATTATCCCCCTGCCCCTTGACACCCCCTCCCCCCCTCAAAAAAAGAGAAAGGAAAAGAGCACTGGTTACATGATAATCCCAGGAATAAAATGGTGTCTGGGAGACATTTTTCATCTTCCTACATTCGAGCAAAGAGCAAACGGGTATTAAAAAAGCACTGAAGGGCCGGAGCGATAGCACAGCGGGTAGGGTGTTTGCCTTGCATGCGGCCGACCTGGGTTCGATCCCCAGCATCCCATATGGTCCTCCAAGCACTGCCAGGAGTGATTCCTGAGTACAGAGCCAGGAGTAACCCCTGAGCATTGCTGGGTGTGACCCAAAAAGCAAAAAAAAAAAAAAAAAAAAAAAAAAGCACTGAAGGGGACTGGAGTCATAGTACAGTGGGGAGGGTCCTCGCCTTGCATGCAGCAGGCCGAGGTTTGACTCCCAGCACCCTATAGGGTCCCCTGAGCCCCAGCAGGACTGATCTCTGAGCACAGAGCCAGGAGTCAGTCCTGAGCACTGCTTAGTGTGGCCCTCAAACCAAACCAAACAAAAAAAAAAACTATGGGTGTGTGTGTGTGTGTGTGTACGTGTGTTGGGGGGGGCCGGAGATGTAGTAAAGGAGATGTAACATACAAGTCTTGCCCGCTACAAGCCCCGCCCACCCACCCCCACCCCCACCCCCGCCTGCCCCAGCATCACTGGGTGTGGACCCAAGACCCCCCCAGGCACCCCTTACACTCCTGTGCCCTCACACCTTTGTTTGATTTTTGTTGGTTTTTGGTTTGGGGGCCACACCTGGTGGTGCTCAGAGCTGACTCCTGGCTCTGCTTTCAGGGATCACTCCTGGTGGGGCTGGGGGGACCCTTTGGGGTGTCGGAGATAAACCTGGGTTGGCCTCATACAAGGTAAGCGCCCTCCCCACTGTCCTTTCACTCTGACCCCTAATTGCAGAAACTTTGGCCCCGGGGGCTGTGTGGACACAGTCGGATCTCCAGGTACCCCCTGGACAGGCCCAGCAACTAACCCTTCACCTTGGGATGGAGGGGATCCCCAGTGACCTGCTGCCCGCCTGATGTCTAGCCATATCGGTTCCCTCAAGGTCCAGAGGACCAAAACAGACTCCGGACAGCACCGGGCCCAGAGAGACCACCCCTCCTGGGGGAATCGTGGAGTGCAGGCTCCCGGGAAGAGGTTGGAGGGGTCACGGCCAGGACAGGAGAAGCTCCCCCAGTCGGCCGCCACAGAAGCGGGGATCCCTGCCCTGCCTCTCCCAAGGGGAGTGCAGAGGAAGGGTCCTGAGAAGCCCCAATTCTCCTACACCCCAGTACTCTCCTGCACACAGGAAAGCACAAAAATCTCAGGGGTGGGGCGTGCACCTTCAGGGATCCCCAGACACAAGGGGGGTATTTCATTTTCCTGAGACAGCTGGGATCTGGGCCCAGGGGCATCCCAACTCCCTTGGGGGCCACTGTGCAGTGCTGGCCTCCCGACACCCCTCCCAGGGACCCTGGCAGCCCAGCCCGGCCCGGCCAGCCCCGCTGCCCACCAGCCTCACCAGCTCGTCGATGCCGGCCAAGGTGTGGTTGGCGTTCTCCAGGGAGTAGATCAGCTGGGACACCCCGTCGTTGGTCTCGCTGTTTCCGTAGAAACCGACGCCCACGGCAGTGCTAGACAAACCCAAACCAAGTGAGAGGTGACAAGCTTTTGGTTTTGTGCTTTGTTTCCTTTTTCCTGGTGCTCAGGGCTTCCTCCTGACTCTGTGCTCAGGGATCACTCCTGGACCCTGGGCAAGGCCAGTGCCTTAACCTCTGTCCTATCTTTCCAGTCCTCTCTGGGGCTGATTTTTTCTGACAGTGCTCAGGGCTGACTCTTAGCAGGGCCGGGGGTCAAACTTGGGGAAGCCACATGCAATGGAAGCACCCTCTGGCCTGGTTTTTGGTTTGCTTGTGATGCTCAGGAGTTATCCCAGTCTTAGCACTCAGAAATCATTCCTGGCAGTGCTCGGGGGACCCTACGGGATGCCAGGGATTGAACCCGGGTCGGCTGTGTGCAAGGTAAGCCCCTTACTGGCTGTACTATTGCTCTGGCCCTCTCTGGCCTGATTTCCGAGCAAACCTTTTACGAGCCGCCTGAAAAGCTTCAATCCCAGCATGCCCTGCTGTGCCATGGCCAACAGTGCCCACCTGCGGGGTCGTCCGCAGTGAGACCCAGGGTCACAGGGGCCGCTTTCTCTCCTACCCCCCACCCCACAACTCTGTCTTCCCTTTTCCAGATGAGCCCTTTGCACGAACCCAGAGTGGGGTGGGGTGGGGTGCATGGATCTCACTCAGCAAGGCTCCTGCATCCACATTTAAGGCTCCCTGTCCTTTTCCAGCACTGAGTAACAGGAACCTGCTGTCAGATGGCCCCATACCCCCATTCACACACCCCTGGGGCATCTGGGCTACCTCCCAGCTCTGTTGATGGTGGATAAAATCACAACAACCAGAGACAGATACAACAACAGCGGGGAAGAGCGCTGGCCTTGCACACAGTTGACCTGGGTTTGATCTCCGGCACCCCCAGAGGGTCCCGTGAGCCCCACCAGGAGTGATCCCTGAGCATAGAGCCAGGAGTCAGCCCTGAGCACTGCTGGCTGTGCCCTCCCCCGTCCCAAGTGCATCTCTGGGGAGCGGGTGTTTTGGACTTGAATGGAGGAACTCGGGCCTGGGGGATGGGCAGAGGGCAGTGGGGAAGGACTCAAGTTCAGGGTCAGTTTGTCCCTGGCCGCTGACCAGCTCTGAACAGGATTCCTGGTGGTGGTGTCTGACCGGTGGGAGGTGGCTAGCTGGGCGGGGGTCCTGAGGAGGGTGAGACGCAGAGACCCCCAGGTTCACCAGTTCCCCAGGTGGCTAAGGCAGGCAGAGTCCTCCCTGAGAGCTGCCTCCCTTGCACCCTGCCTTCCTTCCCCGAGGCTGCCTGCCCCTCTGGTAAGTTCCAGCCCTTAGCCTGAAGGTCACCGTGAGCTGTGGTGCACCCACCTCCAGAAGCCCACCCCACAGCCCAGGTCAGTAATATCCCCTGCCCTCGGGTCACCTCTGCTCCCAAATCCAAGTGACCTCTAGGCCCTTGGCCGGCCAAGTCCACCCACTGGCTTCACCCTCCAACGGCTCCACATGGCGCTTAAACTTGGCCTCTGAGCGTGGTGCCTGTGTCCAGGCCACTCCTGTCTTTCCGGCTGGAGGCGACAACCCTGGCTGGCTCCTGGCCCTGACCTCGGTTCTGCCCTTGACCTGCACATATCCCAGAGTTTCTGCGGGAGAAGGGCAGCTGACCGCTCCCCTCTTCCCAGAGTGCCGTATGGATTTCTGTTCCACTTTAACCCAAAGCAGAACATTCGCTCCATCCCTGCAGAGTTCCGACACGCTGGTTTGGGTCCAACATTCCAGCTGGAGCAAATTGTCTTGGCTCTCACCCAGGTCACCAGCCTGTTCTCAGGGGTCACTGGACACTGGCTTCATAGCCTCCTGTGTTTTGTTTGTTTGTTTGTTTGCTTTATGGGTCACATCCGGCGATGCACAGGGGTTACTCCTGGCTCTGTACTCAGGAATTACCCCTTGCGGTGCTTGGGGGACCCTATGGGATGCTGGGAATTGAACCCAGGTCCGCCACATGCAAGGCAAATGCCCTCCCCGCTGTGCTGTCACTCCAGCCCCAGTCTCCTGAGTTTTTATCCAAAACATTAATTCGAGGGAACTGGAGAGATAGTACAGTGGGTTAGGTGCTTGCTTTGCATCCGGCCAACCTGGGTTCAATCCCTGGCATTCCATAGGGTCCCCCAAGCCCGCCAGGAGTCATTCCTGAGTGCAGAGTCAGGAGCTACCCATAAGCTCCACTGGATGTGGCCCAAAAACCAAAGGGGGAAAATTAATTTGGAGTGTGTGTGAGATAAATGAACTTTCTTTGTTGTTTTTGGGCCACGCCTGGTGGCGCTCAGGGCTTAGTCCTGGCTCTGAGCTCAGGGATCACTCCTGGTGGGTTTAGGGGACCCTTTGGGGTGTTGGGGATCGAACCCAGGTGAGCCACGTGCAACACAAGAGCCCTCCCCACTGTGCTATGACCCAGCAAGTTCCCACTGCATCACAGGACTAGCACACAGATGCACGCATGAACATTACTCATGCACGCATGCATGAACACATGCAGACATGTGCTCCAGTTGGGGGTTCCCTGTGTGAATCAGGATTCTTCGGGTTCAGTCGGGACCCACTTAACTCCACCCTCATCTCACCAGAAACCCCAGAAAGGACGTGACTGAATGACCGGCTGGATGTGTCACCCACGAAGTGACCTCCCGTGCCAGAACCTGCTGTTGGCACTCAACTAAAAACAAGTTTCCGTTTGCTCAGACGCGCGTCCTTGGAACTCTGTGAGCATGACTTTCTTGTTATTTGGGCCACACCTGGCGGTGCTCAGGGCTTACTCCTGGCTCTGTGCTCAGCCCTCTATTCCTGGTGGGCTTCGGAGAGCCAGAGATCGAACCTGGCAAGGAACACGCCCTCCCTGCTCTGCTGTCGCTCTGACTCCCATGACTGTGACTATGACTTCCTTCTCAGGGATCCGGGCCGGATCGCACGCTTGCTCACAGAACTCCCTGTAGGGTTCAGGCGTGCCTGGGGACGGGGACCTGAGGGGTTCACCCTTGTCAGCACCCCAGGCCTGTGAGGCCGCCTTGGTTAGATGGGGATAGTGCACCCACCTGGGGGATAGGCTCACTTCTCAGGCCCTACAGCTGATGAGCCCCTGGGTTTTTTTGTTGTGGTGGTGGTTGTTTTGCTTTTTGGGTCACACCCAGCGATGCACAGGGGTTACTCCTGGCTCTGCATTCAGGAATTACTCCTGGCAGTGCTCAGGGGACCCTATGGGATGCTGGGAATAAAACCCGGGTTGGCCGAGTCCAAGGTAAACACCCTCCCTGCTGTGTTACCACTCCAGTCCCCGCCCCTTGGGTTTTGTTTTATTTTTTTGTGGGGTGGGGCGGACGCTTGGAGGAGAAAGGGGTATCACGGTCACTCCCGGGCTAAGCCATCACCAGAGGTTTCGGGCTCATACAAACTCAAGTCCCACGCCCCTGCCCTGCTTGTCCCCTCGTGGTACTTGGGACCGGGCGGGGGACACTCACCAGCACAGCAGCCCGACCAGCACGGCTGTCCAGGTGACACTGCAGGGCTCGTGCCGCTTGGTGGTGAGCGTCTGGGCCGGCCGCCGGCAGCACTGGCAGATGAGGTAGGCGGCCAGGAAGACCAGGTTCAGGCCTAGCCCCACGGCGACCAGCAGGCCCAGGAGCAGCAGCGACTGTGGGGACAGGCCTGAGTCAGCCCTGGGGCCTGGGCACCGGGTGAGGCCAGTCCTGGGGCGCTGAGCCGCAGGGGTGGGGGGGGTGCGGGTGTAGAAAGAGTGAGGGGGAGGGCCAGTTCCTGGCTGGCACCCCGGGGTGGGGACCCGCATGGTCTGGCTGCAGGGAGTGTGGCCAGCGCGGGGTCAGGGGCTGCATGGGGTCACGGCCTGAGCCTCCCCAATGCACACAGCCGGGAAGTGGGGGGGGGGTGCTCAGGCCAAGCCAGGAAGGCCTGCGGCGTGGGGGTCCATCCGGAAACAGGAAGGCGGTGCCATGGTGGGCGAGGGACGGGTGGGACACACACCGGTGTCCCCTTCCTGAGTCCTGAGAGGGACAAAGCAAAGCCCCGGGTCTGGACAGTCCCCGAATAGGTGCTTGGTGAGGAGGCCGGAATCCCCCCTCTCCCCCCCTATCCTCACGAGGCCAGGTGGGCAGCATATGGCCTTGGAGGGCTGGGCCTGAGCAGACACTTGCCTGGACTTCCACGGACCCCCCGACCCCCTGGTGTCCCCCAGACACCCCAGTGTTCTGGTGGTCACTCAGAGAACCTGAAGACTGGCCGAGCTGAGCTGGGACCTCTCTGTCCCATGGGAGCTCAGGGATGCCCCCGGATGCCAGGGCGGGGGCAGATCCGGGAGTTCGTGGGGTGAGGACAGCCTGGAGGGGGCTTGGCATGGACGGGATGAGGGGTCTCGGTGCCTCAGGCGACCTGTCCTGCACCCCTGCTTTCTTGAGGCCAGCAGCGGAGTCCCCAACCAGGACACAAAGGCCAAGCCTGGCCCTAGCCTCCCTGGCAGGCGCCCTGCTAGAAGCCAGGTGTCCCGGGACGGTCACCCCAAGACCCAGGTCCCCACAGAATGGAGTGTCACAATGCCAGGGGACACACTGTGGCAGCAGCCTCATCCTCCACAGAGATTCAGTCCTAGAAACAGTGTGTGGGTTCCAATCTTCCCGGCAGAACCAGAGCTCAGGGTCAGCAGAGGAGGAGGTGGGGGGAGGTGGGGGCCTTGGGGATGCCGGAGCGGAACCTTTCAGATGCTGCAGAGAGCAAGCCAAGCGATGAAGGGGACTTTGGCAGGGAGTGTCGGGGATGTTGGGGGCACTTCAGAGGCGCCCAGAGCGCTATCCTGCAGGTGCAGGCACAGTCAGAGAAGCTCTGGTGGGGACCGGGAAAGGATGCAGCTCCCCGGGAGGGGCTGATGAAGGCCTGTCCAGGGTCATATACCCTCCCCTGACTGTGCCCCAGCTGTGCAGGGTCATCTCTCTCCGGACCTCATGCCACTGAAGGTAGCCCCCCACCCCACCCCTGCTCCCCATCAGCAAGAAGGGCCCTGGGTCGGATGGAGGGGGTCCATCTCTCCAGACCATCCCCGCCCTGACCTTACGCCTCCTGGACCTCTCCCAGTGCCAATCTTGCCCTGGACCAGCTGGTCACCTATTCCAGAAGACTCCCTGGGGCTGGGGGCAGAGGCAAAGAGGTGGGAGGAGGAGGATGGCAAGGAGGTGGTGGGAGGAGGGGGAGGGAAGGAGCATGAGGAGGATGGAGGGAGGACAGGGAGGAGGGGAGGATGGGGAGGAGGCTGAGGAGGATGAGAGGAGTGGTGATGGGAGGAGGGGGTGAGGAGGAAGGCCAGGAGGGAGCAGGGGGAGGAGGAGGAGGGGGAGGGAGAGGAGGAAGAGAGGAAGGAAGAGGAAGGAAAAGGAGGAGGGAGAAGACAGGGAGAGAGGAAGCAGGGAAGAGGGAGGAGAGAGAGGAGGGGGAGGGGAGGGAGGAGGATGCAGCAGGAGAAGGAGGGACCCAGATGCTCTCACAGTTTGGGAGCTGCTGCCTCTCCCCTCTGCAGACCCCCCGCTTCCTGACCCTGACTCGCAGTGCCCACCTGTGTCCCCATCAATGCCCAGGGCGCGACGCCCGGTCAGAGGATGGCAGGGCACTCTCTCCCGTCATCGGGACCTCCCCTGGCGTGGTGGGGGGGCTGTAGCCCCCCAAACCCCACCTCAGGGCTCAGGGCCAGCCTGGCTCCTCCTCAGATTCAGCTCCGGGTGTGGCTGTCTTGTGTGTGGCAGGGACACTGGACAGGGGGTGACTGTGGGCAATGGCAGCACGGCCGCGGGGCCCCAGCGAGAGCCCCTCAGCCTGGGGCACCATCAGAGTGAGCGAGCGGGGCAGGAGGGGCCCCCGCCATGCCGGGCAGCTGACAGTCTGGTGACCGTGACTCAGTGCGTGGGGGGACGTATGAATGGGGCTTCCTCATCCATCCTGGAGCCCTGCCTGGGCCCCCCAGTGATATGGCCCCAGCCGTGGTGGGGCGGGGACCCCTGTGGTGTTGGGGTCCCTGTCTCCCTCTCTGCACCCCAAGGACATGCACGCTGGGGAGGGGTTCACAGACACTACGGCGTGGCAGTGCGGGCGACTGTGCCGGACCACCAAGACCAAACAAGAAGGGTCTTGCTTTGGGGTCACGGTCACCCAGCAAGGGCCCAAGCTGGGGTTGCCAGGCAGACTGCAGAGCAGCTAAGCCGGGCGCCCTGACTTAGCCTCTCTCCTGCCCACCCCGGCTGGCCCAGCTGGGCCCAGTCAGGCTTCCTGTGACAGCAGGTGCCTGTCCCGGGAGGACAGGGGACAGGGGACACAAGGAGATCCCCTGGCCAGACTTCAGGGGAACTGACGGAAACAGGAGTCACCTCAAATAACAGCCGGCCAGCCAGACTTCCCTGCTGGGCCCTAACTGCCAAGTCCTCCCTGCCCGCGGGGTGCTGAGGCAGGCGGAGAAGGCTGCAGGGGCTCAGAGTCCCTGGATACCCAGCCCCAGGGCCAGGGTGTGAGTCCAGGGAGAAGGGGGCAGGGCTGGACAAGGTCCTGCGGGCTCTGATACCAGCTGTGGCAAGACAAGTGTCATCTTGGGGCAGGTTGGGGGGCTTCCCTCCCGCCACCTCCCAGGCTCTGTGCACCCGGTTGGGACACACTCATGCACGTGCACACATGCACAAACACACACAAACACACACAAACACACGCACACACACATACAGGCACACATATACACAGAAGTATACACAGACACACAAACACACAGATGCATACACACATGCACGCACATACACATGCACAAGCACACACACACACATACACACACACACACACAGAGCTGTCTGAACCATATCCGCCTGCGCCTTTCATGCATTCACTGGGAGCGGAAGATTCCCTGGGGCCTCGCAGACAGCTCGGACTCTGGGAAGCGCTTAGCTTCCAGGAGCTAAGCGGGAGAGGAAGGGGCAGGACAGCAGGGGGGACGCGAGCGGGGCCCCAGAGTCTTCTCTAGCCGGGCGGGGTAGGGGGACAGGTCACTCGCGGTTATTAGACTCCCGGTCCCCCGGGCGCACCGCCAAGCCCGGGATGCCCCCAGCAGGGGCAGCGGGAGACAGCGGACACCGGAGCTGCCCCCCAGCCCTGCTACCCGCCCACAGGCCCGAGCGGCAGCCGGAAGGAGAAGGCCGGCGGCCCGGCCAAAGTCCGTGCGGGCGCGGTGCGGACCCCCGGGCGGAAGCCAAGTCTGCCGGAGCAGACGGACACTCGGACGGCCGGGCCGGGCCGAGCCCGGCCGGGCAGAACACGCGGGAGGGCGCCAGGAAGAGACCCCGGGCCTGGGGGGCCTGGGATAGGAGGAAGGGACTCCGACGCGGTTCCTGCTCAAACTTCTCCCGCGCGGTCCCGAGAGCGCGGTCGTCCCGCCGGCGCGAGGACTGGCCCCGGGGCACGGGAAGGGGTACGGCGGGGGTAGGGGGCGGCGGGGCCCGGAGCGCCGAGCCCGAGGGAAGGGGCGCGGAGGGCGGAGCGGGGGCGCCCCTTACCTCCTGGTAACTCTCATCGCGGGGCCGGAAGGTGCTGTCCACCGGCTGCAGGCGGAGGTCGAGGTGCGGGACGCTGTGCAGCCACACCACCCACCAGGGCGCGATGTACTCCACGCGCGAGGCGGGCATGGTCGGCCGGAGTGAGCCCGCCCGGGTTCCGCGCCGCCGGCTGCTGGACCCCGGCCCGGGCCGCCCCGGCAGGCCCCGCCCCTCGGCTACGGCCCCGCCCCGCCCCGCCCCGCCCCGCCAGGCCACGCCCCTCACTGCTCCGGACCTCCCCGACAGGACCCGTCTCTCGGGTACAGCTCCGCCCCACCCCGCCCCGTCGGCCACGCCCCGGACCAACAGGCCACGCCCCTCACGGTACGGTCCGGGCCGCTCCGACACGGCCCGCCCCACAGATACGGCCTTGCCACGCCCTTCCGTCAAGGCCCCGCCCACTGTTCCCCGCCCCTCTCCGACCCGACAAGCCCCGCCCCACGCAGGCCCCGCCCAGTAAGCCCCCGCCCTATCCCTGCTGGGGGGTCCCGCCCTCGACTGGTTCCGCCCCATCAGGTCCCGCTACCTAAAGGCTCGTCACTCCCCCTTAATGCCCCTGTTCCGTACAACCACAGGCCCGCTCCTGCCTGGCCAACTATTTTTGTGTTTTGTTTTTTGTGCCACACCCTGGCTCTGCACTCATCACTCCAGGTAGGGCTCAGGGGGACCCTATGGGGTGCCGGGGATTGAACCCCGGGTCGGCTGCGAGCAAGGCAAACGTTCTCCCCACTCGACTCCAGCCCCTCGAACACTTACTATGTTTTCTGTGTGTGCAACTCTTTTTGTAGTTGTCTGGTACCTGTCCTGGCCCCTAGGGCTAAGCAGGTCCAGGATGTTTCTAAATGTTTCCTTTGTCCTTTTCCTTGGGAGTTTGGGCGTGTGGTTTTGCTCTGGGCTTACTCCTGGCTCTGCGCCCAGGGATCACTCCAGACTCGGGGGATGGAACCCGGGTCAGCTGCAAGTAATGCAAACACCTTACCTGGGGCACTATTTCTCCAGCCCCTAAACCTGTTTTTTTTCTTTTTTTTTTTTTGGATGTCCTTTCTTTCATTTTATTAAAATATAATAGACACACAACATTGTGCTAAGTCTGTCTGCACACGGATTCTTGGGTTGGCCAATGACTAATCTCCAGCAGGGATGAAAAGCACTGAGTGCAGTGAGCGGAGATGCTGGGGGTCACGGGGGAGAGGAGGCAGTTCGGGGCTTTGGAGGCCGGGAAATGGACAGACGGGGCAGCCAGGGCAACACTCACTCACCGGGTCATTCCTTCTCTGTTCTGCTCAGTCGATACTGAGTCTCAAGAACAGAGGAGCAACCAAAACAAGGCCCTGTCCTGGCGCGCCGCCATCTGCCTCGGCTCTGGAATGGAGAGAGGCAAATTCGGCCATTCTTCTTTGCTTTTGTGGGCTTCCTGGAGGAAGGGGCCTTTGAACTGTCTAGAGGGGAGGGGTGCAAGGATGGTGCAGGGACACTTGAGGGCTGCCCACCACACGCTGAGCACCAGCTCAGGTGCCAGGGAGACACGGTAACCACAGCTTCCGCCCCTACCTCCCCAGCCCACCCACTTTCCTCCAACCCTCCCCAGGTGCCCAGCCCAGCCCTGCCCTGCCTTCCATGGGCACATGTAGATGACAACCAGCTGTGCTCAGGGGCCTTTGGAGAAAAGTGGAAGCAGAGAGCAGATCCCAGAAACCAAGGCAGGGGTGGGTGAGGGGGAGGCTGCTTGCCTTGCATGCGGCCACCTGGTTCAATCTGCAGGGTCCCCAGGGCCTTTCCAAGAGCGATTCTTGAGTGCAGGGCCAGGAGTCAGCCCTGAGCATGGCTGGGGGTGGTGTGGGCCCCAGACACTGAGGTCAGTATAGATGACATCCAGGGGTCTGAGCTTTGGGCAGCCCCAGGTGGAGGGGAAGTGCAGGCACCCAGGGAGAGGGGCCTAGGTTTTCTGCGGGGAGGGGTAGGCGGGTGGATGGACACCAGCCGGGGGAGCTGGCCTGCAGACCTGTGGGGCCTGGACAGAGTAGGCCAAACGCCCCTAGTCCTCTTGAAGTGGTGTCCTGTTACGTGGCCGGTACAGCGGAGGCAAGTCTGTGACCGAGAGTCCCCAGCCTGCAGGGCAGGAGGGCACTGAGGCTGGGCTCTGCCTTCGCGTTTCCTGGCTGTCCTTCCCGGAAGAGTACTTGCTGCTGAGTCCTCTCTGCTGGGGGACACAGGCAGGCTCCATCTGCCAGCAGCAATCCTGGGGGCTGGGAGCAGGGGCAGTCAGGGGGCCAGAGGACAGGGGCCCCCTAGGAATCCAGCAGGTGCCAAAGGACAAATGGACAGAGCAGGGAAGCGCTGGGGGCCAGGGGGAGCCATGTGTGCATGCTGGAATGCTGCCCTTGTGGCAGGGGGTGTCAGCTTGGGACAGACATCAGACGCTGGGCTGGAGACAGTGACCCCAGACCCCACTCATGGTCCTGAGCACCCAGCTGGGAGAAGCCCCTGGTGAATCTCGGCAAAAAGCATGGAGTTCAGAAAGAAACAAAGGATGCGCTTTACTGTGTATTTTTTGATTTCTAAGATAGAAGTACCTCAATTTAGAGAGGTGGGGCCAGCACAGCAGGGACGCACTTATTTGCCTGATCAGCCCTGGACCCATAGGGTCCCTGGACTACTGCCAGGATTTCTTTTTTTTTTTAACCTTTATTGAATCACAGTGAGACAGCCCATTACAAAGCCGTCTGTGATTGGATTTCAGTCATACAGTACTCCCAACACCCATCCCCTCCACCGGTGTACATTTCCCAGCACCAGGGTCCCCAGGTTCCCTCCCTTCATTGCCCCCACCCACGTCTATGGCAGGCGCTTTTCTCTCTCATCAGGAGTGATTCTTAAGTGCAAAGCCAGGAGTAATCTGAGCATTGCTGGGTGTGGTTGCAAAGCAAAAAACGTAAAATAAGAGGCAGGGTGCTGGTCTTGCACTTGCTGTTACCTGGTTCAATGCTGGGTACTACATACGGTTCCCCGAGACCGCCAGGAAAAGCCCTGAGCATCACTGGGTATGTCCCCACATCCCTCCAAAAGATCAAGAAGGAAGAAAAGGCAAGAGGTAGATTCGAAGTTTCTGGGCTGGCTGCAGAGCCAAGGGGTGTGGCTTTGCCACCCAGACCATCTCCCAGTGTAATCACTGTGGCACAGCTCCATGCAAAGGATGTGGACATGCCCCAGTGCCTGGTTGTCACCTTGCTGGTGTGTGTGTGTGGTCCTCCCATATCAGGGGCCGCCAGGGCGTTACCCTCCACTGCACAGGAAGTGGGGGTGGGCCCACTGATCAGACAGCCCATGTTCTCCCTGCCAACGGCTGTGAAGCGTCTGCAGAGGGAGGGGCGGGCAGGACTGCAGAGACCCCAGCAAGGCAGTGGGCGCAGATTTGGGAGGGGTGGGAACTGGCTAGTCCTAGGACTGCCCTGCTGGGCCCACACCAAGGGCCCTTCCAAGGGTACAAGGCTGTCCTCCTATGTGGAGGACAAAGATGGGCCCTGTGGGGACCAGTCCTCTTCCTGGGAATCCTGAAGATTGAATGAGGGGAACAGGAGCCGCCTGTTTTACTCCCCATCCCTTACCTCCTGCGGGCCTCCAAACCAGAGCACCAGGTACACTCCCACTGTGGAAAACCCCCTACAGGGCAACAGTGGGACTCCAGGCTCTGTTGACTTGAGGGTGAACTGTTTTCAGTTCGGGGGTGACAACCAGCTGTGCAGGGCTCTGGCCGGAACCTTGAAGAGGTGCCAGAGCAGCAGGAGCAGTTGGGCCACAGTGCCACCTGGTGGCTGCCCGTGGGACTGCTGCTCAGACAGCCCAGGGCCCCAGGATGCGCCCAGCACCTCTGGGTGAGACAGGTCTTAGGCTGGGAGAGTCCCTCGGGGTCCCCTCAGCTCCAATAAAGGACTCCTGCCCCAGCCAGCCCACCCACACTATCTGTGCACTCTCCCGACTGGGAAATCAGGCACCCTCAGCCCACAGTCCCCATCCTGGAAAGGTGTCACTTACAGGCTGCAGTGCCAGGCTGCTCCCACTCTGAAGCCCCTGCCCAGGCCGTTCCCTTTCCTCTGTGCCATCTCCAGGGCCCATTCCTGCCCCCAAACTCCAGCCCAGACACTCTTCTCCATACCTGAGTCATCAGTAGCTCAGCCTTCGGCCAGCCCTGGCTGGTTCCTTGGCACCACTAGGCAGCTGTTTCCAAGCTCCTGCCAGCCCTCCATGTTCGGGGCACCCCTCTCCCTGCTGAAACCCAGTTCTCTCAGCTTGAGGTAAGGGCCGGGAAGGGATCGGCCTGTCTGCCCCGGCTACTGCTAGTCCCGTCCCGCGGCCCCCAGCCCCTTAAAGACAAAGCACAGGTCTGGAATTTTCCATCTTTAATACAGATTCACCGGCACGCCTGCTTCATTTCAAGTCTTTCACCGCCAAACCTGGGGAGAGAGAGAGAGACGCGTGTGAGCCAGAGGTGCTGGGGCTCCTGCTTATAGGACCGAGCCCATGTCTGGGAATGGAAACGCTCAATCTGTATGTGGGGCACTGGTCAGGTCTTCCAAGGTCAGGGGAACCCAGCGCCGGTGCAGAGGAACCTCCAGAACCACGTCCCAGCCACCCGCTCCCCCACCGGGAGGGAGGCACGAGGGGCCCAGCCCGCACCTGGGGGCAGCGACTGCTTCAGCTTCTCGGCCTTCTCTTTGTCGGTGATGACGAGTGTGTACAGGTACTTGCTGCAGCGCACCTTGAACTTGACGTTGTCCTTATTTTTCTTGATCTTGACGGCTGCGGGAGGCCAAGGCTGTGAGTGAGACCTGGGATGCCGACCCAGGCATCCGCAGTGGACAGGGATGGGGTGCTGCCACCTCGGGGCAGTGCGATCCCCATAGCCAGGAGGCACCGGTCTAGCTGCCCCCCCCAGCTCTGTTCAGATGAGGGTGAAGTGCTGGTGGCGGGAGACACCGAACAGAGGGAAAGCCAGGTCGCTGGTGGCTCACACGTGGAAAAATGCTGCAAGGGGGAACCACTAAGGCCAGAAACACAGGACCGCGGCCCCTGAGCAGGGCCAGGATGAAGCTCTGCGGATCGCTGCGTGGGTCCCCCACAAAAAAGCTAACTTTGGGTTGCAGTGAGTACAAAAAAAGCCTCACGGGCCTGAGGCAACAGTCAGAGGAGCTGCAGGCTCCAGTCTGCAAATGCCCCGAGCCCAGGCGAGAGACCCCCGGTCCCACGGGGAAGGGGCGCTAGTCCTGCAGCTGCCCACTGCACCTTCCGACCCCCAAGCAAACGACAAAGGGTCCGGGGGTCCCGCGGCAAGCTGGGCTGAGACCCTCCCCCCCCCAGGCCTGTGTCCCAGCAGCCCCCGGCCCCGTGGCTTCCCGGACCCCTGGCCACCCCCACGAGCCCACTCACACTTGGCGTCCTTCCGCCGCGCCGTGAGCAGAAAGTCCTTGATTTCCTCGATTTTGCGTGGCTGCAAGTCCCGGGAGAGGGGGCGTGAGTGTCGGGGACCCCCAGGAGGGCGCCCAACCCTCCCTCCCCGCGGGGGGGGGGGCCTGTACTCACCATGATCGCGAGCGTGCGGGGACGTCCGGGCCGGCACCTGCGGGGGACACGGGTCGGGGGATCGAGATGGGTGCGGGGCCCCCTCCCCGACGGCCTCCCCGAGAAAGACACGCCCCGATGCAATCCAGCCCCCGTACCCGCGCCCCCAGACCCAGGTCCCGGTCCCTCACGTTGTGCCCGGCCGAGGATGGCCCCCGATGACCCCCCACTGTCCACGCAGCGGCAGCCAGACACTCACCGCCAACCGCGAGAGGCAAGAACGGAAAAGAACGAGACTTCCGGTTCCGGGTAGTTAAGCCCTCACCCCCCGCAGGAAACCCAGTACGGCGGCCGCAGAGGATCAGAATGACCTAGGCTTTCGCTTTTCCCTTTACGGCAAACGCATCTGCCCCCTCCTGGCCACTGTGAGTAGTGCAGCTCGGCCTCCCCGCGGCCGCGTTGGCGCCCACGTTCCCGCTGGAAGACCTGCCACGTGTGATCTATCGCTTTCATTAGACCTGTGTATTGGGCAGCAGCGCCGGCTTTTGTCACCGACCAAAGGGACGCGCCTAGGTAGGCGCGAGAATCCGTTCGAGCCGACCTCGCTGTCGCTCTGCGCCTTCTCCACCCATCTCCAGCCTGTGGATGGGGTCAGCGCACCTGCTGCTTCCGGGTCCTATCAACTGGTGCAAACGGGTGCAAAGAGGAGCAGGGCTGGTACTTTAGGGAGGAAACAGTCTCCAGGACCCACCTGGGTCCCCCCAAGCCTCTGAGGGAGGCCCAGGTCGCGACAGGGAACTGCAGGCCTGGCTCCCTCCTGTGGGTAGCTGTACCCTGGAGAAGCAGTACCCCCCCCGCCCCCACCCTCCCACTCTCCCCCTCCCCGCCGCCTGGTTTCCTCTGAGGCTGCGGGGACCTAGGTCCCTGCCGGGGGGTGGGGAGGTGGGGGGAGGGGGGAATTGGGGGCTCCCCCCAAACCCGCATTTGTCGATTTTATTTGAATTCTCCACTTTTATTTTATGCTCAAGCCTTCTACAAATGTCCACATCTTATTCTATTTGTTTTCCCTCAAAGCAATAAGGGCCCCGCGGAATCTAATTGCACCAGCGCTCACGGAGCAGAGCCTCTGACCATCAGTTCTTCTGTAGCTTCCTCCTGGGGGCCCGTTGGAACATCGTCCTGGGGCGCTGAGGATGCGGAGAAGCCCCTTGGGACCACAAAGCCTCCTGTTAGACTAAAGCTGCTGAAAGAACCCAAGCTCTGCAGGTCAAACTCAGGCCGGGGGTTTAGCTGAGTCTTAGGGCTTTGGCCCGGAACCGAGGACACCCCCAGCTCCCCCCTGTCCTTGCCGCCCTGCTCCAGCCCTGGCTGGTGCCCTTCTGGGCCATTGCTCTGCCAGGAGCAGCTCCCTGCCAGGCCTCTGGGAAGAGGTTCAGACGGATCCTGTTGGTCACAAAGTCTGCTCCTCCTTCAGTGCTCATGGTCACCTCATGGAGAAGGAAGGCACTGATAGGGAGTGGTATATGGGGTGGTGGGATGGATGGGGCTGGGGGAGAGGGCTGGCTGGAAGGTAGGGGGAGGGTGAAGGAGGGAGGAGGAAAGAGGATGGAGAAGGGAGGCTGGAGGGTGGAGGTCTGAGGAGGGTGGGGGGAGGAGGGGGAGGAAGAAAGATGCAGGGGGAAGGAGGAGGAGGGAGGAGAGTGGATGGAGGAGGGAAGGAGGGAGGAGGGAGGCTGGAAGGTGGAGGACAGAAGACGGTGGTGGAGGAGGGAGAAGGAGGGAGGATACGGGGGAAGGAGGAGGAGGGTGGAGGGAAGAGGGAGGGAGGGAGGAGGGAGGAGAATGGACAGTGGAAGGTGGAGGGAGAAAAGAGGAGAGTGAATGGAGGAGGAAAGAGGAGGAGGAAGAGGGAAGGGAGGAAGGAGGAGGGAGGGAGGAGGGGGAGGAAGGCCATAGGATGGGTGAAGCTCTCCCCACGCTGCACCTGGCTCACAGGGGCTGGCAGCTGTGTGGGAGGGTCTGGTGCTTCCCCCGCAGCAGGAGAGGCTGATGGGGGTGGGGTGGGCTGGGGTGTGGGGGCTCCTCCTTCCTGGCAGGGCGCCTGGAGGGCAAATGCCCCCCCCCCAGCTGAAGAGACAACCCCCCAGCGTGTCTGCTCCAGTTACCCAGGGGATGCTCCCCAGAACCCAAGGGGGGAAGAGAGCTGGGAGCCCCAAGGGAAGCAGGACTGGCCCAAGCCGGACCACCCCCCCCCCCCCCCGACTTCCCAGCTTGCTCTTTTCTTCTGTCCTCTTGGCCATTCAATGGACATTGAAAACCCTCTGCGGGCACCAGAGTGAGGGCTCTGGAGGGAGGTTCAAGGCCCCCAGGCCACTGGTCTCCTGGTGACCAGGTGAGGTCCAGCTTGAAGCAGGGCCCTGAGTCCACTGAGGGGGAGGCGGGGGGGACGAACCTCCAAACCCTCTTGTTCCCACAGGCTCTGAGTCTCCCCCCACCCCGGCGCTTCCCAGTCTGATGTCTGGGTGGGGAGTAACCCTCTTCTGTGGGCTAGGTGCTGTGGGCCAGCCTTGGGCCTGATTCCAGACAGGCAGGGAAACTGAGGCAAGAGCTGTGGAATCTCAAGGAACCCTTAGGCTAGCTGATAGAGGGCCAACCCTGCCTTTCTCTGAGGGACCACATAGTGCTGGGCCAAGCCCAGGTCAGGAGGATCTTTCAGGGGTCGTGCCCATGATGGAGGATGCTGGTCCGTGAGGGAGAGACACACAACTGGAAGCAGTTCCAACACACTGGAAGCAGTCAGATTGGGCAATGGCAATCCAGGAGGTCTTTCTGGAGGAGGCAGCACGGTATGGTGGAGCCAGGTGATCTGGGTTCAAAACTGTGACTGTCTGAGAGGCTCCGTGAGACTCTGTCTGAATTGAGGAGGGGCATTTGTCTCTCTTCCCAAGTTCCCTGGGCTCTTCTGCCAATTGGATTTAGTCTGTGACCCTGCCTGTGGCTGCCCTGTCCTCCTGGCCTTAGAAAAATGGAGAAACAGAAAGTTTTAGGACCTCCCCTCCGTCCCCCACCCAAGTGACCCTGACTGTGAACCACATTTGAGCCAGGCAGGAGCTGCCAAAATCATCCAGGGCAGAGGTGTCCAAGGGAAGCAGGGGGCTGGGCTGGTGGCAGCACCCCTCGAACCCCTGGAAAGTGGCCTGGTGCCCCCAGGAGGAGGCGCCTCCAGGACAGACGATGACACCACCCCCCAGCACTGGCCCTCCCAGAACTGACTCCCAGCACCCCATCTGCTCTGTGAGGAAGTGCATGAGATGCATCCCACGATTTCCAGAAAAGTTACATCTGGGCCCAGGAGAATCCATCTGCAGCGGAAGGGACAGGCACGTGTGCTGTAGCTCAAGGAGGGCCGGGCACTGGCTGCGGTGTGAGGACGGAGAGAACGCACAGGGGGGCACGGGATGGGGCCAACCTGATGTTGAGGGGGGTCTTGCACGCAACAGGAGCAGGAATCAATAGCTCTCCCCGCTGCGCTGCACTCTGGGTCAGGCACCTGGCTCCACCCTGCAGCCCCGAAGTCAGCTGAGGGCCGCGACATGAGCAGGACACCTGGAGACGTAAAGGCGGCAGCTCTCGGGGCCCTGGCAGGTCTCTGCCTGCAAACGATGGTGTCCTCCACAATCCCCCCTGCTCTGGTTCCCCCCTGCCAGGAGGGACCTGGGGGGCTGAGGAGTATGTGGGCAGACTTCCTGTGTCAGTGACGGTCATGCTGGAGGGGCTAGAAGGGGGAGTCTCCTCTCTCCTCCAAATCACAACACCAGTCTAGACCTCTGGCATGCAAAGCCTGCTCACAGTCTGGTGAACTCTCTCCAGTTCTAAAAATATTATTTGTTTTATTTTGGGGGCCACACCTAGCAATGCCCAGGGCTTATTCCTGGCTCTGCACCCAGGGGTCACTCCTGGTGGGCTCCGGGGACCCTATGGGGTGCTGGGGATTGAATCTTAGTTGACTGCATGCAAGCAAACACCCTCCCCGGTGTACTTTTGCTCCACCCCAACCCAACCCCCCACACAATAGTCCCTTTTAAAATTGTTTGGCCACACCCAGTGCTGCTTATTCCTGGCTCTGTGCTTAGGTGGCCAAGCTAGGGAAGTCATCTGGGGTACTTGGGGATTGAACCCAGATCAATCGAACCCAGGTGTGTGCAAGGCAAGGCGCTACCCACTGTACTATCTTTCTGGCCCCTTCCAAAAATGATTCTTCACCTGTAGCACGTGCTGGTTCCTGTGGTATAAATGCCTCCTCTGCTGACCAGGCGAAGTGGTCTCTGGGGCAACAACATGCAGTTTTTTTACAAGATATTTTCATAAGTGGTCGGAGTCAATCCCACTAGGCCACTGTGGATTGCCTGCCATTCCCTGAGCCCAGGGGACATGCAGGGAGGCCAACAGGGGAGGCTGGAGGGGCCCCAGAGGGAAGGACTGTGAACATCACATCCGGGAGTTTGAGCTGCAGCAGAAGTGGCCAACCCCCAGGTCCTGAGCGGGCACGTTTGTGGGGGAGGGTGTAAGTCAATCACTGTCCACTGCTGTCCCCTGTGGTCAGCACTCCCCTTCTACTGGCCCCCAAGTGCCCAGAGGGGTTGTCTGAGCCTGGTGGCCCCGGAGAGGGGCGCCCGGAATGTGAGGTGCATTCCTGTAGCAGGCGGAAGGAGACCCTCCCGCCCCCGCCCGCCGCGCCTTGGGGCCATCCCTCATCTTAATGAGCCCGTCCGGATCGCATCTGCTAATGAGGAATTTAATGGTCACAGACTGACAAGCGAGACTGAGAGGGGAGACACGAAGGTCGTTACGAAAATGAAGCATGTGGCGAAGTGCCACGCGGATGCCACCCCACCTGCAGGCGCAGAGGCCGGAGAGCTGGGGACGGGCAGGGAGAGGCGAGGCTGGACTCTGTCCTCCTGAGGGCCCCCGCCGTCACGCCACCTCCGGGCCCTCCCGAGGTCAGCACCGGTTTCAGCGGATAGCGCCGGGCACGCGCACCTGGATCAGCACCATGGACAGCTCCTGGCGTCGGTTAGCACCAAACAGCCCAGGGTTGGTTAGAGCTCTAGATTTTTGTTTGTTTGTGTTTTTGTTTGTCTGTTTTTTGCTTTTTGGGCCACACCTGGCGATGCTCAGGGGTTCCTCTGGCTCTGCGCTCAGGAATCACTCCTGGCGGTGCACAGGGGACCCTATGGGATGCTGGAAATCGACCCCGGGTGTTATTGCTCCAG